TTTTCAAAAAATGCGTCTTTGGTATCAAAAAAATAGCTGAAATTCAGGGCTATTTTTTGATACCTAAGCGCGAATTGTAGCATAAACCAGTGTCGAGTAAAACTCGTTCAAAGCTAGACTACGCAACACTCCGCACCGTCATTATGGGGGTGGGGTACTATTACAGTATTTACGGTATGCTTTAGATTCTAATGTAAATTTCGCTGTGAATCTTATTTTTAATTAAAATTTGATGTCTATTTTAGACGAGCTATGAAAGTTATGTTTTTGTATTTGCGAAAGTTGAAAGTTAAGTCCTTTCTCATCTTCCACACAAATTTTGTTACCTATTTTACCAGTATCCTATTCTAATTTTATCACTAAATTCTTATTCATTGTTATCTCTTTCATCAAAAAGAGAGTTTAATAGATTGTGCTACTTGACAAGATATCGAGGGAAAAGCTTTCCCCTTTCGTGGGCAACAAGCCGTTGTGCAAATTTGGATAGTAGCTGTAGGGGGAAAGTAGGAGAGATGCACAGAAGCATATCCAGGTCATAAAGGTTGTATGTGGCCCAGTGAAAACATATTACAGAAAGAAAGAAACGGGTCAATGTTTGACTGTATATAATTGTTTGCTCAGCGGACCCATCACCAGTCTCCTCTTCTTTTCCTTGCTTCTCCCCAAGCCTTTCGGGACAAGTACCCTCCTTCCCTTTACCTTCTGAACCTAGGTGTTTCATTTTGAACCTGTTCCACTTGTTATTGGTCATTATTATTGAGTTTTATTCACTTTGTTACTTAATTTTTCATTTATTTTCATGAATCTAGTTTCCATGAGTCTAGTTTTTCATTCATTTTCTTACTTTTTCTCGAAGATTTTCATCCACATTCTTTTTGTTTACAAGTTTGCCAGTTTGTTTACAAGTTCTCAAAAGAAACAAAACAAAATAAAGATTATATGCTTTATAAAATAATTCCTTTTGATCTGAGCTCTTTGCTCTTTCAATAATCTTTTAAAACCAAGAGTTAACAGATTCGACGACAGAACAAAAAACAGATTCGACATATACTTTTGATAATTTGATCATCTCTATGTATCTACTCAAAAATTGTGATCTTTTATTCGCATCTTTTGAATGTTCTTGTGCTTGGATGAGATGGATTCGATGAGGGGAAAGAGGAGAAGAAAAGAAAGAAAAGAGAGAGTAAGTGGGCAGAGAGGCGACAACTTTGACAAGGCACCGAGTCAATGTCCCGCTCAGCCTTCTTCCTTCTATGGATCTTCCTCTCGAGGGGTTTTTTAGATTGAGTAAAGGGAAATCTGCATCCCATCCTCTTTTTCTTTCCTTTTCCTTCGCTCTCTTCATTGTTCTCCTTCTAAACTTTTTTGAATCTACAACTATGACATAGAACAGACATTTTTCTATGATTTGGCTTGTATCTAATTCTTGTATCTAATTTTTATATTACTCTAGATTCTTTACTAGAAGTTTACTAAAAGATTGCTTTGGTATTTCTAACGTAATTTTTTTAAAGAAAAGGCTTGGGTTTCTATTTCCGGTAGTGAATTCAATAAATTTTGAGTTAAGACTTGTGTAAGTATTGGGATTCTTTTATTTTTCAGTACTACTCTGTGTCGGTACTTTTTGAATTCTACAATTCTGCGATTAAGCAGGAACATATTTACTATGAGATCTTCTACCTGGAAAGGAGAGAATACAAACTTCTACCTTACCTTTCAATTTTGGAGCCTTTGACAACACAGAAGGAGTTTTTCATCAATGATACTCCTTAATGACTTTAGTTTTTCAACATTTACGGTATTGCTCGATCAATGGTTCTTTGACAATATTTTCTTGGGATTTTCTTTTTACATAAAACCATTTATCGATCTTGTTGAGAAAAAAAAGTCCATTATCTTTGTTATCATTGGCTTTTTTCTAGAAAAAAAAATAAAAACAAAAGCACATGAAAGATTGGCAAATAGCCGGATGAATTTAATGGAATTTGCTTCTTGGGATTTCATTTTAGCCTATTATTTTTGAAAATATCATTTCCTTTTCATCAAATTATCCAGTTCATCAGTGGCTAGATGCCATTTGTTTGTAAGAAGACAGATTACAGAACGCACAAAATCGTTGTTTCGAGGATTTCTTTTGCTAAACTATAACCAAAAGATTTTCATACGTTACGTTTAGTTTAGATTACTGCAGTAACCTATTTAAGACTTTAAAAACGATATCAGAGTCTAAAGGCCTTTAAATTCTCTTAGTTTCCAAGAACTGACTGATTTTATGCCCGAGAAAAGCGAAAGGCTGGTTCACTCTTGATAAAGGGCAGGCATAGTGATATCCAGCTTTTTAGAGGATATTAGGGGGGAAAAGTGAGTGGAAAAGGGGAAATCTCGCACAAAGTGTCATTTATGCCTCTCGTTTAATGATCGATGAATCAATTTTTCACGCCTTGACCATAAACGGGCAAGCCTGAGAGGGGAAGAAATGGGCAAATTGAGACTTTAAGGTTTAGCTTTAGAATGTGTTCTTTGACTTATCCACTTTTTCTTTCATTCAAATTGTTGAAAATTTTAAAATGGTTATTTCTTTTTGTTTCTACTTTCTTTTACATATTTTTCAATATAAATTGAGCTACGGTAGTTGTTATCGTAAGACTTGTAATCAAAAGATGCTCCTCTCAAAGAATGCGTTGCCTAAAATGTGCCAACTTTCAAAAAGTTACCGTAATATTGCCTCCATTTTCTCTAATTTATCCATTTTATCTTTGAAAACCTTTGGATTGAATAAAAAATAGGGACAAGATTTTACGGTAGTTCCCTAAAGTTGACACGTTTTAGAAAGAACATTATTTATACTTAGGACAAGCTCTAATTGCAATTTAAATTACGCAAATTACGTTGTAAACTCTCATTTAGCAAAATTTAGATTTCTGACACACTAAATTTATTATGGGGGTGGCTACTTTGCGCCAAATTTTTTTGCGCAACTCACCATAACTTTCTTCTAAGTCGATCAATCTTTATGAATTTGGTGCCATTTTGTTACACTTGTTAAGATCTACAAAATGGCACCAAAATCATAAAGATTGACCGACTTAGAAGAAAGTTATGGTGAGTTGCGCAAAAAATTTGACGCAAAATAGCCACCCCCGATTCATTATCTTGTAACAGAAAGTGACGAGTAAAAGGCAAATAAAAGTTCATCAACAAAGTTTCGAATATTCAGCTAATTGGCTGAATATTCTGTCAAAATGTGTGCACTATATTATACTTCACTTTTGGATCTTCAGATTCGCTTCTTTTCTTTCACTTTTCAACACAATCACGACCAAATCATTTTTGCCTTGGCTGCCGTTTCGAACGACAGCTATGTTAGCTGCAGATTTGGAAATTTGTAACCGGAGGCATTCTGGGGTCGAGAATTTGAATCCGTTATTAGTTTTTGAGCAACTTGAATTTCCGAGCCAATGTGCCATCACAAAAACTTGGGTATTTAAACCAAATTGGAGAGAAAAAGGCAAAACTGAATTTGGGTTTTGTCCTTTATCCCTAGAGCCTGAAACCACCCGATTACGTAAACATGAAAATTTTTACGTTTTTGTAATCGCGCAGCTTCTGGCACACGGCCCTGGATGTGAGGTTGCGCTTGAGAAACTAAACCGAATGAAATATTCAAAAATAAAGCAGTTTTCTTTAAAAATTAATAACGGATTCGAATTCCTCATCCTCGAAAACCCCTGAATGCAAATTTCCGGCCCAATCGGCCCCAAAAGAGCGCTAAATCCACGTACGGCCCACCGGTGTGTTAAATAAAATGTGTTAAATAAAATGATCGTCCATCTTTAGGAATGTGGGACTCCTGTACTGTTTATGCTATTTATCTAAAACCTTTAAACCACAAATTTACTATTGGCTACCACAGTACTACTGGCTTTAGGCGGCCACTTTTTTTCTTTAAAACCACTTTCTGAGGTAGTTTTATGCGTAGATTCTGAAAAACACAACGAGAGCTTAGAAAAAGGCGTTTTAAGCCGAGCTTTGGGGCTTCAAAGTGTGCGCTTCTATAGTGTGTACTTCACTATATGGAGCCCAGGCTATCGACTATTGGGGCACTTTTCAAGGTCAAAACTAGAAAAAAAAACCATTTTTTAACCACTAAATATTCATTTCTAACTTAAATTGGCTGGTAGAAGCAAAAGAAATTGAAAATATTTTGAGATTTTGACCGATTTTGATTCATGTGGGGGAACACATGATCGAAACTTGAAAAAAATATTTTATTTTGCTCCAATTTAATCAGAAACGTAGGTTAAATTAAATCAATAGGTTAAATTATGCCAGAAGAAGTGTTTTTGGCTTCAAAAAATGTTTTGAGAGACCATTTTTAGACCATTGTATGAGCACTGTATGAGCGCGTACTTTGGAGCCCCGAAACTCGGCTTAAAACACATTTTCCTAAGCTCTCGTTGTGTTTTTTGGAATCTACGCATAAAACTACCCCAGAAAAAGTGGTTTTGAAGAAAAAAAGTGGGCCCCCCAAAGCCAATAGTACCAATTTTCCCTTTTATCACCTTGCTTCAAATTCGTCCCAATTTTCACCAACTCTTTCATTTGCTTTGTTTTCGCATAATTTTTCTTTCATTTATAATGATTCAACTTTTTTCAGAAGCGAACTAACCCCTACTCGACTACTCGATTCGAGAAACTAACGATCGCCGCTTCGAAACGAAAACTCAAGGGTTTAGGATTCACGTATTAGGTAAACTTTTGAAGTCGCTTTTAAAAGTTAATCTAACTAAAGCCAGCTAAATTTTTCATGTTCAAGCTAAAATTTTATTGCAAAAGCAACCTTTGAGCCCCTTTTTTTGAGTAATTATAGGCTTTCACGAATTGCATTCGTTTTGCTTCTAAAAGAAAGTTTGACTGAATGTAGAAATCTAGCATTTTCTATATTTCTAGAAATAAAACTTATTCTATGCTTTTAGATAGTCACGTAGCTGGTAGAAATGAATCATGATCGACCACCCGATGGACGACTCTCCTTTGCTGTTTTTTTGCTAGCTTGTTGTTCATATGGTTAGTTTTACGAAGTTAAGTTTTCATTGTGTTTCTTTTAGTTCAATGCACAGTGGATTGGGAGTCAATCTCAACGCCGCCGAGGTTTATCCACGACAACAATCCGAAAGTTCTCTATTTCACCGTCGAGAAAACAATCATCGATGATAAAGTAATGATTTATGCTGCTTGACTTTTACCATTCAATCTTTAGACGGCAATCCCTGACAACTTGAGAGAAGTCACCTTGCATTGCTTAGCTGAAGGAAATCCAAAGCCAACGTAAGCTTTTGTTTTAACAATTACGAAAAGTTTAACTTTAGATACAAATGGCGAAAGAACTCAAAGCCGTTTCAAGTCTCCGCTTACTCGGATAAAGTTGTTCAAAAGCCGGGAGAAGGAACACTTGTTCGTGTTTATTTGTTTTACTAATGAATTTTGTAATGTAGGTGTTCTCAAAGTTGGACATCGAGGATGCTGGATCGTATGCGTGCGAAGCAACAAATGATAACGGAACGGCTGTCGCAAGACCAATTCAACTGGAGCAAACATGTAAGGACAATCAAAGCCTAATACAATCTGTTTTAAATGTATCTGATTATGTCTCAGATTTGTTTAAAGTCAGAGGCTTGATAAATGAATTTATTACGTAAAGAATACTAATGGTTATTCTTAGGGATCCGCCATTTCCCCGACGATGAGCCAGAGATTGTCAAAGTCGAACTTGGAGATCCATACGCAAGAAATTGCAGTCCTCCGGCTAGCACTCCAACTGCAAGGTAAGTGCTTAATCATTATATTGTTTTTATTTCCTTGTTTTAGAGTCTACTGGATCCTGATGGGCAAAGAGCCGGGACAATTTGAGACTATCAATTCATCACACATCTCCAGCAATGAACAGGCAAGTATAAAGCAATGGGCGTGTTAAAATGATGAACAGGCAAAAGGGATCATGTTAAAATGATGAACAGGCAAAAAGGATCATGTTGCGCAAGGATTCAGTCAAATCTTTGAAAGAAAATCCCAAAAAAATTCCTAGAAACAGAAAACTTTTGACAGAAAACGCAAATAACCTTGAAAAGCTGAAATTTTGACATAAAAGCGCTAAACTGAACGTGCCCTGGTTATCAGCTATCCTAATTTGTTTTTGCAAATACATCAGACTATGCAAACGTCTTAAAAACTTGATCTTCTAATTTCGTACTTCAGTCTTCTACGTTTCTTGTTTGCTTTTCGACTCTTTTCCTTTTAACTTTTGGAGTCACCAAAGGTCTTTGTGATGCAGAGAAATCATCGACCTGAGGAAAAATGGGGTCCATTGTTTTGTTATTTGGCTAAAAGAGACCGCCAAGTAGTCTCTCTAGTGCGACGATGGTCCCATTTTTATTGCTAGCACTTTTCTTTTTTCTGACCTTTCCCCCCATATCGATCAACTTTTGTTAGTTTCTTTTTGCGATTCCAGTTTCTTTTTGAAAGACGTATCTGGGTTATTACAAACATTGGCGATGCTATGTTTCATTTGAAATGAGATTTTAGGTGCTGAAAGTCAACAAAATCAACATCCTTTCACTGTACCAAACACTCAAATTAAAGAGATTGCTATAATTTAGGTCAAAACACTGAATATTTCATGTCTTTTGTGCATAGATTTGAGTGGGAATATTGTTTTTTTCGTTTGACCCCAAGTGCCATCTGCTTTGCGTCGCTTTGGGCCTTCTCTTTGCTCGCCCACAAATGAGATAAACAGAGAGGCTTTAATGAGATTTTGAGGCTCTATTCTTTTGGGTAATGAGCTAATGTTTTAATTGTGTTACGACTATTTTGAGAATTCGATTTAAGCAGATTGTTCCGCTTTTGAAAAGTTTCTTCACTGGTAATTTTAGACTCTTACCATGGGAGCCATGTAAAATCGGTTTCTTGTTTCAATGTTGCTATGAGAACGTGGTGTAGCGATATGAGCGAACAGCTGACACTCCTTTTTCCTCATCATTTCAACGGAAAAAGTCCTTTTCATTTTTAAAACATTAGCTCTTAGGTTTTAATTAAAAAGCAAACAAGTCCCAGTGTAGATGTAAACGATGAAATGAAATTTAGTGCTCAAATTTCGGCTACTAGTAAATTCTTGGTAGGATCTGGATTTGTATATCAGTGGCACATCGGAGAAAGGGAGGAAAAGAAAAAAAGGGGGCCTCGGCGGGCATTTAAGGGGGATTCATGGCTTGTGGTTGTTGGTGGGGCAAAAGGAGACGGGGATAGGAGAAGAGAAGAGAAAGGGGCGTGTCTCTATGACTCTGTGCAGTAGTGCTCGACTGGCAGCGAGAGGCGGCAGGCGGACATAGCGCGAGCACGCCGCGTTGCACGGAGTTATTGGGTGGGCCGTCCCCCCTCCCCGTGCTCGGTCTCCCAACACAACCAACTCACCCCGCCAAGGCTCCTTTCTCATCCCTTTCTTGCTCCCCATCCAGCCGTTCGTCCACTTTTGACTTTTTTCTCACCAATATCACACCCAACCTACTGCTTTCGCCTACTCGTTACCACATTTTCATCTTTTCAATCACTTTTTTTTTCCAATCATTCCAATGCCCATTGTTTCTTCTCGATTCCATGACAAAAGTTATCCGCTCAAGAGAAGATCTTTGACTCTTGATTGGCAGAACATTTCTTATTTTAATCCGCAAGTTGCCGTCGGCCATTTTTTAACCTTCACGGTTGTCTCAAGTCATTCCATCACGGTTCATTAAGCATTTCGAGGTCGAGATCTCGATCGTTTTAATTGATTTTTTTTCCATTCTTATAGTTTGCAAGAGTTTTCGAATTTTAGCTTGATGAGAGACACGCGATAATCACTATTTTATTGGGTTTAAAAATACAATTACTAAACAGTTCTTCTGAATCAATTCCAACATGATCCTGCGAAAATCAATGGAAAATCGAATATTATGGGCACTAGTGGCGGCTCTATTTTTATATCTGGTTAGTTAATTTTCCTCTTTTTAGGGCACCATTTTCTTCCATTTTGTGAAAGAAAGTGATTTCAAGCCTGATCGTTTCTACACATGCACCGCCGAAAACACCGAGTTGAAGGACTACAAATTTGGCTCCAAATTTCGTCTCGATATTTCCAACAACAAACGACGATCACGTGAGTTCATCGATATTCTCAAAAGAATTTTATGACGCACTTGAAGTCTTTTGAATTCCGCTCATACCCTTCTTTGTAGTTTTTAAATTGTATCACATTCATCTAATAGAATACTTTCCGAATTTCCCTATTTCTTTTTCTTTTCAAAACCTTGATGTTAAACAAAGAAGAGCTTATGCTCTAGCATTAATTTTTCATAAAAAGTGGGTTTATTTGCATTTTGGGTCGTGTGGAGGCTCTCAAGCGCTGAAACACTTACCGGCTGAAAGAGCACACAGGTCGATTGCCATTGCCACAGTCAGTCTTTTTCTGTCTGTCTTTCTGGCTCTTTTTCACCCACCCGCAATAGTTGAATGGGGGGAGGAAAATCGACGAGAAATTTTCCCTTTTCACTGCTCACTCACACACACACACACTAGCCCCTTATACAGACAAAACCCGCACAAAAATACTTGCAATATTCGCGCCCACTCCCTTTCGAAAACCTTTTAGCACTTTTTGGCGATCGGTTACTAATACCCGTGATAATCCTGTTTTAAAAAACTCCGAGGGTGTTTGTTTACTTTTTCGGCGCGATTAAGTTTTCCCCGATAAAATGTGTGTGTTCGATTAGTAATTGTGCATTTACGCAAAATGGGTGGTTGCACCCTTTTGAAAGGCCGGCATTGGTGGGATAAGAATGAAAGACAATTTGCGCTCAATTCGCCTCTTTACGGTGAGGTTGTTTGTGGTGAGAATTGCGCTCTCGGCCTTGACGAATGAATACCGGGTAGTTATGCAAAATTGGTGGCAATTTTCCGAAATACTTAAATACAACTTTTGCTCACCTGAACTTGACAAAAACACCAGCGGGAGGGGAAAAGATAAAAGTGTACATGGGACTATATTTGGTGGAAAAGGGGCTACTTTTCTCCCTTCCAAGTTGATGCTTCCCTTTTTCCAATAGACTAAAAAGTTAGTGCGGAAGGAAGCAAAGGGAGGGGAGTCTTTTCTTCGAGATGTGAGTGTGGCACGCAAGGAGAGAATAAAGAAGACGAAAAGACTCACTGGCACACATCATCAGTGTCCAGTCGAAACATGGGTCCTTTCAGGAAAAAAGACCCCAAACAAGACCTTCCCTTTCACTCACTCACTCCCATTCTATCCTCAAATGGATACACTCCCTGCTAAAAAGAACTTAAAAGACGTGTTTTGATTGAGCAAAATTCGCCGTCGGCCACAAAGAATGTTTCCTCTTATAAATATCTAATGTTGACCGAAAAAATTACACAACTATACCCGCCCTTCTTGTGTTGCAATAAATAGAATGCTTTATTTGTAGGAGAAAAGAAGCTCTCTGAAGCTGAACGTCTTTTGGCCCCAAGAGGGCTGTTTGAAATGTGACACCCGGTTGGGGGCAATCTGTGCTCGGTTTGGTGCCCGCGTCGAAAGCCTAGAGAAAAAGAAGATGAAAAGGGATGGGGCATCTCCTTCACAGTGCATTTAACCGGAAAGACCTAGAAATCTCTTGGCAACAGGATCCCAAATGGGAATGGGGGATGCATCACTATCCTCATTCCCTCTTTTTCCCTTTCCCTAAGCCATCACACACTCACCTAATTAATATGCGAATCGTTAATTGACCCCCTTACCAATAGATTTCTTCTTCTTCTTCAAAATTCGAATGAAAAACTATTATTGGAGGATGAAATAATGGATGCAAAATAGACAACAATCATTAATGTTTAATTTTAGTTACAAATGTGCCTCCGTCCGAACAATATGTCAATCAAAGCAGCCCAATTGCTCTACGAGGGAACACGCACAAGCTGCATTGCTTTTTCTCTGGATAGTAAGTTTAATGGGCTTGAATCTTGAACCTGAATCTAATTCGAAATGCACTCTGTAATACGCACTATGTTTCGCTAAAGTTGTAGTATCTTGTTTAAAGATGTAGAGATAGAGTTGGTCAGACTATAGCGATTTCATGCAATGTGACAGGTCATCCTTTCTCTGTCGCAGGTCGCCACTCCCCAGGGAGCTCACTTTAGTGGCCAAAATAACTTTGAAAAGGGGAAAACCTTGCGAAAAAATATGATTCATTTGAAATTGTGGTTTTATTTCGAAAACTTTTTTTTGTGTTTAATCGTTGTTAGGGCTACATTGGCGCGCCTTAATTTCCATTTGGGATTTGTAAAAGGCTTGCAGTAGGATTCCATTTGGAGACGGATCTCTCTATCTTTTCTTGCGTGTACCCTTCCCCTCTTAGCCATTTCTCTTTCTTTTCAAGTATTGGTCACTGCAAAGGACATGTCGCGTAATCCGCGAGCAATGAATTCATGGCATCTTCTCAGGGGAATTCAACCACAAACTCTACCTCTTTCCAATGCAAACCCCACACAACCCCAGCATCTCCAATATTGCATTGTCTCTTTACGAATTCAAAGGGTTTAAACAATAAGTTATTGAGTTGTAAAAGAGTGAAAATGTGCGGTGACCTCAGCCTCCTATTATGGGATTATTTGGTTAAAGTGAAGTGACAGTTTGGGGTCAATGTCATGTTCGATTAGAGGGGATCATTTTACCGGAAATCGAGCATTAAAGATATTCAAAAGGGTGTGAAGTCATGTTAAACAAAAAATTCGAATAAAATTCAGTGGTATAATTTCTCTATTTAGTCCTGCTCCACGGCCGAAGTGGTTTCACAATGGAGTTGAAATTGGTGAAAGCAACGATGATGGGTTCCGCTTTGAAAACTATGGAAAAACTTTGGTAAGTTTTCGTCGATGTCTTTGTTGAAATAAATGGCCATCAAATGTAATCATTATCTATTTTCAGGTTTTCAACGTCACTCAAGATAAAGCTGGAAAGTACGACTGCCGGTTTCCACTGCATTCGGATATTGATAGGATTTTCAATGTACAAGTTGAAGGTATCACTTTACTTGTGTACATGGAATTCATTTCAATCAAATTCTCGTTGATTTATGCGTTAATTGATTATTGCCTTAATTAGACACTACTGGTAATTTCTCGCAACCCAAGACATCTTTAAACGAAACATTGACGAGTGAAATTGTTCGCTCGTTCACTGTTCAAGTTGGTGGTATGTTCAAGAACGAGTGACACATTGAATAACTTTGTTTTCTGTTTCTCTATCTAAACTTTGAGAGATTTTTTTTCTTTTTTTGGGCACATTCTATGGTGGATATGGTTGTCAAAGCCATGGCTTACGTTCTTTCAGCGTATAATTGTTCAATTTTAGCTGCTCCCTATTGGCCGGATGGTCCACCACCAAATACCAATACTTCTGAAGGCGAAACTGTAACGTTCGATTGTACGACAAGCGGTAAACCGACACCAAAAGTCACTTTCTACAAGAATGGTGTTGGTGAGTGAATTTGAAATTAAATTCGAATCATGACCGTCATTTTTAGAGTTGACAAAGAACAAAGCGCAAGGCGAGCGTTTTCTCATCGACGGAAATAAGCTAACGATTTATGATGTCAAGAAGGTAACCGTTTTTGAATTGATTTGGGTTAAACTCATTTGCAGGGAATTCACGGTAAAGGAGATAACGCCGTTTATCAATGCAAAGCTGAGAACAAGCACGACTATCTTTGGGCGAACTTCTATTTGAATCTATTGGGTATTTTCTGTCCTTTTTCACGTTAAAGTTATTGTTTAGCTTTCTCGCCACAATTGTTAACAGACGCCGGTGAGGTCGAGGCTGCAATTGGACAATCTGTGACTTTGGAGTGCAAGGTATACTAGCTTTGCTTTCAATGATTAGAATTAACCTTGACAAAATGTTACGATTTGCATAAAACATTTAGTTCTTTGCATCTCCGAATGCCAAGATCACTTGGAGCTCGCCGAATCTGAAACAAATTCAACATGAAATCGTCCCTGCAAATCCATACGGAGTTGGCAAGCTGGTGATTAAAAGTGAGTTGTCAAAACTTTTTGTTTTATTTATGACTTGTTTTAGGCGTTACGGATGAGGCTGAAGGTGAATACGAATGTCATGGCTCAAACACATACGGAAACGCACGTGGATCGGCCAAGCTATTGATAAGAAGTGCGTGAAAATACGATTTGATTGACCAGAGCCACTTACCTTTGAATACTTTGTACGTTTATTACAGTGTATCTTTTAGAAGCCACTTACCTTGAGCCATTTGCAAGAACACAAGAAGTAAGGGTAGCTGGTGAAGACATTCGGTTGCCGTGTCAAGCCGACGCTGACTCCAGGTAAAAACTATTAAGAAAACGAAGTTGAATTATCAATTCAGATTGGAAGTGACTTATGATTGGCTTATTGACAACAAGACACTTCCTGAGCTTCACATTAATTCTGGCCACTATCGGGTAATCTCCTTTAAATCCTTTAATAGCCTTAACATAAAATTTTAGGTTGATCCGGAAACTCATGAACTCATTGTGCACAATCCAAGTCAATATGATTCGGCAGAATATAAATGTGTGGCCAACACCAAGCTCGACAAAGCCGAAAAACGCATTCGAATCTCTATCAAAGGTTTGCGTGATTGATATGTCGTATCAAACTTTTATTGTTACAGATGTCCCTGTACCCGTTCATGCCGCCTATGTGAAGAAATGTGATCCGACCGCTCGATATGCTGAGATACATTTCGAACACATGGAACCGGCGGACTCTGTGGTTCCAGTGATGGAATTCTGGGTTCAGTATCAAATGGATGCTGACCTTGGGGTTAGTGTTAATTAAACTTGTCTAACGGTAAACGGAAAAACGTGACTTGTCGTTAAGAATTTATATGTACAGTTTGTATACAGCAGTACATCCATAAGATTTTTCGAAAAAATCTCAAAACTAGCAAAAAGTTCAAACATTTTCCTTTCAAAAACGCTTTTGACTCATAAAAATCCTCATAAAATAGAAAACAAAATGTACATACCAAGTCTCGACGAAAAGTAAGGTTTTTTTCCCGTTTACCTTCAGGCAAGTCCAGTGTTAATCTACAAACTTTATTTTCTTCCCGCGTCTCTATTTAATCTTCATAATTTCAGGTAGAATGGCGTACTCATCCGGTTCCCACGCAAGCGCATCCGAACGACAACAGTGAGGGAGACAATCGTGTAGTTAGCGGAACGGCTACAGTGTCTTTGCAACCCTATGGAAAGGTATGTTTCCAAAATTCTAAAAACTAATAAAGAGTTCAGTCAGACTAAAGACTAAAGTTTGTCATTATTTGAAATTTTCCTATCATTAGTTGCAAAACACGAACTTATTGTTACAGTACCAATTCCGAGTGTTGGCACGAAATGCGGTCGGTGATTCTTCTCCAACAAAGGTGCGTGACGGGTGCGACACACCAGCGAAGTTACCTGATCGGAATCCATCGGCCGTTTCTGCTGAGGGAGCATCACCCGATAATTTGGTGGTCTCTTGGAAGCCCATGTCGCGAGAAGAATGGAATGGACCAAATTTCCGGTTTGTTTTCTTGAAACGTTGGATCAATTTTGGTATCAGGCAATCTAATTTTATTTGGGCACCTGTGCGCTTGTTAAAAAATTAAATTTAGATACAAGATCAAATACCGTCCACTGGATCCACCAAATGCTCAATGGGAAGAGGCCGATGTGCCTGATCCATTTGCTGATCGGTAAGAAATCTTTTTTCATCTACGTAAAAGCTCATTGTTTAGTTATACGATTAACCTCGAAGATGACAAGGATTCCCGCCCATTCCAACCTTACGAGATTCAAGTTCAAGCGGTTAATGATGAAGGAACGTCGGCTGTCAATCCAGAAACAATCCAGGGTCGAACTGGCGAAGGTTGTTGAAAGTTTGGTTTTATTTCTATCAACGATTTTAGGTGTTCCATCGGCAATTGTTGAAGGATTCAGAGTGGTTTCAAAGAAAGGAACTTCAGCCACTTTTGCATGGAATGCTATCGATCCCGTGACGGCCAATGGAAACTTCACTGGTTACAAGGTAAATTTTATTAGAATAACTATTATCAGGCTAATTTCTAGATTACCTACTGGTATGAAGAGAATGAAGATGAGGATTACGATGAAGACGACGAGGATGTTGAAGAGAGCCGAAAGAAGCGGACTGTTATTCGTGCACGACGCTCTGCTGGATCGGGTGAAGAGGGACCACGGAAGAAAACAATTCATTTTGGACCAAAAGTTACTCAGGGAACGGTAAGGATCAGTAGCTATAACTACAACTTGCTTTTTTTTCTAGGTCACCGATCTTAAACCCGATACTGTCAACTATGCGACTATCGCTGTAACAAATGGAAAGCATGAGGGTGCTCAAAGTGACCCAATCTCGTTTAGGACAGATGAAGGAGGTATGTTTGATTGCTTTGTTGTATTTTACCCAATAATTAATTATATTAATTGAGCTTCCTTTAGTGCCATCACCGGTTCGCAAGTTAGAAGCCTATCCACTTAACGGACGATCTGATAACGAGAAGGGCGTTGTTGCTTTACGATGGAAGATCCCGCGGCAAAAAAATGGAAAGATTGCAAAGTTAGTGTCGTTTTCCTTTGATTTAAATATCGAATCATTAGATATGTGGTTGAAATTTGTCGAACTCAAGATGGAAAAGTGATATCAAAGAATTGTCCAAAGCAAGCTGTTGATTCATCCAAAAAAGAGGTTTGCTTAAAATTCTAAATCAACATTACAGGAACTTTAGATTCGTCTAACCGGATTAGAGCCAGAAAGTGAGTATCGCTTTGTGGTACGAGCTGAAACCGGCGTGGGAGAAGGAGATCCGAACTCTGCCGATGCAAAGACTCTACCTCAACATGTAGCTGCTGATGGTGGTAGGTTCTAGCTGGCACTTGTATTTTTAAAAATCCCCTGCGCCACCTACTGCTGGTTTTTTTGAGGCATTTTGAAAAGGGGCTCCCTCTGTCGATGGCATAAATTGAACGGCACCACTGGGTGGGAGGCGGACTGGCGCAACTAATCCTCTCCCCGTTGCCTTTTTGAGACACGCAACCCCCACCACTTAACGTGCACTTATTGACGTTTTCATATTTTCGGGTGAGAAAAATCGATATATTAATGTGAATGAATGTATTCATTAGTCGCGGGTACAAATGACTATTTCAATAGGACTTTTGGGGAAACCTATATTGGGGTGGAAATGTATATGAGAGTGGAGAGGTAATGGGCATTGAAAGTCCACAAAGAGGAGAAAAAGAGCGCCGGCCCTGCAAAGAGGAGGGACTGGGGGTGGTGCCCTCGGGGCTGGCTGTCTCCTGTGAAACGGCTCCCCCATTCCCCCATCTTCCCTCTATCGCCTCCATTTCTCCCCTCAGCCAGTCGTCGTCCGTCTGTGCCTCTGCAGCGGCTGGAGGGACGCAGGTGCGCCCTCACAAAGCATCTATTAGCTGAGCTCTGTCATCCGAAAAACGAAATTCCCCAATATTCTCATCGTTTAAATTTTTATCCTATTTTCGACTATTCACCAATATTGTGGCAACTATTCTGGTACCAGCATGTTCTCTGTACTCACTATTGTATTGGCTTTAATAGCCACGGAGATAGTTTTACCGCAAGATGTGAAATTCAATAGAGATTCTGTCGCAAAGCCTTTTTATGCGAATGGATCTGAATGTGAGCATCAAGATTAATTAATTAAAATTGAATTTGGATTTATTTAGCTATAAGATTAGATCATGATTTACAATTTGTTAGGCTTTTCTTTCTTATCAACAACAGCTGACATGAGCTTGCCCCTTTTCCCAACAATTTTGAGAAAACAACAGACAGCTTGCTAGAATTGAGATTAGTCTCTATTTCTCAAGCTTTGCGGTGTGCGAAACAATCGAAGTGAAAGAAAAATGAGAGCCCCGACTGGGCTTTTCTTTTTCCGAGTTGAGGAAAAGTGATTGGGGATTCAATTTGTTTCTTTTGCAACCCAATCTTTGCAAGATGCCTGGGAATGGGAAAGTCTTGTCAAATTAGAAGTTTAAGAGAATTTTCATGGGGTCTCTTAGGTAACGCATAAAGGGATTGCGCTTGTGTACCCTCGACACAAATATTGATCGAGTGGGATAATCCCCTCGAGTCTTTTGTGGAATGAGACTTGAAATACGGCTTTTACGAGCATTGTGCGTGTAGAATATTTAAGCATTAGGACAAATAGAAAAAGAAAAGTTGTGAAAAAGATTTTGGTAACTTTAACTGGTCTTTAAATTTAGTTGTTCCGGAAACACCGTTCGTTCGAGCCGAGCGCGTTGGTGAAGATCATTTCAACGTCAGTTTCCAACCTGGAGCTTTTGACGAAAGGGTAATATTTTATTTTATGAACGATTTAATTTTGCAACTTTAAGGACCGTCGACCCGTTGGCAACTCCTATAAAATTCAAATCCGAGAAGATGGATCTGAGGACTGGAAAACACACGATCCGGAGAACAAGGACAGCTTGCAGACAAAAGTCGATGGCTTGCAGCCGGGAACGAAGTTTGTCATATTATGTAGCAATATTTAATTTGTATCATTGCAGATACGAAGTGCGCTCTGTGGCAGCCTATTCTGACCCGGCAACAGGCGTTGAATCTGATGGATATTCACAAAGTATTTTTGTCACCACTCAAGGAAGCGGTAAAAGTTTGATGACATTTTCCCTATAATTGCTTGGTTTAGCTCCATTTTCATCGCGTTTGTGGTTCTTGCTGCTACTTCTGCTGATCATTCTGCTTATTCTCATCATTTGCTGTATCATCTGCGTTGCGATGAGACATCGGTAAATCTAGAAGTATTTTTAATTTATTGTTTGAACTTTTAGCGGTCAATACCCTGTGAGTGAAAAGGAGCGGCAGCAGGGCCGAGAGCCTATTCTTCCAAAGCAGTCATTTGGTGAATACAAGTAGGAGAACAATTTTGTTTTAATAAAAAATATTTGTGTATCAGGGATGATGACGAGAAGCGTTCGTTGACTGGATCAGAGACGAAAAGTGAAACGGATTCCATGGCTGAATACGGAGATGATCCCGGACGTTTCAACGAAGATGGATCATTCATTGGTACTACCTCAAAACAATTAACAAAAGAGTTAGGGGAAACAAAGAGACCTATAACATTTTCACGACCTGAACGAGGGCGTAGCAGGTCAATGCATTGGGGAAGAATGACTTTCGTCAAAATGGAACTAGAAAGTGGTTCAAAGCGGCTTGGTAGTGCGCCGGCACTCCCATCAACAAGCCCCTTCCTGCCTCGTCTTCGACGTATCGGGGCACTCGGATCTCCATCTAGCACATGCTCTTCCACACCAATCACTCAAAGAAAGGGGTCCCTTTCTAGATCTCGGTCACCTCACCCCATCCAACCTTTATTACACGAAGAATTAAAAATAGCAAGTAAAACTTCGTCTTCAGACTCATTGTCAAGTAGTGTAATTCAACTATCATCAGAAACATCGACCTCATCCGGGGATTCCTCTAATTCTTTTAATCAACCATTATTAACATTTATGGAAACAGATTTGTAATTTGGTGGGGAACTTAGACAATTGGGTTTAGCGGTGTTAAAATGTTTTTTTTTTCATTTCTAACATTTTTCAATTGCACTTTTAGGGCAATACGTGCCTCAAAGGACACTCATACCGCCCGTTGAACCTGCAAGAGGATCAACATCAACGTTTGTCTGAAGAGGAGCTCGTCTACGGGTCTAACACACTGAAAATGTCCAAAATGTTTTCCATTTTTTCTCGTATCCGGTGTAGCGAAATTTTCGTTTTTCTTTACCGTCATCCAAGTCAAACACCACCATTTCATTGTCCGGTGAAAGGGTTTTCATTTTTTTTTGATTCCTTTGATTAATCTCCATTGTTTTTCCAAATCTTCCTTCTACAGTGCCGCTTTGTGTTTCCTATTTGTGTTGCAATCAGCTCGGGTACCAATTTTTTTATGAATCAATTTGTGTGTTCTTGACACATTTTTCCGACCAGGCCTCCTTTCTTTCATAGGTGTTTTTCTTTATCATTCATCTTCAGTTGGCTGGTATTTGCTAGTTGAATTCTTCGAAAGGAATGAAAACTTTTTGGATAACATTTGACACGGTTCACGGTGGCACCGACACGAGGTCAAAAAGTTTTCACTCCTTTTTTCACACTCTCAATTCCTGCCTATTTTTTGATCTTTCGCCTACTGAACTGCTCCTCTAAGTGCTGCCCAATTCGTATGTTCACTCTAAAGTGATAATCCAATCTCTCATAAGCCCTGCCAATGCAAAATGCTTTCGTTTTATCTGGCGTTATTTCATTGATTGTTTTACAAAAAGACCACTCACTTCACTAGGCACATATTCTTGCTTGTTTTAATGCCTTGTTGGTTCTTTTATTCGATAGCTATTTATTAGTTAGGTTTTAACTTGGTAATATTATTGTATCTTTCAGGACTTCCATGATCTTTGAGATAATTGTTTTCCCATGCGCATCAAAAAGTATATTGTGTTTGCCGTTTCATTCGATGAAATAAATGATGGATTGATAAGCTTGGTTTTAAACACAAATGCCAGCACCTCGTGAATGTAAAACAGAATCAGTAGCAAAGCTGGCAGCGTTATCGAGGATAGGCAAATGATTGTTCGTTGTTACTGGTTTCCTGTTTACTTAATACACTTTACTGGTTTCTTTTTTGAATCAGTTTAAAAACGTCAAGTGATTTTATTGAGTGAGTGATTTTATTTTCAAGTGACCTCATTTCACTTTCATTGTATCTCTTTTTAAGCATTATTTCTTGGCTCATTTTCGCAATAATTTATTTCGAATAATCAAAAGGCTATAAATTTTTTTCAAATGTGGCGAAGAAACAATACAAGTACAAAAAACAATTAAGGGAAGCCTCAAAAACTCAGATCAATTAGTTTGGTAGCGTAAGAGCAAATGTCCACAAAAAAACAGTTGCAGACCTCGATCAAATGTACTGTTGAGCCCATTCATTCAAACAGTTGTAGCAACTCGTGGCGTGGTTCTTCGTGATCCCAGCAGTCTCCTTCAACCATTCGACGAAGAGCTCCTCATCCTTCTTTAGCAACAGAAATTGGCCGAAGACGACGTAGGCTTTGTCGAATCCTTTGTCTCGCAGTTTCTCGCCATACGTGGGGCCAATTCCGGCAATCGTCTCAACTTCTTTTTCGCCCATCGGCTCGGAAACGAACTCACGATGCTTCACTGACGTCGACATGTCTGAAAGTTAAAAAATGAATAATGTAAGAAAAAGTATAACAAAAATCAATCAAAAAAGTTTACTGCGTGGCAAAGATTTTAAAACGGGGGCTGAATATATAGCTCATGCTCAAATCCCAAAATCGTGCCATCTTATTGCCATTTGGTGCTATAGTAGTTAGGGGGAGGGCAGTGTACATCCATCTCTATTGAGCCAGAGCGCACTAATTTTTGCTTCTAGGGTTTTTAATGGCGTAGATTCTTAATTTAGTATTTATTTAAGCTTTAGTAACTGTTTTCAAGCCATTTCAAGCAGTTACTGAGGTTTTAAGCCTCTTAAATCGGTTCCATACCTCTAAACTCAGCGGAAATAGGCCCACTCTTGAAGGCTCGGAGTTGTTCAGAATGGTTTATAAATGCTTCCAATGGATTCAATGCAATTAATTACCCCAGAAAAATTTTTTAAAACTAGTTCGAAGTTCGAAAAACCGGTGTTTAAAAACTGGCCCGCCCCAACTACTATAGCACCTGCTATTTCAAGCCTGAGTGCATTTTAAAAGCTAAAATGAAAGTAAGGGGGCATAAAAATAAAGCTGCCGTTATAAATAAAAAATAAATAACGTAGAAACGTTGCCAAACTGTTAAAGAAGAGTTTCGTTAAATTGGACTTTTGAAAGATGGCGCCGTATTTATTCGCGTTGACTACATTTCGAAACACGGGACGTAGAAAAGTGAGCGATTTTCGTTTCATCACACAAATGTTCCCTCCTTTTTCTCTCTATCTCTACAACACTCTTTGCGCAAGCTTTCTCGAGTTTTTCTTGTTGATTCACGTTTAAAATATCGAAAAACAATAGTATGAGAAAGAATTAATCGATGGAGCAAGCATATCACGTTACGCGAAAGATTCTTCTAGGTGGTAGTCAAAAAAGTGCACGAGCTTTAACAATCAACTTGGAGAAACGGAAAAAAAAAAGAGTAGTGTTTTTTTCTCGAAAATTTAAGAATAGTGACGCAAAATCACAGTAACCGGCAAAAGTTGTGTTTTAGAGCAGACAACTTATTAATGAAAGCTATAATAAACGTTGAAATAAGAGAAAGAATCTTCAAAATTTAATTGAGGCGCCTATATTCGACCATTTTCTTATTGCCCATGTCTACATTTCTTTTTTTGCGTAGATATAGAAAAAAAAATTGCCTTTTAAATGTGTTATTTAGCTTTCTTGGCCTCATGGAGCACCATGATTATGGGGTTACGACGGATGACATACTTGAGGTGCATAATTTTGTGTTTTTTTAAAAATGCTTCTTTTTTAGGTCCTTGATGAGATGGGACTCGAGTTGGAAAGTCAAGAGGATATCAATGAATTAGTACAAGGTTTGTTTTTAACTGAATTATCAGTTTTATAAGATTTGCCAGCTAAATCACCCAGATCAATCACCGATTTGCACTTTAGCCGTGCAGGACATCGACAGTGGCTCACTCGATGATTCGGTGTTCATCGATAAACAGCTGGAAACGCTAGAAGACGAGTATCAACGCCAAGAACCTCCAATTTCCACTTATACGCTACCGATTTCACAGAGAAGACCAGGTATCTTGAATTTGATTAGCACGTTAATTAAGGTAATCGGAATTTTTTTAAATTCATAATAAATTTTTGTTTGTTTTAGATGCTCTTTATACGGATCAATTTCTCCCTGAGTACCGGCCACGTTTAGATGCTACACATTTAACGGTTTGGTTTATTCTTTAAAAATACAACTTTTACTTAAGATCTCTGCCATTCCTGATGTTGATAGATTGATCGCTTGTGCCTACGATATGATTGGACATCTTTACGAAACGTCGAAGGAAATCGACAATTATGTTTGTTTTTATGTTATAAGAACTAAAGAGATCTTTAAAAAAATAGTGTTACTTTAACAAAATTTCAAATTTAGCTCGCTTCACACAATCAAGGATTTAATTTGGAGTTGAATCGAAACTCAGAAAATAAGGAAAATTTATACACAGGTCTTTGCGATTTTTCAAAATATATATAGATGTATTTTTAGAAAACATGGAGCCAAGTAGGGTGCCCATTTCACGATCTCATTCATTTGAGTGTCAGACGAAAATTCCACCAACCCAACCCAGCAAAATTCACCGAATCTATTCCCAGCCGTGCACCTCAAATCCAGGTGAAGTTTGTTGGCTGGTTTTGAGCAACCATTTTTACAGATAACGTCAAAAAGGCTACAGAGGCGGAAAGAGAATTGGAACCACTAAAAAGTGCTAAGGAATTAGGTAAATAGAGGAATGTTTCAACGAATTTGTTGCTTGCAGGTCTTCGTTCGATTCTAAACCCGGAGCCGGGTCGGTTGGGTTACCGATGTGATCCCGTGAGGAAGTTAACGAGTTTTATGTAGAAGAGGATTTATTTTGCTTTAGATTAGAGATGGTTCGCGAAGGATGGAAACAAATGCCGCCGGTAAACGAGAACAAACGTCTGGCTTTGAGGTGGAGGGTTCGTGAGTATATGCTGCGACAAGCGGAACCAAGGTAAAAATTTGATTGGTAAAGAGCAGTTTGTTTTCTCTCGAGATAGTTTTTACAAGTTACTTTTCAAAAATATTGACGATTTTTATTGGAATTCAGAACTTCGATTACATTTGTTAGTCTTTACCTTATATTACAAGCTTTTTATAGAATTTGCTTTTAGTTATGATCCTCGAAGGGCCTTTCAAAAAGGCCCTTCGAAGCCACTAATCCATCCGAAAGACTGGTCTCCAAGACCGTATCTCGATTGATCTTCTTTGTAGAACGTAATATTTTTGAAAATAATGTCGGAACTATTACTGTATTATCAATAAAGGCATTTTTATTTTTTTTCCAGGAACATTGGCAAGCAATAAAGCAAGCAAGCAAGACACAAATCCTTTAATCTGTCTTAATCGGGAGCACCCAGCAGAAAAGAAAGAGATATGCCAATGAAATCATTGGGCAAAAATTTGCAGCGAGGTGAGGTAAAGAACGAGATGTCATCACCGCTGATAACATAAATCTGTACAAAAAGGGGAAATCTCGGGATGGGCGATGGAGGTACAGACAGAGTTTGTAGTGGTGCATAGGGTCCGAATGAATGCGGGGGTCGTACGAGTGAATTGATGGGGTGAATTCAAGGAATCCGGTTTTTCTCCGCCCCTTTTGATTCCCTCAAATTGACGTTTCTAATAGTGATATTAGAAATAAAAAGCAAAAAGTATATAAAGAGAGAAATGATCCCGGTGAGAGGAAAGCAATTTTCTTGGAGAAAATCGAAAAGTTTTGAGGATTTCACAAAACGCTGAAATCTTTGTACAGTATCTTATTCTTTCTTCTCATTCGCATAAAGCTTTTAGATAACTTTTCAGCTAAAGATTAAGATTCGATAACTAGTGGTTTTAGATGTAAATTAGCCATAGCTATGGTTTTACAAGTGTCCAACCTAGCGACTACCAAATTTTGCAAGATCTCTGCCAAATTGTGACTGTACCTGAGCCTGATTGTGATTGAAATGCGATTTTAGCTCAGCTCACTTTTGATCACTTTTGCTTTAGCCACAGTACTTCTGCAGTATTAATAGTCCATTATCGAGTTCTGTATTGACATTTTGCGGTTTGTGAGAGAAATATTTTTGTTATTTTCTGTTCAAGAAGATCATCTTCTCATGTCTTTCTCTAGAAGCTAGAAATTTCTAGAAATCTAGAAGTTGCTTCAAAATCCTCCGATCTAACACAGTTGAAGCTTTCTTTGCAAAACTAACTTTTTTTGAAACATTCAATCAATTTCTTTATCCAATTGAATGCATTTTGAGCGGTCGAAGTCTTGATAAGCCTCCATCTGTTGAGCTGAATACTGTAACTTTTCGGTGCAGTTTTTTTGAAGACTGACTCTTTTTCAGCAAAAGCAGCTAATTCTTATTTAAATCGAATAAGAATGAACTGAAAAGATCTTTTCAAACTTTTAGTAGATATTTGGGGTACTGTATTCATTGTTTAGTAGAAGGATTACGTAGAACAAGCTGACTGTATCGTAAGTACCGTGCCCGTCTATATATTCACTCATTTTCTTGCTTCCTATCTAAATATGGATTTTGAAAGTCTCATCATTTAGTAGAAATATAGACTGCACTTTTTAAAGATAATGCGTTTCAAGGGTAGCTACCGTAATCTTGCTAAAAAGCAATCTATTCTAGAGTCTTTAAGCTCGTAAAAAGCACCGAGAGACGAACATTAAGCCAGAGAAACTTTGAGTTAAATTTTACAAAAGTAATTAGAGTTTTACTTTGCAGGGGGAAGCCACCAGACGTAAGCTAACTTTTAGTCAGTGCGCTTTTTAGAAAAGGCTTTAAAGAGCCTAATCCAGCCCAGGCCAGCTAGATCCCGTTGATGTTTAAAAATCAGAGCCACCCTTGTGATTTGTTTTCTCAAAATCTTGACTGCCAAAAAATCTACTTTGTGTGGGGGAAATGTTAGTCGAAAAAACATTTACACGTTGCCCTTTTCTGATGTGATTGATCAACAAAGATATAGGGAAAGGGGAAAGACAAAAAGGGATTTCACGTGAAATCTCTTGGCTGACAGGCGTGTCTAGAAATATTTTTTGTACATTCTACAGTGATATCACAGGGTGGGTGGGGGAGAAAGCCCTATCCTGTGCCTTCCAACATCCCTTTGAGCATCCCCTTTCCCCTTTCTTCACACTAACCCCACGTTCGGCTGATTTTTAAAAATTTTTGTTCACTTTGATAAGAGACACGTCAACACTAAGAAATGAAAACATGAAAACAAAATATCATGAGAAGTGTCTGATCTTTAAAAGATTGTTGGTTGAATACATAAAGGGCATCTAATCATCTCAAAAAGCGGTTAAAACAACAGTTTCATTCTTTAGTTCGTCATAGATTTTAAACTTTCATTTAAATGATAGCTTTACAAACACTTTAGACTAAGATTTGTTAGTCTAAAGCTTTTTAAACTTTAGACTAAGATTTGGCACTAACACTTTAGACTAAGATTTGTTTACTGTAGTTTACTGTAGTTTACTATAGTTTACTGTAGTTTACTGAAAGCCCAAGGTACTGTGGAATCTGTAGAAGCTGTAGAGTTTCTATGCTTACTGTAATACTGTAGCTGTCGCAAAACTAGAGTACTATATAAGTCGCAGTCTTTTTCTGTCTTAAAGCTATTCAACTATTGTGGTACTACGTTTTATAGCTTACTGTAGCACAACCAGGATACTGTAGAATGAGAATATCTTGAGATTTCATTGAACTTATCCAAATATTCTTCTGTCTTATTCTATCAGCACTACAGTATGTTTGAATAAAGTATTCAGCCGTCTTCATTGAATATCTTTGCTCAGATTGTTTCACTTGTATGCAAGATTTTTGTTTTGATATTGTTTTTTCTTCAACACACTCTATTTGATTGATTCGTTTCTACTTTTCATGATCACAACTGCTTTTTTTTTTGATTATTTTTTGTTTATCTCATATCAAATCTTATTTTGAATGATTTATTTATAGATTTGACTGGGTTGACTGGGCAAAAAATTGGCTGTGTTTTGGAGAGAATTGGATAAAATTAGCCCCAATCACAATGCGATAGATTTCTCGATTCAATTCAAATAGTTATCTAGATCTTTAACTTTTCATTTACATATCTTGCTAGAGTAGTTACTTTAAATGGCTCAAGACAGTCTGACTGAACTTACTGAACTCAAGACAGTCTGACTGAATTACTCAACAAACCTTTTGTGTTTACTGGACCACTGTAAAGTCTCAATATCAATGTTTACTGGACCACTGTAAAGTCTCAATATCAATGTTTACTGGACCACTGTAACGTCTCAATATCAATGTTTACTGGACCACTGTAAAGTCTCAATATCAATGTTTACTGGACCACTGTAACGTCTCAATATCAATGTTTACTGGACCACTGTAACGTCTCATAATATCGTCTCAATATCATATCTACTCGTAATCTTGATTATAAAATATTCAATTTGCATTGAACTTGCTTCAAAGTCAAATCCTCATCGTCATTTTATATTCATTCTCCATTTCAGAAGTCCTTTCAAATCCTTTTCACATCGGAATGTCAGTCTCTCATTCGCATCTTCCGCCCCGAATTCTCCCAATAGCTTTTCTTGTTTCACTCGGCGGATCGTTCCACTTTGGATACCAGCTTGTGATCACAAATCCCACGCAGGTATCTAGATATGAAAGATTTAGATATTAGCATTTAAATATTAGCAAAATTAGCATATAATCTAAAGGTTTATCTAAAAAACGAATCTTTTTTAGGCGGTTTTCCTCGATTTCGTCAATCAAACCCACTACACGCATTACGGGAAACGATTGGATAAAGGCACTTTAGATGTAAGAAATTTTGATTTGATTTTGATATATATATATAGATCTTTTTTTAGCTAATTTTAATTATCTTTAGATAGTCTGGAGTGGGATTGTTGCGGTGGTGTTTCTAGGGGCCCTCTTCGGGTCATTCGCGTTGCGGATCGTTGCGGAAAGGTAGAAAAAGTGTATCCAAAAAGTTTATCGTATCTGTAGTCGAATCTAATCTAATAATACATCAAATAATACCTATTCCAGTTTTTTTTTAAAATGCTCATTCGTTTCCAGATTGGGTCGCAAGTCGGGTCTGCTCACCGGGATCTCGCTTGCGCTTCTCTCGGTTGGGCTCTCGATTTTCTCGCATACGGTAAGTGGGGGAGAAATTTTTAAGCAGATATTGCTAGAAATTGTCTAAAGCTCTATTAAAAGATCTATCAAAAGATCTATCAAAAGATATCAATTTTCTATAAAATTTCAAAACTATTTCCAGCTATCTTCTTACGAAATCTATACGTTTTCCCGTTTTCTTCTTGGCGTCGCAATTAGTGTCAATATGGGGCTAGGAGCGATGTATCTCGTCGAAATCTGGTAATTCGATTCAATAATTGAAAAAGAGAGAAATAACTATACCGTAAATACTGTAATAGTACCCTGCCCCCATAATGACGGTGTGGAGTGTTGCGTAGTCTAGCTTTGAACGAGTTTTTCTCAACACTGGTTTATGCTACAATAAGCGCTTAGGTATCAAAAAATAGCTGAAATTCAGGGCTATTTTTTGATACCTAAGCGCGCATTGTAGCGTAAAGCAGCGCGGAGAACGGGATGTTTAAAGTTAGACTATGCAACAATCTCGAAAAAACGCGTTTTTCTCGACACTGGTTTATGCTACAATGTGCGCTTAGGTATCAAAAAATAGCCCTGAATTTCAGCTATTTTTTGATACCAAAGACGCATTTTTTGAAAGTACGGGCGCTTTACAAATACTGAAAAACTTTTGCAACTACGCGACTGTACGAGGGCGGTGGGGTACTATTACAGTATTTGCGGTAGCTTTATTATCAAATATACTAAGACTAATAGATTATTTTTTTCGATTTTAGCCCGAAGGAAAGTCGTGGGAAAGTCGGCATGATGACCGGATCTCTTGTGCAAGCAGGTAGGCTTCATTTAATAAAAACTCTACAACTACCGTAATCCTTTAGTTAAAGCGTTTACTAAATGATGCCTTTAAAGAAACTACCGTAACCCTTTTGCATAAAGGGTTATGGTAGTTTGACACTACCGTAACCCTTTTCTAAAAAGGTTTAATCATTTAATTGTCTTAAATGTTATATTGACTGCAAACTACCGTAATTATACGTTGAAAACTTAATCTTTTTACATCTGAATGATTCTAGGTACGGTAGCTGGTTCGATCGTTGCTCTTCCTCAAGTTTTGGGCACTTCATCTCTCTGGCCTATGATTTATGTAGTCGAGCTTCTTTGCCTTGCTCTGCCATTCTTTGCGCTCATCTATCTACCAGAAAGTCCAAGGTTGGAGAAGTTTTTTTTAAAAATAATTCTCTATATCTACGTATTCTAAGCTGTTTACTGTAGCCATTTATTCGATTTCAGTTTCCTCGTCAAAAAGGGTGAGATGAAAAAGGCACGTAAAGCGTTAGCGTATTTCCATTCGCTTTCCGAGGATGAAGTCACCGAGCAAATCGATGAGTTGAGGGTGAATTTTGAGGAGATATTTTGAGAAGAATCTAAAGTTAATCTAAATCTAATTTAAATCGAATTTAAATCGAGTTTAAATCTAATTTAAATCTAATCAAAATCTAACCACAACCTAATCTAAACCTAATCTAAATCTAATCTAAACCTAATCTAAACCTAATCTAAATCTAATCTAAATCTAACCCAAATCTAACCCAAATCTAATCTAAATCCCTTAAAATACAAATTTCCAGAACGAACTCGAGGAATCGAGTCAACGAAAAGTGGGAATGATCGCTGTTTTGAAGAAGAAAGGATTGAGAAGACGGGTAGATTTTAAGAGAAAATTCTTGAAAATCATTTTCTCTTTAGGTTTTCGTTGGAATGATTGTTGCCTTTGTGATGGCATTCTCGGGAATTGCTGGTAAATTTCGTGAAGTTTTTGAGAAAAATCAAGCCTTACAGTGATCAACGGCTATGCGGTGGAGATCTTGATGAACACGGGGTTGAATCGATTGAACGCCTCGCTGGCCAATCTCGGGTTTAACGCGTTGAGCATGGTGAGTATGAAATGCTAAAAATCGCTCTTGTAGAAGCTCTAGGAAGCTTTATGCAAATCCTTTAGTTGTCACGTTTTCTAAAAATTGCAACAAATATTTGGAATAAGGCTAGTTCTTTATCCACTCCATTTCCAGTTTGCAATCTTTGGCGGCGCAATGGTTGTCGACAAATTCGGTCGTCGCCCGCTTCTCCTTTTCACATCGACCGGCATTCTTGTCACGAATCTCATCATTGTCGCGTTGATGTTCGCCTACGCAGGAACTGAGGTATGTACTTTGTGTTGTACTTGTGTTGTACTTTACTGTTGTACTTGTGTTGTACTTTACTGTTGTACTTGTGTTGTACTTTACTATTGTACTTGTGTTGTACTCGTCTGTTGTACTTTGTGTAAATGTAAACGAACTCTTTCTGGCGCACTGAAGTCTTCGTTGTTTCTCATAGGAATCATAAGAAAAACAAAAGAAATCGTTGAATGCGTTAGAGGGGGTGTGTTTACGTTTTTGTGCACAAAGTACACTGATTGCCTAACTCAATTCCAGAATCACATCTACGGTTTGCTGCTAGTGATCATGATTGGCGTGTTCACGATTTTCTTCGCCGCTGGACCGGGTCCGTTGTGTTATTTCATATCGGCTGAACTGGTGGACACACACGCGAGATCCGGCGCACAAGCGTGGACATCAGTTGTGCAAATGGCGAGGTGAGTTACGATAAAGAAATGAGCATCTTTGAGAAAAGTTCTAAAGTTTCAAATTTCAGTCGAACCTTTCTGCTATCAATCTATCTTCCGCTGAAGAATTTGATGGGAAATTCCTCGACTTACCTTCTCCTTTTCGTTTTCCCCGTTCTCCTCTCGATCATCATTCTCTACTTTCGATTGCCGGAGACGAAAAAGAAATCACCAAGCGAGGTAAGTAAATGAGAGAAAAGAGTTAGATTCTAAAAACTTTAAGTCTTATCTAAATCTCTTTATAGTTAGATTTCTCTATGGTTCTAAATCTACGAGCAGTACTAGAGTACACTGATTGCCTAACTCAATTCTAGAATCACATCTACGGAATCACATCTAATCACAAAGCTACCAAAATTTCATTTCATTCCTTCAGTCTACTTTTTGCTTGAAAATCTAGAAATAAACCCTTTCTGGTGTACTTAATTCTCTTCAATTAACTCTTCAATTAACTCTTCAATTAACTCTTCAATTAACTCTTCAATTAACTCTTCAATTAACTCTTCAATTAACTCTTCAATTAACTCTTCAATTAACTCTTCAAAAATCTCAATTTCACTTTCAGGTCACTGAAGCCGAACAGAAATTGCCAAAACTGTGGTGTTCGGGGGGAAATCTCGATGAGAAAACTCGCGTTGAGACGCCCGAAGTTTAGAGATTTATGTCTGGGGAATATGTCTGGGGCCCAGACATATTCCCAGACATTATAAGGATCAAAAGATCAAAGACGCTTGGATCAAAGATCAAAGATTGGCTTACCTTTCAAAGAATTTAAATCTCTATTTTTCAATTCAATATTTATATATTTATTTCAAAGTTTCCCATCTTTTTTCAGTCATTTATGTACAAATTTGATCTCATTTTGATGCTTTCTTGCCATGTTTTTTTTTTAATTTTTTTTGATTGTTCAGCTAATTTATGTGATAAACTTTTTCAAAAAATCACAATTAAATTGAAAAGAAGTGAGGAAAGTGGAAGAGATTCAAACATTCGTTTGACATTAGTTGAGCTTTGAAGAACCCAAAAAAAAACAGCTACGAGAATGATTGGACAGAGATTTAAACCGTAACTAATTAATGATTATAGCTGTTTAGCTGAAGAGATTCAACAATGATGTCTAGGGAATAAGGATCAAAGATGCTTGGATTAGCTTATTAGATAATGAATTTTAGATTTATTAGATTTTAGATACCGTATTCTCTCTAATAGTAGTGCATCCTAAGCGTCGCCTAGTCTGGGGAATATGTCTAGGGAATAAGGATCAAAGATGAAAGATTGATTGGATTGGCTTACCTTTAAAAGAGTTCAATAAATCTCTATTTTTCAATTCAATACACACATCCTCTTTGTTGATATCTCCAAATTTCGGTTCCATAATAAAAGCCATGAGCCGCGGCTTCTAGACGATTTGGTGGAACGCTGAGTGAACAAGTTCTAAAAGGCTAAAATAAATGCAATTCTGAATACAATAAAGGCTAAATGCGATTCTGAATGTAATAAAATCGATTTTCTTTTATGTTTAAAGTAAAAATAAATGAAAATGTTGTAAATACCTATCTTCATCTCCTTTACACACTGTGAATCGATCGCCGACAGTCATGTTATTCGGGTAGAAGATCTGTAAAGAGGAAAATGATTTTAGTAGAGTAATGCAAAAATTGTTTGCATTTTTTGCTTGTCTTTTTCTTTGTCAATTTGTCTTTTAAAATGTTTCAAAGGTCATTTTGTTGATAGCAGATTGCATTTGAATTTATGAACTTAAAGATTCGTTCATAAAACCTTTAAGTTCATAAACTTTAAGTTCAATTACCTCGGTCCCGTGATGCTCATAGTTTTCCCATTGAAATGGCAAATGGGGAACCCAATCGTTGTCGTGAATCACTCGATAGGAAAAAGGAATCTCCAATTTTTATAAAGGATCTTTTTGATTGCTTTTGAAATTACCATATTGTCAATGCCAGCCGCGTAGATGTTGTTCCCGTTTCTCGGCTCTCCATACGTAATCAGTTTAACCTAGTTTTTTCGTTAAGAAATGTGAAATGTTTCCTATAAAATGGATTTCAGCAAAATGTGCATGATTTTCAAGAATACATATCATTTTTTGACTCTTTCCCTGAATTGTCAGCCCTTTGTCAAGCCCTTTTTGTGGTCTTTGTTGCAATTTTTTGTTTTTTTTTTTTACCAAAAAAGTCTTTTGAAATTGTTTTAACCTTTTAATTATTTTTGAAATTATTTTATTAAATTCCACATGCATCAGTTTATTTGATCAGAATTTAAAGAACAATCGTAAGAACAACAATTTTAGCATCCCATCACAAAAAGGGCTTGACACGCCTTGCGTTTCCTCGGACACGCAAATGTTCATAGCCTTCACATACAGCCAAGACAAACATCCTTGCCAACTTGATATCCTGTTGAAAGCACGAGGAATTCTGTGCGATATAGCCCAACGTCGGCCTACGGCACAAATGAGAGCAAGAATACAATTGCTCACAGATGAGAGTTTTATCGAGAACTTTGCCAAGACTATGTTGTTGAATCATTTCAGAATCAACTTCTTGGGGGATCCGGAATAATCGTGAAGATAGATGAGAGCAAGTTTTTTAAAGCAAAAGAGGTCAGGGGTAGAATGTTCAAACAGAACTACGACTGGGTTTTTGGCCTCGTCTGTTCTTTTGCACTTAATTGTCAAGGTAATCGAATAGGTCGAGAGAGGATCGAGAATGGCCTTTTTCACCGTTCCTGAAAGGGATGCTGTCACTTTTCTTTCCCCCTATCCAGCATTGCTGCCGGTGGCTTTTTAAGTGCACTTGAATAACATTACTTATTAGGTACAAAAATCATTTCTGACGGACCTAATAAGTAATGTTATTCAAGTGACTCAATGTTATTCAACTTAAAAAGCCACCGGCAACAACAGTTTGGTGGATAGGGGAAAGCAAAGTGACAGCATGCTGCCACTGCTGCAGCATCCCTTTCAGGAGCGGTGAAATTGATTCCACCAAGCTACTTCCATAGCAATACGACCATAGTTGGTTTGCTTTGTCAATACGACCATAGCAATACGACTATAGTTGGTTTGCTCCAGTTTTTCGACTCAAATGACCCCACTATAACTATAAAAGTATAATGAAATCTTTGAAACTTAAGCTCAATAATTACAGTTGGAAGCGACGTGGAGTGAGAGATTCGAGATTCGTGATCGTGATAAAACTTTCTGATTTGCTCAACAGCTCAACAGCTTTTAAGGTTCTCGAATTTGAGACATTAAACACGAATTGTTCTTTCAACGAGATTCTAGAGTATCTCTAGTTTAATCGTGGACATGCAGCAACAAAGCTTATGACCTAGTTGGATAGTTCGAATCTCTAATGTGATAAAGTGAAAAGGGATAAAGTAAAGGCTTCAATTCGCCATTCGTCTAGGGAACGACAAAAGATCAACTTCCAACTTATTTATTTGAATCTATGTTTAGGAGAGCAACAGAGAAATCTTCCAACAGTCAAATCTTCCAGCACTTTTTGATTCGCTGGAGGCTGTTTATCCCCTTCCCTAGGGTTGTTCTTTAAATTCTGATCCTAAAAACTTTCAAAAGGCCACGGGGAAAGAGCCGTTTTTTTTAAAATTAATCAACCTTGTTTCCATCAGCCAATCCCAATTGTGTCAAATACCCGGCAGCTAAAGCAGCCATTGCAGCTCCCAATGAATGCCCCGTGATCTAGAATGGATTTGAAATTTTTAAAACTTAATATATATTAAGTTATTCAAATTCCTACCCAAACTTCATATGTTGGATTGAGTTGTTTAAGTGTCAAATAGTCGTCTTTCATTCCCGCATTCCAAAGCATCAAGAAAGTGTCATAAAAGAAATTTGCAGCCATCGCTCCACCAGGAAAAGCTCGCTGAAAAAACTTTCCAATGGATTCTTATTAATACTACTAAATGTTTAAGAATGACGTCAAGCAAAAGAAACATAAAGATTTAAATCTATTAATGCACTCTTTGCTGACTTGTTGCCCAAACAAGATCTCAAGCGCCTCCACGTATTGCTCATTTCCAACAGATCCTCTAAAACAGATCCTCTTCTTTGTTTATTCAATTATTTGGCTTCTACCTGAAACCAAGAATGATAGCGTTGTTCGAATTTGAGAATGCTGTGTATCCCGAGCATGTCTCATTGGAAAGATCACATGAGAGCTCGATTTGTCGTCGTAACTTAAACGGTTAGACGTTTTTCTCTTGTTTATTGTAAAAGAAATTGAAGTTGAAATGAAAAAGATTCAAATATATATCTTTTGTGTGTTCTTCACCTGTCCATCGCCCGTTCCACTCTTTATGCAAAAACTCGGATTCTTATCGAAAGCCGCTACAGCCAATGGGAACATCACCTCAAATACAGTGAGTAACGAGGATAACAGCTAACAGCTAACAGCTAACAGCTAACAGCTAACAGCTAACAGCTAACAGCTAACAGCTAACACTAACAGCTAACACTAACAGCTAACAGCTAACACTAACAGCTAACACTAACAGCTAACACTAACAGCTAACACTAACAGCTAACAGCTAACACTAACAGCTAACACTAACAGCTAACACTAACAGCTAACACTAACAGCTAACACTAACAGCTAACAGCTAACACTAACAGCTAACACTAACAGCTAACAGCTAACACTAACAGCTAACACTAACAGCTAACAGCTAACAGCTAACACTTACATTTCTCGAGAAATCATCCGAATATTCAGCAAGTGTACTTAAAAGGAGGCAAAAAAATCGAAAGAAATATAAACTTTGTCTCATTTTTAAAGCACAGAATAATACTTCTTCAATTCTCTTCAATTTTCACTGTTCAAAATCGTAAATCTTTATCTTTATCTGTTCCCAATTTCTTTCTTTTCATTTATTTGATTTGAGAACTCGATGGAAGAGGAAGAAGAAAGAGGAAAGAAGAGGAAGGAAAGGGAGAGAAGGGAAGAGAAGGGGAAGGAAGAGAAGGGAAGGGAAGAGGAAAGGGAAGAAGAAAGAGGAAGAAGAAAGAGGAAGAAGAAAGAGGAAGAAGAAAGAGGAAGAAGAAAGAGGAAGAAGAAAGAGGAAGAAGAAAGAGGAAGAAAGAAGAGATTCGGTGTTTTAAAAAATTCCCCTTGAGTTCAAAGTTCAAAGAAATTTCAATGTTTTTTTTTGATTGTTAAGCTAATTTATGTGATAAACTTTTACTTTTCTTTTACAAAAATCACAACTGAATTGAAAAGAAGTGGGGAAAGCGGAAGTGATTCAAACATTCGTTTGACATTGGTTGAGCTTTGAAGAACCCAAAAAAAAAACAGCTAAGTGAACTAGAGAATGATTGGACAGAGATTCAAACCGTAACTAATTAATGATTATAGCTGTTTAGCTATTGTAATTATTCTAATAGAAGATCGTGGTTGTTTTGATAAAAGTGTTGTACAATAGCTGTACAATTAGTGCTAGGTTTAGTGCTGCTTGTCTAGCAATAAAGCTACCAGTACCAGGTTCCAGGTTAGTAGTGCCTGGTAGACAAGAAAATTCCAAGTCAAACCTAATTTCACCGTCTTTTTCTCAGCCGTTTCTTGGCCGATTCCTCTGACATTTTGTCCACAAGGTGAAAAGGTCGATTTCTGTTGGGTTACCATAGTTGTAGTAACAGATTTCTCTAGGTTATTTACTAGATAAGGATATAGTCTAGTCACTAAGCTAGACCTAGTACATAGCAGTCAGTTAGAACAGTTAGAACTGGTACTAGATTTTAAATATAATGAGTTTTAAGTCAAGCACTAGACTAAACGAGCTGCTTTAGTAGTAGAGATTTTTAAAAAACTTGATTAACAATATGATAATCTATTCGAGAATCATCTTCTAATGGTTTTGTTCTAATGAATTGAGTCAAATATTCAAGTTTCGTAAAAGGGAAAACAAACTAAATGAATTTTTGAAAATACGTCATAGCTATCAGGCTTTAATTCTATTTACAAAGAAGTGTAGATTGATAGGAATACATGGTATTTTAAGGTGAAAAGAAATTGTATATGTACAAGAATATAACAGAGACAAGTAGACAAGTAGACAAGTAGACAAGTAGACAAAGGGATCATTTACATACAATCAGATTTGAGATATTCAAAAACTTTGCTTTAGACTTTAGCCCAAAATTGGTTGATTTGATCGATCGTTTGATCGAATTGAGTAATGATGGGAAGGTAATCGATTTTGTATTGAGGAGAGATCTTTGTTGAGAGATGCTCGCCGATAGTAAACGACAATCCAAACGAAACCGGCCACCAGGAAACTGGAAGAGTTAAGAATCAATCGAGAATTAACTTCAGAATATTTCTTTCAGAATGATTTCAGAATACTAACAGAATACCCGGATAAACTTCTAGGTTTGCCTAGAGTTGCGCTTTCTATTAGTTTGGCTTTTCTTGTGAATAGAATCGAGCTTTCCACGTCGGGGTCAAGCTTGATTTGATTTGGTTTCGCCTTTTGAAATGGATCTGATCTTGGTCAAATTTTGGTCAAATCTGGGCCAAATCTTGCCGAAATCTTGACCAAATCTTGGCCAAATCTTGGTCAAATCTTGGTCAAATCTTGGCCAAATCTTGGTCAAATCTTGCCGAAATCTTGCCGAAATCTTGCCCCAATTGTGCTTGCAAACGACTTACATAACTAGAATTGTTGTGAGCACATAGAGTAGAACGCTTTTCTCACTCATGATTTTCTCATTTAATTCTTTCATCAAAATTCTTTGAACTGGCGGTGATGGGGTGGATATGATCTGAAATGAGAACCTGAAATAAGAACCTGAAATAAGAACCTCTAAATATCGATTTCAATCATCTTTTTGATCTTTAATAGCATCTTTAATTGCCCCCTTCACCTGTACATTTGCCGTTTGTCGTGCGAGTAGATGAGAGCCAGCCCATAGCTCGCATGAATAAATCCCATTGTCAACCAAAGATGTCTGAATAGCTTTCTTGCATATAAAATGATTTCATTTAATAAATTAGCATTTAAAAAGATAGCTCAAGAATGTGCAAAATATATTAAAATACTCAACAATAAAACAACAAAAATACTAATTACCTTGACAAGTATTAGCAATTGATCTCGAGCCTTTAGAGTCAACCGGTTGTCAGCGGAAAGGAGTTGCTGAAATGAGATTTTCTAAGAATACCCAAAATCTTCAACTTTTTCCGTATTCTCTTCCTTTTGCCTAAACCATTGCATCCTTTGTCCATCTTGCAATTCAACCGTACAATCCAGGAGAATCATTTCCCCCTCGTTCACCTTTACATCATTCAAACGACTTCGGAATGAATTATCTAAAGATCTTGATGTTTACTAGAGATTTGATCCTCTACCGTATACTCTTAAAGTTGCACTCGCTTGTTGATGTCCGACTTCATTTGTGGCGTGGCAAGTGTAAACTCCGGCGTCTTCTCGCTAAACGATCAAAGAGATCAAAGAGAGCTAACTTTCTCTAAACTTTTGGAGAAGAAACTCTCTTCTCTCTTCTCTCTATCACTCACTTTCACTGACATAACATAAAGATGATCATCATTTGGATAGACATGTAATCGACGTTCGGCTGCTGCTGGGAATGAGTCCCCACCGTCTTTTTGCCATTTGATTAATGGCGGAGGAACACCTGAAAGAGTTTCTAAGAGTTTTTGGGCTTTTTTTGCTCATTATTTTACAAATTAGCTGATGATGTTAATGAGTAAAGTTTGCGTGGGATTAGCAATCATATTAAGAATGGCAAAACAATGCTTTATAGTCTATTCTGCTGTCAAATTCGTTCACCAACCCGTCGCCGAGCAAGCAATCCTTGCATTTTGCCCAACCAACAGCGCCACATCATCTGGCTCATTCGTGAATATGGGCGCTTCTTGAACCTGTAAAAAAGATAGAAAGATCTGATAGAAAGATCTGATAGGAAGATCTGATAGAAAGATCTGATAGGAAGATCTTTCAAGATAGAGCTTGCAAGATAGAGCTTGCAAGATAGAGCTTTCAAGATAGAGCTTTCAAGATAGAGCTTTCAAGAAAGATCTTACAAGATAGAGCTTTCAATATAGAGCTTTCAAGATAGAGCTTTCAAGATAGAGGTTACAAGATAGAGCTTTCAATATAGAGCTTTCAATATAGAGCTTTCAATATAGATCTTTCAAAAAAGAGCTTTCAATATAGAAAGATCTTTCAATTCAAGATATTTCAATATAAAAAGTTCTTTCAATCATATTTCCTTTCCCAACTTCTAGAAGCGTTCGATTGCTGTAATCGGTGCCAAATTGATTGTGAATGAGACATTGGTATTCAGCTCGATCGGTGAGTTGAACGTGAGAGAGGAAAAGCTCGCCGCGGACACTCACAAAGCCGCTCATTGTGCCTGGAAATGGTGAAAATGAAGAAATTAAGCTGAATTTGCAAATGAAACAAAAAAAAAAGAAAGAAATGAATAAACCATTCAACATCTCATGACTATTGCTGGTTATTTTCGTATCGTTGTCTTCATGCAATGTCCTCGATTTCCCTGCCAACTCGACGACTCTCCACTCGATCCAGATTGGACCCTCGCCATAGCCTGAATATTGTATTTTTATGTAAATTTTACATGCAAATTTTCGATATCTAACTATCTAACGATATCTATTTTCGATATCTACAAATTTACCAGAGCAATTCAGCCTCGCATCCGTGCCAATCATCGTTTTGAGACTCGCCGGCGGATGGGTGATCACTTTCGGGCGTGGTGAGTCACTCACTGTAAAAAAAAAGTGCTATCATTTTTTCAAATATATCCTTTACTATTTAAATATCTAATATGATATCTAGATCTAGATATTATATTTTTAAGTTTTTCATAATATAAACTATTCCCACTGCACGTAAGATTGGCGATATCGATGACGGTGACATCGATTCCCGTCAACGGTGAGGGATGAGAGCATTTCGTTTCAATCATCGATCTAGAAAAGAAAAATTCATTTCTTAAAGTTTACTGTGTCTTAAAATCGTTTTAAATCTCGTAAACTAAATTTATGTGAAGCAATGTAGTTGTCATTTTTTTGTTAAAGTTCTGAATTCGATCTCTGAAAGAGCTCACCGATTGAGTTGACTCTGCACAAGCAACCACTGTGTCCACCAATCGAGTTTACAGTCACACAAAAGGGATGTAGTATTGAGATATCTGAAAATTGGTTGCTATTGGTTAAACTACTAATGGAATATGAAATCTTACAAGATTTTGAGTGCCAATGGTTCGAAGGCTCCTTTGTAAATGGTGGCGATCGGGTTCTCGCGTAAATCCAACGCTTCGAGTGCCGGGAAACGCTCGAATGCTCTAGATAATTGGGTAGGTTATTTATGTTTTTTATTTTATTCTTTCAAAACCCACCTTGCCGGTATTAATTTGAGATTATTATTCGTAAATCGAAGTTCTTTGAGAAATGGTAGTGATGTGTTGTAAAGGAAAGCGCCGTCTTCCACGCAAACAGCTAGATTATTTGAGGAGAGATCGAGGCTGGAAAGATATAAAAAAAAAATAATCGATCTCTTTAAGGATTTAGGAAAAATTATAAGAGAATCGGCTTTTGAAACTTATTTGATTTAAAATATGCCTAAATATTGGGTTAGTGAATTGAAAACTGCCGGACTTTGAACTAAAATTTATTCAACATAAAACCATAAATTCATTCCAAATAATTTCCATTATTATTGACGACTTCTGCCCATTTTACAGGCAATTTGCGGATTCCTCTTTCGTAGTAGGATTTTGGTTTGTGTGTGAGACAAGTGTGAGACTCAAAATGGAGGACTGGAGATGTCCCAGTTTGAGCACTTTCTTCAAAAGAAACTCACTTTGGTGTCAATAGAAAAGTTGTAGAGAATCAAAAATTAGGCTTATAGCCAAATTTCCAAAAAGATACACTTAGTAGTTTCGCTTAAAATGTAAGTTTTGTGAAAATTAGTAAATTTGGCATTTCTTGAAAACCAGTTTTTGAATCGTTCTGAATATTTGGATATAAGCTTGATTTTTGATTCTCTACAACTTTCCTATTGACACCAAAATGGGTTTCTTTTGAAGAAAGTGCTCAAACTGTCACATGTGACAATAGCCCGCAATTTTCAATTCACCAACCCAATATTATTGTTTTAGTAAAAGATAGTGTTTAATGTTTACATGCGTAGATGATCAAGTCCGCTGAGCGCTGTCTTATGGAGGATTTCAATCGAGTTCCCTGATAAAGTTAGGGATTGAAGTTTTCGAAGTTTACTGAAAGCACCGGATGGAAGAGAGTGGAGTCTGGAAAGAGTGGATAGATGACTGACTGTGTACTTGGACTGTACTTGTACTATGCTTGTACTATGCTTGTACTATACTTGTACTGTACTTGTACTGTACTTGTACTGTACTTGTACTTGTACTGTACTTGTACTGTACTTGTACTTGTACTGTACTTGTACTTGTACTGTACTTGTACTGTACTTGTACTGTACTTGTACTGTACTTGTACTTGTACTTGTACTGTTTTTGTGCTGTTCTTGTACTGTTCTTGTACTGTGGCTTGATCTCTAGAACTACAATTCTAAGTACAATTTACACTACTTGCAACTTGTACCCCTAGTATTATAATTTGAAATGTTTACCGATTCCAATCCAAATTGAGCACACGTAGCTCAGCGACGTTTTGCCATGCAATCGCATCCAGCCAACTGATTGAATTGTGCGAGAGATCCCTGGATTGTTGTTGATTTTTGAAATGATAAACTACTGTAGTATCTAGATTAGTACTTCATACTCTAGTACTATTCTACTCTATTCTATTATATTCTAGTACAGTAAGCCGAGCATTCAAGAACAAGAGCAAATATTCAGTTGAGCTTACTATTAGCGTTGTTGAATTGTGCGAGAGACCCCTGGATTGTTCTTGATTGTTCTTGATTGTTCTTGATGACCTGTTTTCATTCTGTAGTACTATTCTAGATCTCTCAACTGCAAATATCTCTGGTAAAACTTTGTTACTTTACTCTAAAAACAACAGTAACTCATGTAGCGTAACAGATTTTGAATGATTTATGTAAAACAAGAATAAAGATATTCCAAACTTACCAATTACAGAAAAGAACGTCTATCTACAGAACTCACAATGTGTGCAACTCTTGCAATCCAAAATGAAGACTCCCCGAAATATTGTGCACGTGATTTCTCGAAAGATTCACCATCAACAACTTCTCGACACCGAAGAAAACCCCGTCATCCATTTTTGAGATCTAAATTGAATTTAGGTTAAATTCCTTTCGTGTAAACAACTTTATTTTCGGCTAATGAGAGATTTTGGAGGAGGGGGATGGCTGAGAAGGAGAGGCTCTGCAGATGGGAGAGCTGGTTGCGGGAGAGGTCCCTGAAATTGAAAAAAAAATCTTTTATTCTTGGAAAACTCACAAATACTGCAGTGATATCAATCCATTCCAGGTATTCGGCGAGAATTTGATCAACTTATTCTTCGAGATTTTGAGGGAAATTAGGGAGGAGAGATGGGAAAACGAACGATCGGGGAGATTGGAGAGATCGTTCGAGGAAAGGTCTCTGGAATGGGAGAATTGGAAAAAGAACTCAATAAAATGAAAATTTCCAAACGATTCCCCGACCCCGAAAACCCCCAGGTACAAATTTACAGCTGAATATCTTTTTTTTATCATTTACAAAACAAAAGAAGAATGACTGTATAACTGGAGAAGTGTTCTTTGTGCGACCGCGTAATTGCTCGCCGTCTGGCACACGTCCTCGATAGATAGGTTTTTCCTTTTCCGACCTAAGTCCGCGTTAAAACTCACAATTTTTGTATTTGCGATGTCCGAACTGGTGGTGCATCCTCATCGAATGAGCTCGGCTCGTTCCAGCTTCTAATCGAGTTTCGCGATAGATCCACCTAGGTTTTCAATTGTAATCGTCTCAACTCTTGTTTACAAGACATTTCACTTGTCATCACTTTGAAAAATGAGCTACTGTAGGATAGAAATTGTCTCTACATATCGAGTTCCCATTAACTCCTTTCACAAATTTCTATCAATAATTCCAGGCTGCATTCCAGATAAACAGAATGCAAGTTTCTTAATTCTTGTTAAACACGTTCAAGTTAAAGAAATACTGTTGGGTGGTCGTTCCACATTTTTCAAATCCGCTCAACTTATAAATCTTTTCCCGCCAATTTCTTTATCAAATGTTCCCTATGGGTCATCGACCCAACGCCGAGTTGTGTGATCGTGCCGAGTTGTGTGATTGTGCCGAGTTCTGTGATCGTGCCGCCTGTGTGTGATCGTGCCGCCTGTGTGTGGTCGTGACGCCTGTGTGTGGTCGTGACGCCTGTGTGTGGTCGTGCCGCCTGTGTGTGGTCGTGCCGCATTGGGTCGATGACCCATAGGGAACATTTGATAAAGGAATTGGCGGGAAAAGAAGCGGGAAAAGAAAGGTCAAAGGAGGCGGGAAAAGAAAAGATATTATTTTTAAAAAAAGTATTTTTCCTCATTTCAAGTGACTGACTCAACCTGGTGAATCGTCGACAAAACAAGCAAATCCCTCGCGTCAATCTCGGAAATGTTATTCGATCGCCTAAAAATTTAGTATGATTTGCTTTTGTTTATTCATTTTATCCTCCATTTGTTGGTTTATCTCTTGAAAATTCTCAACTCACAAATCAATTCTTGTCAACTTCTCCAATTTCTCCAAATTCTTTGGAATGCTGTTGAGCTTGTTTCGACGAAGATTTCTAAATAGTTTTTATCTTTCTAACTTTCTGTCTTTCTAATCTAACTTCAACTTTGTGCAAAATAGTAAAAGAGTACTGTAGAAGTCGAAAATTTTGCTTTTAAAGACTTACAGACTTTTAAAGACTAAAAAGTTTATAAATCAAAAGATTTGCTTTTAAATTTTTTAATCCACATACAGTACTGGACAATGAAATATGATATTTGAAAAAAGATCGTCACTTTCGCGCGTCTGTAACTCCCTTGTCTTTACCGTATTTCTAAATATTAATATTACCATTGTGTAGCCCATGAAAAGAGCTTTCAGAAAATGTAGAACACTAATAGTTTAAACTTAAAGACAAGGGAGTTACAGACGCGCGAAAGTGACGATCTTTTTTCAAATATCATATTTCATTGTCCAGTAGTGTAGAAGCTATAAAGGACTATGATTATAGGGCCAAATTTCCATAACCCTGACCCTGATCTAACCCTAGCTCAACTCTTCTACCATACCCATTTCCACTTACGCTACTATAGTTAAAAGATTTAGACAAAACTCACAGTGTAGTCAATTTCGTGAGTCTCTCGATCGCCTCCTCCACCGCCTCGACGCTCAATAGATTTTGAGAGAGATTTCTAAATTCATTAAATTAAAGTCAAAAAAAATTGTTTACAAAGTATTTAATCGCTTCAAATCGCTTAATCGCGCTACGTCGAGTTCGGTCAATTCGTTTCCACTTAAATCTCTAAAATTGTTTTCGTTTTTCGTTTTTTTAGTAACTTGTTGAGCTCATTTTGGTGTAAATACCAGTTTTTTTTAATTTATAACCTCACACAACGTATTGTTAGTGCGAAATAGAAAAGAGTATGGTAGAAGTCATCAAATTTCTTTGTTTTTTTTGATCACTCACAAGTGCAGAGTCGCTTTCGGAATACCAAAGGGCAGAAATTTGAGGTTTCGGTGTGAGCAGTTCACCTAAGAAATGTTGATATTGATAGAATTTTGTTAATTTCTATTCTGGTGGATAGTGGAAGATTATCCACGTTTTAGAAAACAGCCCAAGGCTCATTTAATTACCGTAGGGTTCCATAAATCCGTAATTTCCCTTATCTGGCTACTTTTCTCACCTCTCTTTTCAAACAATGGCATTTCTCGGGACATTTCGATACGGGTCCCCCATGGACAGAGAGTAATATAGCGATGATGGTGATGAGAAGAAAAAGAAGCGATGATTGGCTTATCGAAAAGGAAACATTGCTCATTCCCCACTTTTAACCTCTCGCACGATAAATAGGCATCGTATCTAAAGTGTGGAAATGCTAAATTTGTTGAAAGATAATTTTATCGCGAAAAGCTGAGTGAAATTTTGAATTTACTGTTAAAATCACTGAATCCCTGAATCACTGAATCACTGAATCACTGAATTTTTATTGCCTAATCGATAGCTATAGCCTCAAGTTTGTCATTAGGCACAAAATTCGATAGGTCTTGGAGATTTTCGAAAAATAAAAGCAAAAGCAAGTCCGCAATTGTTGCGTTTACACCGTTATATAGCCACACATTAAGGAATAAAATATTTAGTTAATTATTAGCCTCTTTTATATAGCTTCACATCAAATGTTAAAGAATTCAAAACTTTGCATCTATTAACTGAATATCCTGGTGCGCATAAATTATGCTATATAATTATTTCCGTTTCCGTTTTCTCTTCGTTTGCAAAAAAATGCCGACACGATCCGCGCGTCTTTTTATCTTTTTCCCACCCCCGAAGTGGAAAGGCCATATTTTAAAGATAGCTCTATTCTTTTTGCAAAGCTAACTTCCTATTTCATTTCGTACCACCAGATTTTCGATTTGCCAGCTGCTATAAAACCTTTGACTTGCTTCTGTACAAATTATATTTAGCACAAGTGCTTGTTTATAAAGTTAAATAATTAACAATGAAAAAGGTATTTGATATCGATTTTCGATGAATAAGCATTATGGAGCAGTCTCGATTTTTATCTCGTGATAATCACCGTTTAGTGGTACGCACATGCACATGGGACATTTCCCCGACCGCGACACAAAAGAAATTGATTGATCAAGAAATACTAATGAGCAAATTGTTGCAATTGTTTCCTTCCGTTATGCAATAGATTAATGGCGAGATTCTTGTTGTAAAAACGTTTCACAACAATGCTTGACACCCTACTTCATTCCTACTTTGCTCGTCCTCATTTTTTGGTAATTTGTGTTTCTAAGACTTTTGATAATTTGTTCTCTGCTTTCAGGTTGCACTGGCGAATGCTACCAAACGAAGCAACGACATCGAATGCTGATAAAAAGTCTCGTAAGTGTTGTTTGAGAGTTTAATTTTAGCGCATTAGTTGCTAGAAGGCTAGACAATCTCAAGTCTATGGGCCGAAATTTCAGTAGTTCTAGAGTCATTTGGAGTGAATTGAAAACAGAAAAATTGACACAATTGATGATGCTGATTATATTAGAAGTAACTGCCTAGTAGAGCTGATAGTGCCTAGCAAACCTTACCAATCAAATTTAAGTAGTAATTATGGGATAATTTAGTTATTGCTTGTCCAGCCATCAGCGAGTCCAAAAGAAGAAGGCGCAGCATGGGAGAAATATCGGCTTCTAAAACCAAGCGAAAATTCACTGGAGTTTCGATGGAAAACGTTGGGTATTAATATTTTTACTGCACAAAAATTATGTGGTTTTTGAGAACGTCGCTTCATCCAAAGAAACTGGCTGCTCGTCGTCGAGCCGTTGGAAACATGAACACAGTGATGAAAACAAATGAGCCAATTGTGGTTCCAATCCGCTTTTACGGCGAGGGTCGTGAGCCTGAGCATAAGCCTCACAAGATGTATGATTTACTATTCAGTCATCAAATCTGCTATTTTTTAGTGAATTAACACTAAAAAAGCTCGAATTGAAACCACGGGCAACTCAACATGGTGAGCTGTTTTGCTGACTTTAAATAAGTTATCTTTATTAGTACAAGAGCCTGGTCGTGCGATTTCTGATGCAGAGCTTGAGGTTTTCTTTTTAATCATTTTGTTTCAAAGTTTTGTTATAGGCGCTTACTCACAGCTTCCCAAATAAGGAAACTCAGCTACATCGGAACAAGCAAAGACGACGATCGAGTTTGTCGATTGAGCAGGATGGTAATGCAGCGCCAATAAAAACTTATCCCGTTTGTTTGCTTTAAATGTTTCAAATTAAATAAATTTTAGATTGACTATATAGCTGATATGCAGGGAGAGGGTAGCAAGGTAAAAAAAATTTTATTATACTAATTCAAGCAATGTTTCTTTAGATTACCTATCTTGTTAAATGGTCAAATTATTTACCTGAAGAGTCCACATGGGTTTCTCGAAGACATGTTCAAGCACCAGAAATGGTACGTAGTAAGACGGACACTTTATTGCTGCTTGAAAATAACTTTTACTTATTGTTAGTCTTATAGTATAACACATCGGGCGGGGTGCGTGCACTTAGGCAGGTCCGGGACGGGGTAAGTGCCGCGAGCCCTCCATGGGGCTTAGCCTGAGCCATCCTTAGAGAACTTGCAGCACTGACGCGCTGACGTTTGAGTGGTCACTAATTTCCAACAAAAATTTAGCTTGAATTTGCTCATTTGAGGAATGTCGCCCGCCGAGTGATAGAACAGAAGCTCCGCGATGAGCAAAAAGAGTCTGTTTAAAGTTCAATGTTGAAATTAGTTTATGCTTTAGCTTCGTCCCTTTTCCCCTGGACCGGACTGGACTGTATAAGGCCGTAAACAATGCGAAACACCGTAACCGATGGCTACTGCTTGAAACGGAATTCAACTGGAACACCATTATTGATGGAAAAACAGCCGAAATTTTCATTGAAAACTGGTCAGGCAAAGGGCAAGAATTTCCGAACTTTGAGGTGAAGATTTTCTTTTTTGAGCTTGAACCTTTGATAGCTTTGATAATTGTTTTGTTTAGTATATCACCAAAAATCGCCACTCTGAGGATGTTGTGAAAGCTTTAAAGAATATTGGTCCGGACGACCTCGCCCCAGATCTTGGCTGTAACGAAGGTTGCGAATGCAAGAATGCAATTAATTGCTGTGCCCGGGTATTATGAAAGCTATTTTGTGTTATTTTTCCTTCAGTATCATGGTGGACAGAATTACAACAGTGGAACAAAATCAAAGGGCATCCGGACAATCAAATGGGCAAACTCTAGCGCTGCCAAAGTAGTTGAGTGTGGAGAGCATTGCAAATGTGATCCCATAACTTGTCGTCAACGAGTGCTGCAGGTTGTTGCTTATGTAAATTACCAATCAAAAAAGTTCAGAAAGGGAGAAAGATACCTTTGGTGTTATTTTGGGAAGGAGGGAAAGGCTGGGGTCTTCGCACAATTCACAAAATTCCAAAGAATGCTTTTATCGGTGAATACGTCGGAGAGGTTTGAAAAGCGCTTACGGTTTAAATTAATCAAGTTCCGCTAGGTGATCTCTTTTGCGGAAGCCGAACGCCGAAAGGAAAACACTACATACCAATTCAACCTTTCGACGGCAATCCCAACACTCAAGAGCGAACCCCCGGTGATCGACGCCACAAGCTTCGGAAATGAAACCAGATTCATAAATCATTCTTGCAATCCCAATTTGGTAAACAAACTTGTGATCACGAATAAATATTCCAACTACGATTCTCGGATCGGTTTCTACTCCATGCGTGATATTGAGCCGGGTAAGCGAATATTTTTTTACTTGATGGAGATGATTTTTAGGCGAGGAACTCACGTTTAACTACTATCCTGAAAGGGTTGAGTCAAAGAAAGGAAGGATCAAATGTCGGTGAGTGATGATTGCATTTTCCTGATTTACTGGTTTGACAAATTTATAGTTGCGGTGAAAAGAATTGCCGTGGTTGGCTGCCTACAGCAAGTGAGTGAAGTGAGGAAGACGATTAGCTCCGAATCGCAAGCCACTTCATATGTTAGATATTAGTAACTTTTTGACATGTTAATGCAATTTGATTGGATTTATATTTTATGGGTTTATTTGCTTTAACCATTTTCGAATAAAGAAAAGAAGTTTGAACTGAGTTTATCCAACCTAACAAATTCTCGATTATTTGCTGATTGGATACAATGAAAATAGTACCTCGCTGCCGGAAGTGTTGTATTTAAGAACGTCAAAACAGTTTCTTTGCCGTATCAGGAGTTCTATTTGCTTTCTTATCGAAACGAGACAGGTCACGTGCGATAGTGTTTTTCTTTTTCTTCTATAAACGCTTTCCATCACTAATAAGCCAAAATTTTACCTCCGTTGCACCTCCCAGCACCAACGAATGCTTATTTTTTCGGTCTTAACAACGATGATGGTAAGAAGCTTGACAAATTCCAAATGACTAATAGTATGAACAGATCTCATCAACAGTGGGGACATTGGATGATCCTTGTCATTTTTGTCACGATTGGATTCTTTACGCTAGTGGCCTTTCGACAAATTACAATGAAACCGACTTCTGCAATTTGATCTTCGACTATTGTGAGCAACATTTGGACGACCTGCCTAGCAATGACACTTTGATATGTGATGAATTGAGACCGAAGTGCCATGAGATTTACGTTGGTTTTCGTTCAAACTTGTGTATTTGATTGTACTGTAATAGAAGAGCATGTAGTGTTGCGTCGTCTACGAAATTCATTTTTTCTCACGACTCCGTGCACCAATTTGTTCTAAAAGATAGAGGAAAAAATGGCAGGCTACGCAACACTACATGCTCTTCGATTAGGGGGTTGCTCTTCTATTATCGGTAGGAAAATATTGAAAAGAAGAGAAGTTTCAGGAAGAGTTGAATGAATCAGTGACCGAAGTGGAGATTTGTGAGAAACTTGGGCTATGTAAGGAGAAAAATATCCCGACGCCCGAACCCTCTGAAAATCTCCGTCAGTCCCACATTTATGGTGACTCTGGAAATCAAGTTGCTCAATGGTTATCCCGTCATAAACTGTCGTCAAAAATCACATAATTGCCCATAATTTGTCTTAGCTTTCTTATACGACGAAATTATGTTGCAAACTGCATAAAGGGTACTGTTTTGTCTTTTGTTGTACGCTAATAGCAACCATAAACACTTCAATTCACCGATGCCAATTAGTTAACTCCTAAATTCTTTCAATATAAATCGGATAACAAAATATTTTTTGTATAGACGTACACGTAATTTAAGAATAACTCCGTTACACAATAACGAGCTTAATAAATAAAGAAGACACAATTTAACTCAATTATGTACCAAAGAAATTAACAGTAACAATGAAATTTCTTCCAAAAAAACGATGAAAGATTGCGATTGGCTAGGTAACGTGACAACGATCAAATTTGGTTTACTTTCTAGTCGAATGCGTGTAGGCGTCCGGACATCGTAAAACCGCGTCCCTTGTGCGTGTGCGTGTCATCAGTGTTGCAGGCGCATTTCAACCACGGCTTGAAACGTTCACCCTAAACCATCATTTTAAAACGATTTTCTTTACGAGTTTACCTCATCAGATCGATCTTGAAGTTTGTCGCGAGCCCAGGCTTTGATTGGTGCTTCATCCCATTTGCTTTTTGGTGTTGGCCATTCACGTCTTCTAAACGTTAAAAATTATATATAATTATCGCTAAAAAGCTTACCTGATACGTCCACCAATTGTTCTATTTGATTTTCGTGAAAAACCTCTTCGAAACCTAAAACCGATCATTGGACTCAACCGAAACAATTGAAAAACCAACCCTTGTTTGTCATTATCATCGAAGCTGTACTCGTAATCGCTCAAAGTAAATCGCTGTCGTCCATTTGCAAACGAAATGCGATTAGCAATCGGAACATGTACCTGGAATTTTTAAATAAATGTACAGCTAAAATAAAGTACCCGACGCTTGTTTCCAGCAAAGGGTTGAGCTCCCAGTATTCGTGCTCGTGGAGCTAAACCGAGAGTATTACCAAATACAAAGCCTAATTACCCTTGAAACGAGTTGGAACAGTATAATTGGCAGTAGAACGAGTGAGTTTTGGACGATTTGCCGTCTTGCCATCAACATAAACCAAGCGAAGTCCATGCTTGTCGATGGGTCCTTTCTAAACAAGAATTCACAATTGTTTAAATACAAAAAAACTCACCTCTTCAAAAGTTTCTTGCACTCGTGGTCGATCAAGATCTTCATATTCTTCGGCTTCAAATTCCTGGTCGTCGATTGCACCGTCCACATCGGGATCATAATTCTCGGTCTCATCTTCATCCCACGTCATCGAACCATCATCGTGCTTCGGAGTGGATTTTGTTCTAAAATCAATAAGTTTTAAGGCATTACAAGTAGATTCTGCTCATAAGCGGCCGATTCCAATGTAATAAGATGATGTATAACAAACATGGTTGCTCGCCGATGATGAGTGATTCTGGGGACAATGGAGGCACGCTGGACACGCACAGGAACTTTCTTCTAAACAAATATTTGAGAAAGCATTGAAAAAACTGCAACCTTATTGCTTCCGCTGAGACGCTTAAAAATTGAATCCAACGTTCGGTTGCCTTTCTAAAAAGAACATTTGATATTAAATAAAGAAATTTACTCTAACCTTCAAGTGGCTCATTTCCTCTACAGTCAAGCTTTCATCCTGATCAATTTCATTCGTTGCCGGTCCCTCGTCAGCATCCGAGTCAGCCAAATCGTCGGGAAAGTCCATCACTTTGCGCGTTTGCCTCTTGCGGCTGTTTGCGAATACCGTTCTAAAAAGTGAAACATTAAAAACATAATTGTGAAACGATACTTGGTTGCTGAAATGACATCACCCATCATCGTCTCATCGTCCGCGTTGAACACGACGATTTTTCGCTGAGACATCGCAATTCTTTCCTAAAATTTAATAACGAGAATAAGCATTAAAAAGAACAGTGCTGATAATTGAAAATGTTAAATAAAAACAAAAAACAAATATAAGCCATGAAAAGTTTTTCGTTATAACGTTATAAAATCGAAGCTTCAGTATGTTTATTAAAAATTTTATAGCTGTTTATCAAGTTTGTTGTTACTAGAGTATCTTTGCTTGCGATTTAGATAAAGAAACGAAAAGAGGAATTAGTCAATGTAATACGAAAAGGAGTACGGTCGCTTTGCTGCGTTTTATTCGCGACTCATGCAAAAGGGAGAGGCCAAGAGATCCATCAGTGATTGGAAAGTCGGATTTTGACATGAAATTTAACAAGCGCTGCTAAAGGAATTAAAATTGGACACGGAAAAAAGAATAAAATTATATAAATCTTTTCTTTTACGCAAAATTAGATACTGTAAAGTGTTACCGTTTATTGGTTGAATATATAAACATTTAAAAAGCCAATTTATTGGATTCATTCGGAAAATATGGCAATTTTACCGTATTTCTTCGAATAGAAGACCGGGTAAAGAGTATGATCGCGTACTCCTGCGTAGCAGCCCTTTTTAAAATTTCTTTTCTGCATAAAAGCTTTCAATCAAGTGCTATAGAGTTGGAAAATGACTCAAAAATCTGTTAGCTCATGTGGTATTTTTGAGTCATTTTCCAGCCCTATAGCACTTCATTGAAAGCTTTTATGCAGAAAAGAAATTTTAAAAAGGGCTGCTACGCAGGAGTACGCGATCATACTCTTTACCGGGTCTTCTATTCGAAGAAATACGGTAGTTTTAAAACCGAGCTTCTAAAACTACGGTACTCTTCAAGCTTTTGATGTCTACATACTTTTTGCATTAAAAAGTAAAAATATAGTATTTATTGAGATGTTACAAGTAGACGGTGACGATAAACCTAACTTTTAACTGTTTACCAACATTTGTGCTCTTTTTTTTTAAAGAAGAATCGAGTCTATTTTAAATTTTCCTTTATCTATTTACAAATTTTCCAAGAATTTGAATCGAAAAGACACAAAAAATGAGTAAAAAAAAAGTCTTTTTCTATATAAAGCTTCCTCTCTTTCAGATTTGAGTGTTCTTTCAAGCGCTTTATACAGTAGAATTACCGTATTAACCGTAAAAAGTTAGTTACCGAGTTAGTGCCAAATAGAAATCACAAGGTGCCTGAATATTTCACCTATCATAATCTAATTACGGTCTACGTTAGAAAGGCATTATGGTAGTTTGATTACGCGATTACGGTATCTTTTCAACTCTTCAAAACAACCCCCTTTCATTACAATACGATATTTCATTACAATACGATATACATCTTTTGTATTACGTTACTAATTGTAAGGTATTACGGTATCTTTCAACTCTTTAAGTCAAATCAATCTTTTTGTTTTTGTTCAATTCTAGACTAGTTTTCGAGGGCAAACTGAGACACGGTGATGGGTAAACGGCTGAACAAACGGACAGGAGAGAAATCTCTTTTCTTTCCCCATCTCTCTCTCCGTTTTCTCCTCGAATGAGTCACGAGAAAAAGAAATACGAGCATCTTTATTGATTATAAATCAACTTCTCCTTAATTTTTTTGGACGAACGATGGCCTTTATGAACTCAGGATTGATCCCTTTCTTCTCAACCTTTTAAAACCAATTCAAAAGGTATTTTGGGTGTGTTTGAATTGATCAACTTGTCTACTAATTTGACCTTTAATTTTTGCAACATGATATAATGATGTTTTTTTTTGATGTTGATGATGATTTAGTTGAATATTTTGGGAAATTCTTTGATTTTGGTTGATTCAGACTATTTTTGAGTGTTTCCAAAAGCTAATCCGTTTTTTTTTGGGCTAATTGAATCTATTTGTCGTATTTTATTAAAATATTTTAATTTTTCGGTACTTTTTAGTCCATTAAAGCTTGATTTTGGTTTTGATTTTGTTTTGATTTTGTTGGTTTTGTTGGTTTTGTTGGTTTGGTTTTATTTTGGTATACGTTTTGGGAATTACTTGAACTTTGGAGGATTACTCTACTTTAGTGTTACTGTATTTCGGGATTCTGTACGCAAAAGTACTATATTATTTGTAAACTTTCATATTATTCTTGTATTCTTTTTGTGAAGTTGAGTGGGAGTGTGTGACTTCCATTCAACGTCACAAAAAATACATGAACGTGGAATCAATCTTCCTCTCGCACGATAAACAATCAACGGTCAATAGAGAGAGAGAAAGGACGAAGGAGAGAAGAAACAGAAGAAACTTTCAACAAATTGATCTATTGGACTAATGTTTATTATATTATAGGCATCACAGGCATTTGAAGTCATTCATTCACTATCAATTCCTATCTTCATCAACGCTTTCATTTCTTTCATTTCTTTCCTTTCTTTCAAGCCTCATTGTTAGCCTGTACTTGGCCAAATCCTTCACATTTGCGTGCAAGACTTCAAAATAGCATTTCTTTCTTCGACAGCTTCAACAAATCTCGATCTTTGCAATTCACTTCTTGAAATAACCCATTCAGTTTAGGAAACAAAAAAAAAACATGGAACCCTCCTCGACAACACCGAGCATCACAACATCGATTTTCCATTCACTTATCTCCAAAACATCAACAAATTCTCCCCCAAAACTCCTCCAAACTTCATCAGATTCCTCCATTTTACCCAAAACCAATACCCTCTTCCCAGTTGTCCTCCTTTTTGCCATTCTCTTCATATTTTTCTTAGCCTGTATCTGCGATTGTCGGAGGTGAGTGCTTTAAAAATCATACTTAAAATAGGTTTAATTATTTAATTAGCTTATGAAGTATTATGCGGTACTGTAATACTGTAAAATTTAAGAACTTCGTAGTGCTTTTTACCGTCAACTAGTTTCCATTTGATCAGCTTAATTTTGATCTCATTTGATGAGGAATTACAAGGTTTTTTTTCAAAAATTGAGCTAATCGAATGGAAACTGGTCGTTTGATTCGCAGATTTCTCTTTTACCGCATTTCTTCGAATAGAAGACCGGGTAAAGAGTAGACTTCGGAAAACAAAACTTAACCAAAACCAAAACCACCAAAACCAAAACCATAACAAAACCAGAACCAAAACAAACCAAAACTAACCAAAACTCGCCAATATCTCGCGACTGGGAGGAGCTAGCGAAAATCTGTTTGCAGATTTGAAATCAGCGTCCAAAAATCTATCCCATAGGCTATTTTTTGTTTCGAAATTTCGAGGTCGTGTTTTGGTCCTTTTTTCGGCCGCGAGATTTTGGGGAGTGAGAAAAAGTGAAAGGCAAATTTGCATTTTACAATTTAAATTTGCATTTTACAATTTAAATTTACATGTTAATTTATATGCAAATTGAGTTTTGGTTTGTTTTGGTGTTTTGGTTTTGGTCTGTTTTGGTTTTGGTTTTGTTTGCCGAACTCTAGTAAAGAGTATGATCGCGTACTCCTGCGTAGCAGCCCTTTTTAAAATTTCTTTTCTGCATAAAAGCTTTCAATGAAGTGCTATAGGGCTGGAAAATGGCTCAAAAATCTGTTAGCTCATGTGGTATTTTTGAGTCATTTTCCAGCCCTATAGCACTTCATTGAAAGCTTTTATGCAGAAAAGAAATTTTAAAGAGGGCTGCTACGCAGGAGTACGCGATGATACTCTTTACCCGGTCTTCTATTCGAAGAAATACGGTAACTATAGTAAATTTCTGCTATAGAGTGTGTACATTTATCGTTTCGTTTTCTAAAAAGTGAACTCATCAATAATTTTATGTAAAATAGGAAACATTTTACAACTGTTCTCCATTTTCAGAGACATCAAAGAGAAGCGGCGAATCGAGGAGATTCTTGCATCGAAATCCCCTGAAATCACCGTTGTCGATGGGGAATCGGGAGAAGAAAAGGCTTTAGAGGTTTAGTTTTAAAAAAAGATACATATTTTCTGTAAATATTGAAATCAACTTGTGATGTGACGGTGCTTTCTCTAGAAAAGGTTTTTAAACTTTTCATTTGTGATGGTTCGACTCGCAGATTCGGGTGCTATAATAAAGTTTATATCAAGAAATGATTTAAGAATGAAGTGAACAGAAAATAAATGAATTCATGGGGATTATTATCTAGGGTGGGTCAAAATCACGGCTACACCCTTTCAGCAGATTGCATGCAAAACGGCGCAATCAATTCAAAAACCCTAAGTGTTATATGGAGAGCTGTAGCCTGAATTCTGGCCTACATTTCTGTACCAAAAGCTTTTTGATTGAAGTTTTGCAGCCGATTTTGTCAGACTCTCAAATGAGCCCAATCCCAAATCTCCGGCACGCTTCCCATTTTAGCTGTCGGATTGGGCTCATTTGAGGGTCTGAAAAATCGACTGTAAAGCTTCAATCAAAAATCTTTTGATACAGAAATGTAGGCCAGAATTCAGGCTGCAATTCCCTATATAACACTTAGGGTTTTTGAATTGATTGCGCCGTTTTGCATGCAATCTGCTGAAAATGCGTAGCCGTGATTTTGGCCCATCCTGTATACAAAAAAGGTTACTGTACCTGGGGATTACTATACTTTTGATGATTACTTATCAAATCCGAGTTCTAATTGGTAGACTTGATAAAATGAATAGCTCAAATCGATTCCCCGACTCCGAAAACCCCCGGTACTTTACATAAAAGTGATGTGCATGTGCAGCCAACATCAAACCGAATATCGTCCCACAGATCTTGGTGTCAAGAAATTTCCACCGTATCTTTCACGTTTCAGTAATAGATTCTATAAAAAAAACGATTCTAATACGTATTTAATAGTGAACTAAATTTTCAATTTATATTCAAATGAACTGATCAATTTTTTATCCAAATTAGTGAATTACTAGTAAAAGTAAAAGTAAAAATAAAACTAAAAGTAAAACTAAAAGTAAAACAAAAAGTAAAACTAAAATAAAACTAAAAGTAAGTAACACTACTAAAAAGTCTCTTCAAGTCTCATTTTATTTTGATCAAATGTACATTTCTATTCATTTTACTTTTAATACCATTCCCTGTTCATTTCTCTTTCCAATAATCTTTTAGAAGAAGAAAAAGATGCCCATTTAAGAGGAGGAGCCTGGATTCAGAATGGAAATGAAAAAGAATGAAAAAGAAGAAAAAGAGAATAAATCTTATCACCAAAAAACGAACCATTGGAGTGGTTGAATGAAGCTGTTTTCTGGCTTTGATGGAGGTACTGCTAGGGGAAACTGATAGCACTTTTTAGATGGGAATCCAGCAGACTTTCCGTCCCCAAAACCCATCAAAAACACCCGGCAACATTTACTCTTTTACTTTTTTAGTTTAGACTCATGAACGTTTTGTTTTGTCTTCTTTAAGTGTCTTTGTCTTTGTCTTTTCAAATTCTCTTTTTCATTTGAATATCGTAGTCGGAATATTTAGATAATACTTTAGAATTAGAATTTAGAATTAACCATTTTTACTTATTCCAGAGTTGTCTGTCAAAACTGAACAATACAAAACCTATTCAATACAAAGGAACTGTAAAGGAGCTTTAAAGGAGCTTTAAAGGAGCTTTAAAGGAGCTTTAAAGGAACTAAATAGAAACTATAAAGGAGCTTTAAAGGAACTAAATAGGAGCTTTAAAGGAGCTTTAAAGGAACTATAAAGGAACTAAATAGGAGCTATAAAGGAGCTTTAAAGGAACTAAGTAGGAACTATGAAGGAGCTTTAAAGGTTTCAAGCTTTAACTTTTTTGGAAAACCGTAAAACCCCTTTTCAAAGTGTACCTTCATCTGTTTCAACTTTCAGGACTTTCAACCTTCCAAAGACAATTTTCAGGAACAAGACAATCTTCAAAAAGAGATACTCTTGAATGCGTGACAAATCGGGGCTCATTTTGGTCATTTTCTTATCGTTTACCGTTTGTCAAGCGGTAGATGAGGGAAAATCTCGATTTCAAATCCCCTCCTCCACTGAATTCAAATGTCAAAACGAGTTCCCCCTCAAGTAAGGCTTGATAAAAGTTAAATCGGTTTAAAAGAAAGTATTGAGTTGATAGGCTTTTGAATAATTATGCCTCACTCCTTATCTCTGGAATCGATTTGGGGTTTTGTTGAAAAAAGAAGGTGAACGATTTCTCAAAAACAACTACAAATAGCTTTGCAACTATACGATGAGTCAATTGTTTTTGATGATAAATTTTCGAATGACTCAAAGGCTTATTTGATCTGAAGATATGGCTTTTGAATTTGGTTAAGAAATGTAGTTTTGTTGCTTGGGAAATGAGTGAGACAAAATTCTGTTTATGGGAAATTTATCTTATCCCGAATTTTCTAATTCGAATTTTTATCTTATCCCGAGCTGCCAAAAACTATTAGTGCAACAAAAAAACTGATATTTTTATATCATTGTTTATTTTGTTTCTTGTTTAAAAGGCAATTCTAGTTTCTATTATAATAGAATATATAAATACAGGGTGCGGCAAAAGTTTGGAGCCGCTTCTTAAGATAGTTAATAGTTTAAAAACTAGCTTTAAAAAGTTAAAAATTAATAACAAATTCTTTATTCGAATTCATAACAACAAATAACTTATAACAAATGCTCGAAATTTCCACCATCCGCTTCGATACACCTCTTTAAACGCTTTGGGAAGTTCCTCACGATGGTGGCGCACGCTTAAACAGTTATTTCATACCAGACTCGTTTCAGAGCAGATTTTAAAGCATCCACTGTTTGATATGTCTCCATCGAGATCTTGCCTTCCAAAATAGCCCAAACGGAGTAATCGAGGGGATTAAGATCTGGCGAATTTGAAGGCCAAATGGTCTTATCCCAAAAGCCTGAAAACAACAAACGTTGAGAGTTGAGTGAGCACTATGCTCAGGAGCCCAGTCCTGTTGCAGGGAAAAGCCAGCTTGCCCAAAGTGATTTGTTGCCCAATGTTTCAAGACATCTTTTTATACCAGTTGTTGACAGTTTTTAGCATTCATCTTGACGTTTCTGTCCAAAAAACAGGCGGTGTCTTACTTGTAGCACACATACCTCCACACACCATAATCGAAGCTGAAAAATGCTTTCTAACCATCAAATTTGCCGCAAATGTGTTCTTCAGACCCCTTTTGAGAAGTTATCTATGATTTTGGCGGTTGTGCAATGACTGGATAGAAAAAATCTTTTCATCTGTGAAAAGGATCCTCTCAAGTACGCCAGTCGCCACCAAGCGCACCATCTTCTTTGCTAGACGCTTTCGTTTCTTCTGGCATTTGTCGCCCAAGACGTGTGCTTTGGCCAATTTGTAGCTAAAGAATCTTAGTTTCCCTTTAACAATCCTTTCAACGCTTCGAGGGGCAAATTTTCAGCTGTTTGCCCATCTTTCGCATCGACCGCAGCTCGTTTTGGCGAATCCGAAAGCGGATTTCGTTGATGTTCGTAGGTGTTACGGCAGTTGGTGGTCGACCACTTCAAGGGCGATCCTTGTTGTTCTTTATCGCCTTGTGGCGTTTAATTGCTTTGTTGACGGTGCTTTTTGGATATTTCGTGATTTTTACAATCTCCGGGCTATTTTTTTCGCCTTGGTATAATCCGAGAATCACATCGCGTCGTTTTTTGGCGTTCATTCTTACGAATTTTCTCCTAAAAAGAAAATTTTTGTAACAAATCACCTTAACTATACTCGAAAAAGGAAAAAAAAAGTATACGAGACACAAAAAAAAGCGTGAACTAAATTTTCTACAATGTTTTCATAGCGGCTCCGAACTTTTGCCGCACCTTGTATATTTGAATATATTCGAATATATTTTAATATATTTGAATATTCTATCAAAACCCAATCATTTTAAGGAATATTTAGCTAAATCTAAAAGTATATTATTCCAAAATTTTAGAGAAACGGTGAATCTCTTAAAAAAAATCGTGGACAAGTATGGAGAACGACGAAATGAAAGAGATGTTGATGGAAATGAGTGGACATCCATGTTGATCGATCAATCCAAAGAGATTAAGGTAATACTATAGTAACTAGGGTTACTAGATATGCACGTACCTATTACAAAGCTTTCTTCATTCATCCAAACAAATACTAAAATTCTATCGAATTCAAAAGTCCCTTTCACTTGTCTTTTCTTCAATTAATTGAAAGTTGTTATGATTTGTTGGAGAGTTGAAGCAGATAAGTAAGGCAAACAAAAAAAATTGACGGGTAAATGGTTATTGGAGGGAATGAATATGATAAGGAGGCTTTGAAAGCAAAAAAAAAACAGGCAGTATGCCAAAAGGATTATGGAATAAAATTTACTAATAAAGTTCAAGCTTGACCCGGCTAAAAACTATTTTTACTCGCGTTTTTTTCTAGGCTTGTTTTGCATTTTCTGGATTAGTCTATTGTTGATATTTTTAAAGTGTTTTTGAATAGTTTTCACTTTTGATTTCATCCTTGGTCTTCTTTTTTTGCGTTGCGCTACTGCAACAGTTATACTTCTTACAAAACATTAAAAAAGATTGTTGAAAAGTTTCTAAAAAGATCACCAATAGATCTAGCATCTTTGATTACCCTAGAAAAATGGAATAACATTAATAAAATGGTCGGAAAATACGATCTAATCAAATCAATCAAATCAGTACAAGAAAAATAGATATAAGTAAAAGTTGGAGTAATTGAACCGGTCAAAAAACTGTGGGGTTGGCAAAAGAGTCAAACTTCTAGATCAAGTCAAGTCAAAGCCAGAATACAAGGTAAATCAAAGCCAGCCAAATTCAAGGTAAATCCAATTGAAAGCCATTGATTTGGCTTTGACTTGGCTAGCCTTAGTTTTTGGCTTCTTTTACCCACCCTGATAAAAAAAAGATTTGCCTTTTGGCTTGGCTTGGGTAATTGAAGCAGCCAAAAATGATCAAATTTATTTATTTGCTTATTAAATGGTTTACCGTGCAGGTGTTTGGGTTTACTCACGTCGTCTTTGATCTCATTTTTCTTTTAAAAACTAATCTAGAGTTCTTTGTAATCATTCAAGCCCTTTCATTAAGCCATTTTTATCACTGAAGCCTTTCTCAACTTGTTATTGTTCTTGTTTCGCATAACGTCATCGATATTTCAGCGTTGATCTCTCTTCTCTAATCAGTAAACACAAAAAAAAGAGATAATATCTCCAACCATGACCCTTTCTTATTGTCTGAAATCGAAGAAACGACCGGAAGGGTTTATTGAAAAAAAGATTGAAATTGTTTTGAGTAACGGTAAAATATAATAAGTAATAAGTAATACTTGAATTTGAAGGACTTGAAGGGCCTTGAAGGGCGGCTTTTACTGTAAAAGCCCAGTTGATTTCTATACTACAATGTGTTAAAAGTAATATATTTAGAATTCTTAATGATACAGCACAGTACAGCTGAAAGTAAAATTAAAAACAGACTTTGACAGAGTTGTGGATAATTTTACAAAATCCCAGTCCGTCTCTTGTACAAAAGTCTCGAAGTTTTTCTTTAACGAATACATTTTGAGGTGGATGGTCGAGAGTTCCGGTTGAATTCCCCGGAAAAAGTCGAGACAACGTTTTTCTTGGAAATTCTTGAATTGCTTGATGAGGAGATATTTGTGGTGCCTGGGCACACAAAAGCTCTCTGGAGTGCTCGACATCCTGATAGAACTTTCCTTCTGCATAAGGTGAGATTTGAATTGGGATCAGAAAGTGAATAACTCTTGCTTTGTCAAGAAAGGACACGTTTTAAGAAAGATTTCATTTGAAAAGTAATAGTAATCGGAAAGGTTTACGGTATTTTAAGATCTATTTTCAAATTGATTCAAATGAAATCTCTTTAGATCTCGTTCGATTGCGGGAAAGACGAGGTGGCTTGCGGTTTACAATGTTGTTCGTGTCGGACTCGATCTATTCAAAATGTTCATATTTTTCAGTGTAAAATTGATAGAAAAACTTCAATTTCTCGGATTTCAGCGAATTTTAGCGCCAAAAAAACCCAAATTTCGAAGAGTTTTCTTTGAAATTCGGCGGTGATAAAGGCTGTAAATGGACAAGGGAAAAGGGGCTTCGATTCATTCTCTTTTATGGACTAATAAGTGTGCTGAAAAGATAGCTTTTGAGAGGGGTTTTTATGAGATTTGAAGAGGAAAATGAAGAAATTTTTACTTCTGAGAACAATGATCTGTTTCAGGATTTCCTGGAAGAGATTGCTGAAAAGAGGAAACGATTCAGGAGATCACCGACGAGGGTCATTTCGAGGAAATACTTTAATGATTATCAAGTGAGTTGGAATGGGAGAATCATGTCATTGTCAAACTGTCATTGTCAAACTCCAAAAATTTCTCAGATCACTCAAAACGGGATCACGTATTCACTGGAGCCGAAATCGGGAATGAATTGTCGATATCGTTTAAGTCAATTCGACGATCTTTACAAGAGAAGAAATGTTTATAATATAAGGGTAAGTAAGGAAACACGATAGGCTTTTCAGTAGAGTGTTTTCCTCACGAGTAATGCGTTTTTTTTTAAACGCACACTTAGGAAAAATTACCGACTTTCAGCGAAAATTATCGCAAAAAAAATTGGCCCGAAAAAGTCACGAGCACCGAGTTATAAACGACTTCTTTTAAAGATATTCAGTCGTTTAACTGATTTGCTGACAAATTCCCGTCAAATGTAAACATATTCAGCCGTTTAATTGATTTGATGAGAAATTCCCTTCAAATGTAAAGATATTCAGCCGTTTAATTGATTTGGTGGTAAATTCCCCTTCACAAGTAAAGATATTCAATTTACTCGACGTGTAAAGAGGATTACTCGTAGTTACATGACCAAAAAACGTCGATTAATCGAGTAAAAATCACTCATGCAAATTTTACTCGAGTAATTACTTACTCGTGACGAACACACTCTACTTTTCAGTAAAATTTATAGCTAATGAATAATGCAATTGAAAAAATTAAACTTGTCTCTCTAGCATTTGACAATGAATTTGTTTCAATTTCCAGACAGACACCATTTTCTACAAGTGTCCCCCGGGACACGGTTGCTGCTCGTTGGGCTGTGTGCTGATTTCTAAAACTCTAGAAATCTCACAACCACCATCAGTTGAATACATGCTTGATAGGTTCGTCAATTGGGAAATATTGTAACTTAAAAGATACGGGAATAGTACCAGTCTTTCGTCTTACTACAGTATCCTTGATAGGGGGGACAAGAGGCTGGGCTTTACAGTACGGCTGGGGTATTGTAGACAGGCTGAGATTCTGTAGCCAGACTGGGATACTGTAGCTAGACTAAATAACTTTATAAATGAAAATCGCCTTTCAGACCTCGTCAAGCCCTTGTTTTTGCTCAAACTTTTTTCAACGAGAACTCCCTCTACATTTATGCCCTCTTAATTTTCCTCGTCGCCTTTCTTTTCATCATCATCCTTGTCGTACACATCAAAAAGTTTGTCCAATTTAGAGAATAGTTTCAAAAAAATAAGTTCAGAATTAAATCGATGAATACGAATTCGCAAAAATTGGCCCGAAATCTGCGCCATAAAACGACGGAGACGCAAACATCGATGGCTTCTTTGCTGTTGCTTGATAGGTGAGTTTGGAGAGAGTTTCTTAGCATTAAGGAATGAGTAAATTTATTTATAAATTTATCTATAAGTTTATCTATAAGTTTAAACTGTATTCCAGATAGGAAAATAAAAAAGAGATGATATTGAAAAATGTGAGAAGTTTGAGGAGAAATTTCGACTGGTGAAGTTGTCAGTCATTAGTCACCAATTCGATCATTGAACTAACAAGGGAATGGTCCAAAGTTAAGGTGATCGTTTGGCACCTCATTCGATAGATCTCATGATGAATATTAATGACCAAAAAAATTAGCTGCCGAAAGTAACTCTACAACGAGAAATGTGGCCGACAAGAAGCAAAAATGACGTTTTTGACTCTCCTTCGTGGGGCTGTAACTTTTTACTGAATCGATATTTTTGAATAATCTTTTTTGCGTGTAATAGAACTCAAATGAAACTAGAAATAGTAAAAATTTGATTCCCAAAGTATTTATAAAATTTTGTTTTTAAAAGCTTTTAGCCTTTAAATTTAAATTTTAAATTTTAGCCAAAGTTTACTGAACTTTTTTATAGGAACATCTTAAGTTTCTATAATTAATAAAAGTTTATTTTTTAGTTTCATTCAAGTTCTATTACACGCAAAAAAGATTCTTCAAAAATATCGATTCAGTAAAAAGTTACAGCCCCACGAAGGAGGGTCAAAAATGTTATTTTTGTTGCTTGTCGGCCACATTTCTCGTTGTAGAGTGACTCTTGGCGGCTAATTTTTTTGGTCATCAATATTCATCATGAGATCTATCGAATGAGGTATCACTCATCCCAAACGATCACCTTAACTTTGGACCATCCCTTGTAAGGGAATGGTCCAACGTTCCCTTCCCTGTCAAATTTCGAAAATGCAACTTGGATTTGTCAGCTGAAATCTTTCATATGCTGCAAAAATATCTACAATAATCACTCTAGTAATCCGTTTGCAAAATGCAAATTTCAGTACCCAATCGACGATTCGTCTCATTCCACCATCGTCCTTCTCAATTCAAATGCGAGACGATCAAAGTTTCCTCGAATTGGGATCTCATCCCTCAAAATCCCCTCATAAACGCCCGCATTCCTCAATCGTCGACTACCAAATTCAACCGAAATTCAAATTCCTCTCCTCACCCACCGATCAACCCTATTCCTCTCCAACATTTGACTATTACAGTCATACGTGGAACCCAAAAAAAAGCTACGATTCGTCGAATCCCTACCAATCAACAACTCTTCCACGAAATGTTTCCACTTTTAAACCGTTGAACACTTCTCCTTTGAAAGGCATCTAAACCCCAATTTATTACACAAATCTTGATCTCTTCTCATTGTTATCTTCATTAGTTTTCTTTGTACATTTTCTCAAAACGGGTTGAATTTTATCTTTTAGTTTGTACAAAGTAGCATCAACGACAAAAAAAATGATTATCTACAGGTGCTTTGAATAAAGATTTAACGGTTGTGGTGAAACCTGAAATGACATTTCTCAAGCTCAGAGCCAACCGGAACCTGGACTTATAAGCCAGATCAGACAGGGACAGAAGCCAAGTCCAGAATTGGCGTCTGGCGGACCAGACCCACGGCAAAGTTAAGCAAGGTCAGAGACAAATCAGGGCCTGGCTTCTAGTCTGACTCGGACACTTTGAATTCAGAACGAACAGTTGTCAAGAACAGAACAGTTAAGTGTTGGAAAACCACTGCAAAAAAACTTGTTCATGCATAAAAATGAACAAAGGGCTTCAGAACCTTGCAATGGCTCCAAGTCGAGAAAGTGAATGTGCAAATGAAGTTAATTATTAAATGCAAATCATTAAAGCTTACCGCTTTTAAAAGTTTAACTTTGTGAATTGTTTCTAAATTTTTAAATTTCTAGATTTCTTATCCTTTTTTTCTCCACGTACCCCGCGATTTTCGTTGTCACTAATTGAGCAGCACACGCGCATTTCTTTTCTATCCCAAATCAATCCCGTTGACCGCCAAAAATTCCTCTCTTGTCGCTCAATGACATATTTGACGCTTTTATTGCCTTTTCGTGAAGTTTTGATTAAGCTCATGCCCGAATTCTTTTAAATTCTAAAAATTTGACGATCAATTCTTTTCAGGGTATGGCTGCCCGTGGAGTGTTCTCCCGTGCCTCTCGCAAAGTTCAAGAACATCTCAAATCGGAGTTACAAGGCATTAAAGTTTGTCGATTTACATTGTTGTTTTATTCATTTATTTAGGAAGCTGGCACCTTCAAGAATGAGCGAGTTATTGTCGGGCGTCAGGGTGTTGAAGTTCGCTTGGAGGTTCTTTTTTTACGCTTAGCAAATTTACAATTTCATATTTAGGGACTGCAAGGAACCTACTTGAACTTCTGTGCCAACAACTATCTTGGCCTGAGCAGTCATCCAGAGGTTGTAACTAATTTAAGTATCAATTTATCGAAAGTTTAGGTAATAAAAGCTGGACAAGAAGCTTTGAAAACCCATGGAGCGGGCTTATCATCGGTTAGGTTTATTTGTGGAACGCAGGATATTCACAAACAGGTTGGTGGCTTTAATAATTTAAAGCGGCGATCATTTATTTTTGCGTTATTTACCGTATTCTTTCAGCTTGAGGCAAAAATCGCCAAATTTCATGGAACTGAGGATGCTATTTTGTACGCTGCCTGTTTTGACGCTAACGCTGGCGTTTTTGAAGTTTTGACGGGTTGGTTTATGATTAATTAAAAATAAAAAGCGATATTATTGTGTAACAATAAATATATGCTATTTGTAGGACCCGAGGATGCAATCATCTCCGACACCCTCAATCATGCTTCAATCATCGATGGAATTCGACTTGCGAAGTCCAAGCGTTTGCGTTACGAACATCTTTCTATGGCTGATCTTGAGCAAAAGCTGAAGGATACACAAGGTTTATTAAATATTTTTCTTTGTTAAATCGGACATTTTGTAGATTCGCGTCATCGAATTGTTGTAACTGATGGAGTCTTTTCAATGGATGGAGATGTAGCCCCGCTTAAAGAGATTTGCGATTTGGCCGAAAAGTTTCTAGAGTTTCTATTTTTTTCACACCAATTTAATTCAGATACAATGCAATAACGTTTGTGGATGAATGCCATGCAACAGGGTTCTTTGGCAAAACCGGTCGCGGAACACAAGAAGCATTAGGTACTTTTGTGTATGCATCAAGCTCTTTATTTCAATTTTAGGCATTAACAACAAGGTGGATATTATCAATTCAACTCTGGGAAAGGCACTTGGCGGCGCAATGGGTGGATATACGACTGGGCCGAAACCGCTGATCGATTTGTTGAGGCAAAGATCCAGGCCTTATCTCTTCTCAAACTCACTTGCACCAAGCATTGTCGGCTCTTCAATCAAGGTAAGAGCTTTTCAGTTTTATTCAAAGTCCAATGCATTATTTAAGAAGTTAAGTGTTAAATTTAGGTGTTTGATATGCTCATGTCGGACAGTTCATTCACCGCGTCTCTCGCTTCAAATATTTCCCGCTTCCGAAGTGGAATGAAACAACTTGGATTCCGTGTGCTGGGAAATGACGCGCATCCAATTGCTCCTGTTCTTCTTGGAGATGCCCGGTAAAACTTCAGAAATACCTTGTCATATATTATTTTTTTAGTGTAGCCTCGACAATGGCCGACGAAATGCTTAAAGAAGGAATCTACGTAATCGGATTTTCTTATCCGGTTGTCCCAAAAGGACAAGCGCGAATTCGAGTTCAGGTGCAACTTAATTCTTATTATTTTTTTCAATTTTACTTATTTTTAGCTCTCGGCAGCCCACTCCCATGAACAAATCGATCGTTGCCTTGGAGCTTTCGAGAAAATTGGAAAAAAGCTAAAAATCATTTAATAAACTTACTCCTATGCACCATTTGTATGTAACCCTAATAAAGATGTTTTTGAACTCCTTTGACTGTTAAAAAGGTCTCGATGACCTTGTGCTAGTTATTTTGTGGATCTTTCGCAAGCACCGTACTACCATGGAAACGACGCGGCGCGTCACTCTCGGTCGCATATCATTCATTTCGATTAGTTTGGCTTGCTTTTAATAACTTATCGATTTTGAGGTATACATTGTTTCGGCTTTAGTTTTTAAGCCATCCAAATACATACAAATAGTCATTTACACTGAAATCGCTCTAATTGTCCACAAAATTTCATCTGCTGCCTATTAATTGAATATCTTGCCATCTGTTACTCGATTAATGATCGGCACGAAAAAAATTTCATTCCATGTCAACGCCGCTCTTTCGATTTACCTTCCTTTAGCGCCCGTAAATGCTTGTATGTATTTTGGATTGGTTCTGTTTTCATTTTATTTGTTGTTTTTAGATTCAATATAGTTATAACGTTAATTCTTTAGGTTACGCCAAAAGCTAGTCCAATAGGCTGTAACTTACCTACTTCTGTCTGGCAATTAGCGTTATAGTCGTTAAATCACTGACGTCGAAATAATAGTTCAATATGTCTAGTCAAGAAGTGAGGTTTACTTAAAGTTATTTTATATAAAATGATTGTTCTTTTGCTTTGAAAAAGAACAATCGGTAGGGGTTTTTGTTTACCGAACACATTTTCTATTTTAGGCCGACGAATACAAAAATGATCCAAATGTCCAAGAAAATAGCGAGGCTTTCTGCAAAATTTTCATTGGCGGAATCAAGCTTGAGACTACCGAAGAAACTATGCGAGAATTTTACGGGAAATTTGGAGAAATTACCGATTGTGTCATCATGAAAGATCCACACACCAAGAGAAGCCGTGGCTTTGGCTTTGTTACCTACAAGCATAAACCAATGGTTGGTGTACTTTTTAATATTAATTGTAAATTTGTTTAGGTCGACGAATGTATGAAAAATCGCCCTCATGAAATCGACGGAAAGACGGTTGATCCAAAACGTGCCGTTCCAAAGGATGCTAGCAACAAAAACGAGTCTAACATATCATCAAGTTTGTTTTGGAAGTTTTTTAATACAACTAGTTCATTTAGAGCGTCTTTATGTCAGCGGAGTCAAGGATTCGCATACCGAGGACATGTTCCGCGATTATTTCACCACCTATGGCAATGTTGAGAAGGTCGAAATCATTGTCGACAAGTCCACCGGAAAGCCTCGCGGTTTCGCGTTTGTCTCGTTCGATGACGTATGTAAAACAATAGATAGTTTGTATTGTATTTGGTAATTTAGTATGATCCTGTTGATCAGTGTATTCTCGAGAAGTCGCACACTATCGAGGGAAGCCGTTGTGATGTAAAGAAGGCACTGAGCAAAGATGAAATGGTGGGTGTTTGTCCCTATCTTTGTTTACCGTTAAAATTTTTAGGCCAAAGCTCAAAACCAGAGAGATCGCCAGCAACGATTCCATCAAACTCGCGGGCCAGGTATTAGCACGTTATTAGGCACTATAAATAAATTGTTTTAGGTGGTCGAGGTGGCGGCGGTTACCAGGGTGGCGGATGGAACCAAGGTGGCGGTGGCGGCTATGGGGGCGGATATGATCAAGGATATGGAGGCTGGAATGGCGGACAGCAGCAAGGCTGGGCTGCTGATGCTGGTGCAGGATGGGGACAACAAGTAACATTTTACGATTAACTGTTATCTAAGAATTTTTAGGGAGGCTGGGGCGCTGGTCAACAAGGCGGATGGGCTGGTCAACAAGGCGGTCAGCAGCAATGGGGCGCTGGACAAGGAAATGGCTGGGGACGTGGCGGCCATCAATGATCCCTGATCTCATTCATCCAAGTTTTAATCACATTTTGTTCTTTGTCACTTTGACCATTAATATTGGCAGTTGTGCTTTTTTTAAATTGTTATCTTATTATTTATTTTTGGATAAATTATGTTTTTTTATTCAAAGAGTTTCCTGAAGTTAACGCTCAGAATATTGGAAAACTTACAAAGTTACACAATCAGTGGACATTTAAACATTGAATTCGAATGAGTTCTTTAAAATTTTTCGTATAGAGGCCAATGGCGCAAAATGTTTTCGGAGTTGTTGTCGGTGGAAGAATGGTGGGCTTGTTGATTATTGTCTAAAGATTTAAATCTTTTATTTTAAAAATCTTGTGTCGATCGTTTAGTTGCAAACCGATTTCGTGCAGGCGGGCGAACGAGAGTTTATGATTGAAATCCCAGATGCGGACTCGATCAATCACGTTGTGATATTTCTGACAGGAGTTCAACCATTTCCCGACGGCACAGCAGGCGCAGGTAGAATTTATCGCTTCTTCAGTGAAACCAATGCTTTTAAGTGTATATGAGATGGCCATTACCAAGTGGGAACGAATCAAATTGGCATTTCTTGGGCTACATTTCAAACGAAAAGCCCAGTTCAATTTTTAAAGTTGCTAAGGTGAGTAGCATTTGCATCATTAACTTTCAAAATTTATGTTTAGTTACATCGAGCCGATGCTCAACACACAGGAATATTTGGAAGCAGTTTTTCTGCGTCCGCTCATGGAACAGCTCAACTTGGGATACAGGTAGATTTTATTTGAAAGCTTGAGGTGTATCTATAATAGTTGGATGTGCTGTCGGAAATCCAATCTCGAGTACCAGATGGGGTTACAGAACCAACCACTCAGGTAACCAGTAGATAATATTACAAGCTTTGCAAAAAAAAATTTTAGTCGACACTTGCCGAATTTGCAAACAAGATGCTACAAAATTTGGTCAATCATGCACAGGTAGATAATTTTTTGCTGGTGAACAATATTCTTGTTTAGTCATTCACGGTGAGATTGCCGAGGCCTGATGGATTAGGAACGAACGAATACATTCCACTGAATGCACTTCAAGATTGGTACGTTTATGTTTTTAGTGTCTTTTAAACTAGAATTCTTTAGGTTTAACACCTTCTCCAGACGGTTTCAACAAAATCCCTACTTCTGGAAAGGACTAAACAACGGATGAAAAGGATTTGAACTTTTGTATATAATTACTTTTTATTGTTTTAACTGCTTTGAACGGGTTGTTCTTTATAAATCTTTTATCAGGCATTCAAATTTTTGTGGCGCATATAATTTAGACCAAATTGAGATCATTGGCATGACTAACAATGGAATATGGAGATCAAAGGTGGTTAAGGGGAAACATCAACAGATGCCCATTTTCGTTCGTCTGGGCTCTATTGGTTTTGCAAATCCGTCCTCGTCGTAGTTTGTTAGTGAGTACATTGTACCCATTGATATCTGGAAATTGGCTGGGTCTATTGTGAGTTTATAAATGAGTTTCCCTTTACCGTGCTGTGCATGTCATCGTTGAGTCCATCCCTCCCCTGTAGTTGATCCACAAAATGGCCAAATGTTTTGCAGAGATGAATGAGAAGTAGCGTTTCGACAACAACCAGTAGTACCTAGAATTTTTTTTTTGTTTTCCTCGTATACAGAGCTTTTTTTCTAACATCGAGCACGAGATGGGCTCCATCCGAAGACCAGAGATCAATTCGATTTGAAGCAATTCGGAGAAACGAGATGAGAATGTTGAGGTAAAGGACAAAAGAGGTGACAAGCGACAGGATGAGAGCCGGACAAAATAAGAGGAGGGATTGTCGGGGAATCGCCAGCAACACGAGAGCGTAAAGCGGTAACATTATCACGTACACCAAGGCAACACCTGAAATTTTTGAATTTGGTACAGTTGTGGATCAATTTTTGATTTGAATTTTACATCTTGCAACCAGGAACCATCCATTTCGAACTACTATGCAGAGAAATTTTTGCGCGATAACGCGTAATGTTGATGAGATAATCGTGTTAGTGCAAGGAAGGGCGGCTACGATAAACTTTCGCGCGAATTGGAAAATATTTGCTTTTTTTTTTTTGAAGAACTACCGTAAAGGAATAGATGATTAAAACCCTCATCGAGAAGAATCGAGACGAGAATACAATTGAAAAGGAAAAACTTGATCAGAAGAGCCGCGAGAAATGAACGATGTTGGCGGAGGGTTGAGTGCTGATCGAGAAAGGCCTGGAATCGGTTCTTTCAGTTCTCAATTTAATCCGTATGCTTGACCAATATTAAAAATTTCAGTTGTATCAGAGTTAGCAGTAGTTTCAAATCTCGGTAAAAAGGATTTGTTTTCAAAAATTGATCGACCGGTCAAATAAACACTTATGATATCTTTGACATCACTCTATCATCATCACTCACCTCAGCCCCGCTTGAGACACTGTAATTTCCATCATCGCTGATCGTCAGCTCGATTGCTTTCACTTCGGTTGTGCTTCCATTCGAGGTCACAACTGGAATATCAATTGTACTACTGTATTTATCTAGACATTGATTAGCAAAAGCGCTTTTACAGTTCGATATCTTTTAGATATATTTATCATTTTTAACAATTCCTTTACCTGTCAATAACTTTGTGTCCTCGTTGAGACGGGAATTGAAAGCGGCCTCGGGCGGCAGCTTTGCGTTTCTTTTGCGCTGATATTTTCACCAAAATCGGCTCCAAGCTTGCATCAAAACTGGAAAGGCCTTGCGTTGGGTCAACCAAACAAAATGCAAATTTCACTAAGAGGATATTGATTTAGAGAAGGTCAAAGAAAGAAGGCGAAAATCAAAAGGGTTCAAATGGAATGGGGAAATGATCCTTTTTTGTGTGATTCGTTTCTCGAGAATTTACAAGCCATGAAAAGTGGTTAAGATGGGGGTGATTGGAGGAGGAGAAAAAACGATTGCGCGTCTCAACCAGCCGTTTTTTCTCGGGGCGTGAAACGTTTTTGTGGTTAGGGAGAAAAGAAAAGATGGAAAAGTAAAGGAAGAAAGAAAAGAACACCGACTATTTGATGGAGAATGAATGATTGGAGAGTGATCGGGAAGGGGAGGGGGAACGGCTAGAGTTGGGAGGGGCGAGATTTCCGGTACACGGAAAAAGAATGGAGCTGATCTGGTGATGAAGATGATTTATCGCTTTGGAACAGATGATTCTGTATTTAAAAGCTTTTTGAATGAATCATTGGCTGAAATTGCTGAATTACAGGTACTTCGTACGCACAATTCGGTCAATGAGTTCTCTAAAATGTGTCAACTTTCAGAAAACTACCAATCTAACCTACCGTGATCAAAAATCACAGATGATCATTCAAAATCATCATCAAACGACCATCATTCAAAATGCTGAGTGAATCGGCACTAACTTCAGCGCTAATTGTCCCAACAAGCTCATCTTTGATCACATTTCTCAGTTCAACTTGTAATACATTTAGCTCAACTCTCGTTTTTCTCTGTCTTAATTATCGGCTAGTGGGGGGAACAGGGAGAATTGAATAAATAGCAATTAAACCTTTCTGAATGAAGGATTATCGTGTTTTTCTCCAATAAATGCTGGGTTTTTGGAAAACAATTTCGATTCCAGATTGTAAAGATTGCAAAGTCACATGCAAAACTACCGTAATCTATTTCCATTACAGTATGCCTTACTATGTCATACTGTAGTCAAGGTATTCAGTCAAGGTATTCAGTAAATGCCTTTAGCCTGGTGCATTTAATGGGACAGTGACTGAAACCAAGCTAATTGCAAGTTACTTTCATAATAAACAAAGTTAAAACAAGAAAAGGAATGAAGAAAGATCGGCCCGTTCAACTAAAAATCCCCTCTCCAAAGAATTGAGCTCACACAAGAATGAGACAAAATTGGAATGCATCCACATTTTTCTCTCTTGATGGAAAGATAGAGGAAACGAGAGGCTTTTTGAGAGAAATGGCGCCTGATTGCGCTTTCTGCCTTCTTTTTTTCCTTCTCTTTTTCATCTCAGCTTTACTTCTCGATTCATTCGAAGCCGTGAATTGTGTGAAGAGGAAATCCCCTAGAGTGAAGAAATGTGGAAACGAAGCAAAAGAACGATAAACATTTCAACCCTTTCATAGATCATTAGTGCCGTGTGAAATTCCTGCATTTTTGATAAATTGAATCGTTTATCGGAAGCGTGAAAGTCTTTATTTTTTTAATAAATTCATTTTATAAATTTAGGAAATTAAACAACCTGCTCAAAACCCATAACAAATTGATATAAACCCGTCAAAGTCAAGTGATACAGTAGTCATACTTTAAGTATCATCCAGCGAATCCGGTTTGTTTGTCGAAACAGCTCGTAGACTTTGTGCCATGTCGCTTCCCTAATGGAAAATGTTTTTAAAGAACAGAAAAAACATCAAACCTTAATGTCTTTTCCCGAAATTGCCATCATATTCTTTTGCATTTGAGCAAACTTTGATCCAAATTGCATAGCTTGTTTAGGCCATGAAGAAAGAGAAGAACCAAGGGATTTCAGTGCCTAAAATCAGATTTTAAAATAAATAGCTTTTTAATGCCAAACTTTATTTCAACCTCAACTTTATAACATTAGGCATTTATTTTTTACCTCTCTAATAATAGCTTTCTCGCCGATTCCTCTTGGTTTATCCAAATCACACTTGACATCCAGTGGAGATCGGTTACAAAATGCGGCTGTATTCCCGTCAAAAAACGGTGCACTAAAAATATAAAAGTTTAAAGGATTTAAAATCAAAAACTCTACATAATGATTCGTTGATGATCGATTGCCACCCGTGCATCTCGAGACCCATTTCGTGTTCCATAGCGGATCAATTCTGCTTCCAACTCATCAGCCAAACCCATCGCGCCGTCCTAGATAAATCGGTTGGTTATTGTTGGTTTGCTAAAAATAATCAAGACATTTGTGCAAACATACTTTCTCAAATCGATGCCTATGTCTCGAGTAACCAGCACAAAGTTCATCAGCGCCACTGCCAACCATAAAATAAGTTGCCGAAGTCCTAAGCAAAAAAATAAATAACGAATGCATTTCTCAAAACCGAACCTTGTACTTTTCCCATCAATATCAATTCCAGCGCCACGTAACGCGAACCAAAGCACCGATCCAAGTGATTCGTCGAGAATTGTTTGACAGGGTTGAACAATCCTGTTAATAGAATAAAACTTTCAGCATAACTATTATAGTTTACCTCGAAATTCTTTCCCGATTTTCTTCGACTTCTTTTGGAGAGACATTACACCGTATGAAATTCCATCGACGAAGCGGCCGCTCTCTCTTCAATTCCTCAAAGCCAGCTCTTCCCCGGATTCTGTCTGGAGTTTTATCGCATTCCTATTAACAAATGATTACTAGTCAAAATATTTTAACAAACTGTTTCTGATAGACCAAAAGCCACGGCTATGAGATCGATTTGCACATCACTTTCTGCAACCATATCAGCAATGTAGGCAACAAGTAAACTGTCGATCCCCCCAGAAAAGCCTAAATTCAGTCTTTACTTTGAAGATATACTTCAAAAACTCACAAACAGCAAGAGTTTCCAATCTTTGATCAAGACATGTTTTTATAGCGTCGCATAGGTATTTTAGTAACAAAGAGGAAAACACCGTCCGGTCCAGTGCCTCATTCTTTGAATCTCTGTTAACCTATAACTATGATCCTCTTGAAATTAAAAAAAAGAAACCTTCATGAAAGGTTGGCCAATGTCTGGACGTCGTATTACAGAAACATTTCTACCTGAAGTTCTCGTTAGCACTATTAATATGCAAGCTACCCAACCTAAGCCTTTGATCCATGTCTGTTGTACAAGCTCAATATCTTCAGGCAAATCTCCTTTGTCGAATACTGTAAAAAATTGAGCGCTCGCCTCTTTCTTGAGAGGAACAATTGTTACAGAGCCATGTGGGACATCAAACCATTCTTTAACCTAGAAAAAACAAATTGAGCAAACTGTGAACCCTTACATCGGCATTCTCCTGTTTGCAAAGTGACAAAACAAATCCATTGCTTGAACGGCCAAAGAGGAGACTTTGTCGCCCATAAATATCCCTGCTAATGATGATGCAATTGCCTTGAGACTAAAATTGATTAGATACATAAAGCTTTGCATAATAATATTACATCGTATCGTATTAAGGCTAAGCTTCCAGCAAATTGAAGCAAGGAGATGGTCATCTTGTCGGTCGGTATTCTCTCCTGCATGATTTTTTGTATGACCTAAAGATAAACGTTGCCATTTCTTCAGTAAATTCAAACAGCTCCTGCATTTTCACAATAAACTCTACCTGCGCATTTCGATTTGACACCCAAAAGACCTCATCTTCGATCACAATTCTATTCGAAAATCCAAATTTTAGTGCCAAAAATGTTGCTCACTAATTTATCTATTCCTGTGCATCGCAGTGAGTCGTTTGCGAAGTAAATGATTGTATCCGCGGTTAATTCTGTTAACATAACAGACCACTAAAACAAACTGTAAAATATGCCACTAATATTCAACCGTAATCACGTTCAAATAAAAATCCTCTACAAAGGCATTTGCATTATTTGTTTATAAGAACAAAAAATATTTATCAGGTATATAAAATAGCGCAAAAACAAAGAAAAATCTAATTTACTTTTCAAATTAACAATCTCTATTCGTTGGTCTGCGTGTCCCAGAACAATGGCTCGTATGCTCGGAGGAGAGCCTAAATTTATTAGTAAAAAATAACAAACATAATCTTACCTGTGGATCCACTTCTTTAATCTTTTCGACGGTAACAATTTGCATTACAAGACAGTTCTTGTATTTGCACAGCCCCACCAGCTCATTTTTCACGAAAAAGAGTTTCATGATTTTCTCGATCTAAACATTGTTAATAAGCCAATAAACTACCCGCTTCATACCTTGATGCCTCGATCGAGTAAACATGATGGTAGAGAAGGTGGATTCTTTCTTTGCAATGAAACATTTGTGGACGCTTCGTGCTAGAATTGATCTAATTAATAGCTAAACTTTAAACAAACTCACATTTTTGACTGCTCGTGGATCAAATATTTCATCGTCATTGTTAGATGGTGAAACAGCGCGAGGGTCGTAGATCCTTTCCGTTTTTTTTGACGCCTTTGCACTCTTTTGCGCTTCCAGCTTTTTTTTTTCTTCGGCTCCCTAAAAAGAACATAATCTAAGAACTATTAGCTTAAAAGAACCTGTATTCGCTCAGCCAAACTTTCTTGTCGCTTCTGTTCTTTTCCCCTCCTCCAGTGCTCTTCTTCACGATGAGTTGCATTTACCTCATCCATCTCGCGTTTGATAATATCAATTTGCGACTCGCTAAGTTGTGAATTGTCCCCATCATTTGTGGCCCTTGTGGTGACACTTTGAAGAGATTGGGTTACACTAGCTTTCACATCCTTTCGAATTGTTTTGGTAACAGATAAATTGGCTTCTTGTCGAGTGAGAGAAACGGAAATGGCAGTAGACGCTTCTCCGTTTAACATTCGATAGTCCTGTGGTTCCGAGGGTGTAGACGTTCGCTCATTCGTTTTCGACTTTATTTTATTGTTTATCTAAAACCAGCAGGAAAAGCCGCCTAACGGCGGCGTTTTCTGCTGGATGGTTGGGCATAAACGAAAGGCGGGCACGAAAATTAAGTGAAAACTTACTATCTACCCACCCGTTCCCGCAACTACCGTAAATACTGTAATTGGATCCCATGGGGTACTATTTTTTCTCTCTCCCTCTAGAGGGGATACTATTTTACGCTATTATTCTTGTTACCAAATCAAGATAAATTCAAAAAATTTGTTCAAAAGCAAACTTTTTCTTTAGTTTTTTAACAATTTGAAAATTTAACAGCAAAACGAAATGAAAACAACTGCCAAGCGAAATCAATAAAAACATCAGAATCAATGAATTCATCAATTCCTCGATGTCCATTGAAATCCCGTCGATGTAAGCGGCCCCAAAACCCCTAGATTTCCTTCTCTGTCCGAGCATTCGATGTACTTGCTCATCGAAGCATCCAGCCAAAACGCCGCCTCATCGTAAGCAACAATGTGCTTGTAATCGCCCTCTTTGATTGTCTTGTTCAGCTTCAGAATGTGCTCGACGACGGGCTTCTCAAATTTGCTGGGCAGCTTTTGGCAAGTTGTTGTTGGTGCCCTCAACACCCTTGCCCATCTTTGCAACAGCTTTCACATCAATGGCCTTTTTCTTTGTAGGTGGCTCATCCGATTCACTTAAAGATCCTTGAGCTTCAGCGTTGACCGAGTTCCCATTGGCATCTTGTTCGGAACGTTCATCATGCGATTCTTTGAAGGATTCCGTGTGTTCTTCGTATTCGCGACGAGCCCGATATTCCTCAAATCGATCGAGCTATTTCCCATCGAGATTCATATCTGAAAAAATCAAATTCGTGAGCAAACGAGAAAATTTTTAAATCATATCGCACCGCCATTTGCGCACACGTGGAAAAAGGTCTTTTGCGCACAACAGGCCCCGCCCACAAACTTCAAGCGCTAAAAGTTTCACCAAATGACCCACATTGTTTCGATTGGGCCCAAATTTTTACAGCATGTTGTGCTCGCCTATGACCATATACTGTAAAAATTTCAGCTTGATAGCGTCACTACAAAAAATTTTGGAGTGACTTGGATTTTTTGTGCGCAAAAGACGCGAAAAAGAGGTCTTTTGCCTTTCCAGCGAAAAAAGATCGCATTTGTCTCAACCCCCGCAAAAGACGTTTTTCCACGTGTGCGCAAATGGGGGGTCTTGGACAATTTTCATAGGATCTTGGAGTTGTCAGGCCGTGTAATGTGGATCACCCGTGAAATTTGTGGCCAAAATGATTCGTTTAGCGGGAGGGCCATTGTCGTCATCTTCAATCATGTAATCCTTTCACGGTATCCAACCTTAGTTCTTTTTGATGCTGTTTGATGTAATTTAACCGATTCATTTCAATTGTCAGATGGATGTCAACCCCATACTGCTGTGCAAGCTTTCCGGCATGGGGAGAGTGGTGCTCTTACGTGCTCTTCTACTTGATCCAGTATTTTGTCGTTCCATTCTAGGATGCCAACCATCCTCACCACGAGGGAAAAGCAGTGGGTATGTGAGTGGATCACAAAGTCTATCAAGGCTTTAATCTATCAAGGCCTTTAATCCTCCACTGCGCTCGTGAATCACCAAGTTTCTTTCTCCAGGAATTTGCTCCTCACCACCTTGGTGCTTGCAATTTCTATTTACAGGGCGACTGACTAATTCACAAGCGGCATCTTCCGTGTCCATAATCAAGATTTGAGTACATTGTGGTCTTGGTCCCAAGTGGTCCTGTCTTGTGATAAAACTAACCATGAACTTGAAAGCAATATGGACCGTTACCAGGCCGCGGCACGTCCAGCCGCGGTACGTCCAGCCCCAGCCTGGCTCTCGCCTTGGATAGCTCTAGCCTGCCGGCAAGCACTCGATGGCAAGCACACGCCCAATTGGGCGCGCAACGTACTCGAGCAGCCTGCATCCTTTGTCGTTGTCGCTCTTTTTTTCTTCCTAAGACATACGCGTTCGCTTTATTGGTATCTAAAAAGAAAAAGTTATCATTGAAATCTACTTTTAAATCAATAATAATGCTAAAAGCATGAAAATTGATAAACGTTGAAATTGCAAGATGAAAATAAAATGAAACTGTAAAAAGTAAGAGTGAAGCGAAAAGAGAAAACTTTCAGTTACAACTTTGAAATTAAAAGAAAAATTGCAGTTTTGTTTAGTTTGGTAATTCATGTTAATACCCTTTACAAATGTAAAGCTCTCGTGCGCACGGACAGACATACGGACGCACACTTCTCCTTTCATATGTAGTAGATGACAAATAGAGTTCCATATTGAAGAAGTAAAAACCTGTTTTTCCTTTGACAGTGATGACTTTACGGAGGAACTGATTCCCAAGCCTGGTCGAATGGATGCAACGGTAGTAGAGGTAGATTCCTTTAAAATAGCCAGATTATCGAGACATGAAGTTATGGATTTGGACGCTCGCTGCTTCTATAGCTAAACTGTTTGTGAAAGAGAAACCTTTTTAGCTATTGGTAGAATCGACTCTGTGAAGCGGTCCGATTCCAACGAATTGGTAGATGCCCGCTTCTTCGGTAGAGAAGGCGGGACTAGCTTTGCTTTTAAAGGTTTGGCTGAAGCAGCAGTAGGTTGCTCAAACACAATTGATGTAGAGCATATTTTCTAAAAGCAAAATTTGCTAAGCCCCTTTCTTCTTTATAAAAAAATAACTAATTCAAACCATACTTGAGGAGTTGGCGCTTCTGGATGTGGATCAAACGCGTTCTCTGTGGACATTCTTTTCTCTCTTATCGCCTGAACTTCTCTTTCTCGGCGCTCTTGTCGAAGCATCCGTTCTTTGGGATGAAGCCCTGCCGTCGTCTCAAATTTCTAAAATCACCCACTAAATTAGTTATTTTTTTAATAAAGAAGAAAGGGGCTTAGCAAATTTTGCTTTTAGAAAATATGCTCTACATCAATTGTGTTTGAGCAACCTACTGCTGCTTCAGCCAAACCTTTAAAAGCAAAGCTAGTCCCGCCTTCTCTACCGAATTCCATGGGAAAATATTATGATACCTTTTTGCCAAGAAGAAACAGTCCATTGTTACTCCTTGCTATCGCTTCTTTTCTAACCGACATCATTGGTGTAGTCTGAAAAATTAAAATTTGCGTAACGTTTAGAAAAATTAATTTTGCAATCACTTTAATGAAATTTGAATGCCACCAACCAGCCGAACTGGAGCTTTGTTTTTTGATGGCTTTGACTGGACATTACTCACGTTGCTGGAGTTATCCGCGTGGACGCTCTAAAAATTTCTCGACCACATAAAGTTTTTAACTTACCGGTAGTTCTTCTACAGGTGTTCGACTAGTGAGCACATTAGGAACATCCGATTTTGATGGCGATTTTGTCACCGTATCAAAAGGGTGTTTTTGGGCACTCTAAAACAATAAACTCCTAACAAAATAACAAAGCATATATTTATTACCTTTTGTAAAGGTGGATTTGCAGAAGCAGACTTTTCTCGAGGCAGTGAAGTTGACCCTTTTTGAGGAGTTTTAGCTACATTTTTAACGACAACCTAAAAGATTTGAATTAATAAAGCAAATGCGAGCAAACTTTATTGCGCAAAGTCGATGTTGGGCGCGCAGAACGCGATGTTGTTGGTAGCTGTGAAGACTAAAGGCAAAATATAAATTAAATACTATAGACCATTTAGGTCTTGACAAGTACCAAGAGAAGATCATTCAAGCTTACCGATGTGTTTTTTTCAAAAGATCGCTTCCGCAGTTTTTGCTGCTCTTGTTCAAATTGTCGAATTAATTCTGGAGCGTCCTAAACTATCAAAACTACTCACGCAATCGGTATAATAACCTACAACATTAGATGCAGGCTCCTCCGAATCGGCTTCTGGTGGATAATTTTTCCATCGGACAATATAGTAAACACTGCCATCATCGTCGACGCGCTTCGCAATAATTTTTTCAACTAAAGAATAGATATTTTAGCTAGCTAATTATATTTACTTTCATAATTACTGTTATCTGTTGATTGTGAATCACTGTCGCTGCTTTTTGTTCTCCTGAGTTTTTTATCATCTTTGTCGTCACTTTCAATTACGGCTTGCTAAAGTTTAAATTTCAAAACAGCCACGTATGATTTTCTCAAAAAGATTGTAACATAGAAATCTGAAAAAACGCTGAAAGAAAAAGACAACTGAGTTTTTCCACTATTGCGTCATTCTTATTTCTTGCCTAGCTTACTAAATAAAACATTCTTCTCACCGGCTATGCTCAGATATTTTATATAAATTTTACCCTTTTCCTTTTCTTTGGTGTTTGCGAATCAGCTCTTTCTCGTATAGAGCTTCCAACGCTAGATCCTTTGCTTTGATTGCTCGTTTTCCTCTTGCGAGTTTCTTCTTTGCGCTTTTGCTTTTGTTGAGGCAAAGTAGGGGCCATTGCTAGCTCTAAAAATAATTGAAAAAATCAAGACTGAAAGAAAAGTCGAAAAGTTCAGGTCAACGCCTTTCAAATTTATAAGCCGACAAAAAAATCAATGATCGCGTAATTGCATATAACCGTTGGCTGGTAATTGGTAAAAAAACTGGTAATTGGCTTAATTATTTCAAAGTTTTTGATGCTTAATTTGATGTTTTGATGCATTGATTTACAATATTTCAATAACTCTGTGCCATACTACGGTTAAAATTGCTAACAGATTCTCTCCCCCTTTTCTCTTCTTGCTTATTCAACTGCTCTAGTGCAATATAGCGTGCTACAAATGGAGTTGGAGGTTTTCCTAAAGAAATTTGAAGAATTTATTGGTTATGAACTACAATCGTTCGAATTTCGCTTTCAAATCACCAAATTCATTTTTTCTACTCAACAAACTGTATTTTTTCGATTAACACATAAAAAATTTTGTCCTCATTTTGCAACCAGCATCCTTTTCTTTCGTTTATCAAGTGCGAGAGAAAAATCCTTCTAAAGCTTTTAAATGAAAATTTATCATTGTGATAATTTTCATTCTCTTGGCTGAATATTTTTAAACATTGTCCTTATGAGTATATGTATCTGGTCGCTAAACTTTGAATCTCACTTGCTAAAACTCCATCATTTGTGTGTTAACAATACATTTTCTGGACTGCTTTTATTTTTTATCATTCTTGCGTTTCTCTTGTACATTTTCAACTTTAGACTACCGTTTCTCGAAAAACTCGAAGAGGCTTCAAACGAAAAATGGCCGACGAAATAGAACAGGTAATATAACTTTTGCTTTACGTCGTTAATTCAATTTTTAGAAGTTGGCTCCTTTGCGACTTTTCGTAAAAGATAGTGGCGATCTCGTGAGAAGGTTGAAAGAAGAAAACGCTCCGAAAATCGAGATCGATCGAGCCGTCGTTGATTTGAAAGCTCACAAGAAGAAACTTGAAGAGATGGTATGCTTTTATGGGTTGTTTGTTTATATTTTCCAATCTAGGAAATTGCACTTGCTCCAAAAGAATCGAATTTTGACCGCGGGAAGTTGGATGATCTGTTGAAGAGGCGTTTCTTCTACGATTTGTCATTTTCAATCTATGGTGGTGTCACTGGACTGTATGTTGAACCGGGCTGAAACCTGTATTTGAAGATTTTAGTTACGACTTTGGGCCAATGGGTTGCGCGCTCAAGGCCAACATGATCAATGAATGGCGCAAGCATTTCATCCTCGAGGAAGGAATGCTTGAAGTTGATTGTACGTCATTGACTCCAGAACCAGTTCTCAAGTAAGCCAATTGCATTTACGATCTATTCTATAATGAAACTTAAGAGCTTCGGGACACGTTGATCGCTTTGCTGATTGGATGGTGAAAGACGTCAAGACTGGAGAATGTTTCCGAGCGGATCATTTGATTAAAAACGCAGCCGAGAAAATGCTGAGTGTTCGTGTATTACGTAGGAATTTTGTAGCCTTTTCACTTTAGGATAAGAAGGTTTCCGAAGGAGTGAAGAAAGAATTGAGGGATCTGTTAGCTCTCTTGGAAGGATATGACAACAAAGATATGCAAGCAGTATGAGTGAATTTTGTATATTTTTTTGCAATAATAATTTAGGCTATTGAAAAATTCAACTTCAAATCGCCTTTGACTGGAAATGATCTTACTGAGCCGATTGCCTTCAACCTTATGTTTCCAACACAGGTTTGTATTTCCTGGCTTACTTTCCTATTTCTAGATTTAGATTGGTCCTACCGGTGATTACAAAGCATTTCTTCGCCCTGAAACCGCTCAAGGCATATTTGTTAACTTCAAACGTCTCCTGGAGTTTAACATGGTAATATTTCGTTCTGATTTTACTAAAATTTGATTTAATTTAGGGACGAGTTCCATTTGCAGCTGCGCAAATCGGAAATGGTTTCCGCAATGAGATTTCGCCCCGTCAAGGCTTGATTCGTGTCCGCGAATTTACAATGTGTGAGATCGAGCACTTCGTCGATCCAAGGGACAAATCTTGTGCTAAATTTGCGAAGGTAACTTAAATTGCAGAACTGTTTTATGTTTTGCTTTTAGGTGCGCAACTATCCACTTCGTCTCTTTTCGGCCGAAAATCAAATGGGCGGGCAATCGGCTTTTGAAATGACTATTGGGGAAGCTGTTGATAAGGTCTTTGAGTACGATTTATTTTAGACATAAAGAGTTTATAGAAAATCGTTGACAACGAGACTCTTGGATATTATATCGCTCGTGTTCACATGTTCTTGGTGAAGGTTGGAGTTGATCCACAACGTCTTCGTTTCCGCCAACACATGGGAAACGAAATGGCTCATTATGCTCAGGTGAGAGTTTTTATAAAGTCAAATAAGACTTGTTTGTTTAGGATTGTTGGGATGCGGAAATTTTGACGAGCTATGGGTGGATTGAGTGTGTCGGAAATGCGGATCGTTCTTGTTACGACTTGCAACAACATTTCAAGGTTTATGGTGATGCTTGGGGTGTTTCAACAGTTGCTTTTTAGGCGACGAAAGTCGAGTTGGTCGCGCAAAAAGATTTGCCTGAGCCCAAGTCAATCGATGTTTGTTCTCCTCTTCCAAATATGGGTCTCATAGGAAAAACATATCGAAAGGATGCTCAGAAGGTTTTGAAATATTACTTACTTGAAGTACGCTCAGCTTTAGATTAATGCCGCTCTGGTTGGACTTGCTTTTGATGTGGCCGTGGGGTTAGAAAAGGAGCTCGAACTCAAGTATTCTTGTAACGTTGAATGTCCATTTTTGTTGATTTAGTGGCAAAATCACACTTTCTGTTGATGGTGCGCCATTCGAGTTGACTACCGATATGCTCAAATTCAAGCGAGAAACCAAAACGGTATTTGCATAACAATAGTTTTTACAAAAAAGATTTATATTGTAGGTGCACGTTGAGGAGTTCACTCCTTCAGTCATTGAGCCTTCATTTGGCATTGGGCGTATCATGTATTCCGTTCTGGAGCACTCATTCCGCCAGCGAGAGGGAGATGAGCAACGATCGGTTAGGTTATTCTAAAAAATTTATTCTAGTTTTTTATAGTTCCTCGCTTTTCCACCACTGGTTGCTCCTATCAAATGTTCAATTCTGCCAATTTCATTTAATCAACAACTTGTTCCAATCATTGAGGCGGTAAAGGAGTGTCTTCAATCTCATGAAATTTCATGCCGCGTGGTAAGTTTGCATTTGAATTACAGTTAAAGCTGTTTTATGCATCTTTAAATTTATTTGCTTTAGGACGATTCGTCTGGGTCAATTGGTCGTCGCTATGCTCGTACTGATGAAATTGGTATTCCGTTCGGCATTACTGTGGATTTTGACAGTGAAAAGAAGCCATGGACTGTTACATTGCGGCATGCTCTATCAATGCGCCAAGTCCGCCTCCAGGTTTGTGTCCATTTTTAACAAATTTGCACATTTCAAGAACATTACCTTTTTTGAGAAATACATTCTCAATTTCCTATTTAGGTTGATGAGGTCGGCCCGACAGTTGAGGCTCTTGTGCGTGGGCGTCTTACTTGGGAACAAGCCGAAGAGAAATTCCCTCGATTCGAGAGCAAGGCCGAATAAGATGTAGAGCAGCTTTATTTTGGCTGAATTCTTCAACTTTATCCATATTTATGTCTTGCCCAAATGTTATCCACAATTTACCTGGCTCATATTTGTTCCTGTAAAATTTCTGATTACTTTTCGGAAGCCAGCACTGTTATTCATTGTTGCGGATTTATATGTACTGGTCGTTATATTTTTTATTGAGTTGGTTTCTACGGCCTTGGTTGGTTTTGGTTCGTTTTGATAATTTTATGCATTGTTGTTCATAATAAATTTATAGGGACAAAATGAAAAGTTTTTGGGGACATTCGAGGGAAGAAAAGTACGATTGAAAGAAACTTTTCTCACATGAGAGGTCTTCGTCATTCTGTCTTTTGAGGGAATCGACCGAGCAACGACGACAATGGATCGAGGGGAGCGAGGGGACTTTGGCCAGGTGCCAGGATGTCCTCTTTCGGCTCAGATGTTGTTCTTCTCTTAACCCCTTTTCTTCTATTGACCTTTTTTGGGAAGCGAGGAGCTTTTCCCTTTTAGATCCCATGAAATGGTGAGAGGAATCGGGGCTTTTCGTTCTCCCCTCCGGCTCTCCGCTCTCCTCTCTCCATTTTTCTCATTCCATCCATTCACCCATCCATGCACGGGAAAAGAACGGGCACCGCTTTTTTCTGAAGAGATCCCCCTCTTCCGCTTGCCTTGCCTGGCCCTCCTCGGCGCTACTCGTCTTCTTCTCTCCCGAAAACTACTTCATTTTCCCCTCCAAAGCCCATTGATTCATTTTTGAGGCACATTCTTGTTCTCTGAATTGAAATCCTCAATTCTCATCCTTGTGTTACAATTCGATATACAGTATTTCATAATCGGCTCATAGTCAGTCAGTCAGAAATATCGGAATGGGCGGGGTGAACATTCTCTTCTTCTCATTCTTGCTTCTTCTGCATTATATTTTCCGGCGAAAACATTGTTTCTCTTTTTTGGCGCAATGAATTCTTTCTTCCTTTTCCTCAAAAATACAGTCAACAAGCGATTCGTCTGAGATTTCCCCCTTTCGTTTGTGACAGTATTTCTCCTCACTGACAAATGATTCACCTCTCTCTAGAAAAAGCTCTCCTCTTTTGTAATCAAATTCTGTGGATTTTCAGATTTATTTGACACATTCGCGACGAAGCCACTTTTCGCTTAACTGGTCATTCGGACGACAGAGTTCGATGCTAGCTGTAGATCTGAAATTTTTTGCCCAGGTTTTTTGGGATGGAAAATTCGAATCCAGTTTTAGTTTTCAACTAAAGTAGCCGCTAAGGCCGGAAATAGTAGTAGCGCGTAGTTTAGCTGGGAAATAGGTTAAAACAAGCTGAAAACGTGCACCCGAGGGTTTTTCGGGGTGGGAAAATCGAATACAGTCGAAATACCTAAATAGTCGTAAATACTTTAATGGTACCCCACTCCCATAATGGCGGTGCGGAGCGTTGCGTAGTCTAGCTTTGGACGCGTTTTTCTCGACACTGGTTTATGCTACAATGCGCGCTTAGGTATCAAAAAATAGCCCTGAATTTCAGTTATTTTTTGATACCAAAGACGAATTTTTTGAAAGTACGGGTGCTTTGAAAAAAATGAAATACTAAAAAACTTTTGCGACTACGCGACTGTACGAGCGGGGGTGGGGTACTATTACAGTATTTACGGTACGCAAACACTACATTTGATTTGATGAAAGGAAAGCTGAGTAATTAAATGGAAAGTGATCAAAATGATGAAAGACTTTTTGCGTTTATAGTGCATATATATCAAAACCCTGTCCCAGAAGCCGTGCGATTACGTAAACATGAAAATTTTCATTCTTATTGCCGAAGAATGGAATATTGGGAATTGGGAAGATTACGGAAGCTCGGCAGATGACGGTAGCTTCTGGCATACCGTCATGGCATTCATTTTTGCACTAGTATCATTGACCGAGTCATCGAGTCTATGACATTCTGGCATAGAGTCATCTTTATCATTCATTTTCTCAAAACGTTGCCTCGTCAATGATCGGTCAATGATACTAGTGCTAAAATGAATGTCAAATAGAAAGCCACCGTCTCTTTCTGTCAACTTGCCCTTATTCAATTGATAAATCTTTCGAGATAAGTCTAAATTTCATAGATTGAAGAGGCTAAATTTAGACAAACACTAAAAAAAAAACATCGAAAGCACTTTTCATGTTTCTGTTTTCCAAAAATAGTCTTATCTCTTTTCGATTTGAGCGCATATTTTTCTTGCATTCCTCAATTCTATTGCATTTTTTTTGTATTTGTAATCTCTTTCTCTTTTCCTTTTTCTCAACTTGTTTTTGTGATGATTTGTTTTGCTTTGCGCGTGCACGAGTTTCTCTTTCTTTTTCTTTTTTCCAATTCTGCAAAGCATATCGAAGCATAAAATGAAAGCCAATTGCAGAGAAAACAATAAAGAATTTTGAAAGAGATTAGAAAAAGGAAAAAAAATCAAAAGATTAACAATAAAAAACAGATTTTTTTTTCTTAAATAATCTCTAGAATCTCTTAAATTTCGAATGCGTTTTCTAGAAAACGTCTGAAAAGTTACCGTAATCCATTTTTCTATATCCTTTAGGTTTTATCAATTCACCTCAATTTTGATCTCTTTTAAATTCAATTTTCCTTCCTCATTGAGTTCAAAATTGGGTTTACCAAAGAAATCTTCGAGAAAGGTTACGTCAGCTTTCCAAAAATTCGATGAATCGGTGAAAAACTGAAGGAAAAGGAAAAGGACTAGATAAGGCCACCTTTTAAAAAGCACCAAAGCTGATTACGGTAGTTTTCCTCAACCAGTGTCTTTGTTGATTTGAAATGATTTGTTGATTTCTAAAGGATATACAGAAAATCTCCAGCAATACAGCACTTGATTAGTAACTCGATCGATATTCTGTCAATACGCTGATACAGCACTTGTATCAGAGCTGATACAGCACTTGATATGATGTAGCGGCTGTTGATTAGTAACTCAATTGATAGTCGGTTCATCAATAGAAATCCTTAATTTGATTTGATCAGTTGATCAATAGCAATCAATAGTTAATCGGCCTTAGTTACTGTCAAATAGAAATCACATACACCGTAGCTGTACCGTAAACCATTTTCTATTCTGTCAATACGCTAGCTCAGAGCTGATACAGCACTTGATATGATGTAGCGGCTATTGATAAGTATCTCAGTCGATAGTCGGTTGATCCAATAGCAATCCCTTGATTTGATTTGATCATTTGATCAATAGCAATCATTGGATTGTACCATTATTTCCGATCAACTTTTCTTGAAGTCCAAAAGGCCTACCCAGAGATTACAAGAGTCAGAAAAACTGAAGGAAAGACTAGGTAAAGCCACCTTTTAAGAAGCACCAAAGCTGATTACACCAAAGCTGATTAGTTTCCCTCAACCAGTGTCCCTTAGAAAACACTTGAAATGATTTCTGTTTTCTAAAGGAATACAGAAAGTCTCGGTTTCATTGATCGATAACACTTTTTGGCCTCAATCCCTCCCTTTCGAAGTCTTTCGAATTTCCATTCCCCTTTTTCATTTTTGTAAACACATTTTCCAATCCCCCTTTCCGCCAATCTATTTTTATCCTTTGATCTTTCGAAAAAAAAGATCAATAAAGAGAACGGTTGTTGTTGAACAAAAAAATTTAAATGTTTCGATCATTTCTCAAGAAAATTCGAAAATTCCGACACCCAATGGACTTTAAACATTTGTTGACAGATTGAACCATTTCATTTCATCTGAAAATCCGATTTCAATTTCATTCTCTATTTCCCAGTGAATCTCCCTTCTACACCATCTAGTTCATTCTCTATTTCCCAGTGAATCTCCCTTCTATCATACACCGTCTAGTTCTTTACTTCTTTCTTTTCTTACTTGCACTTTTATTATAAATTGTTAGAGATTGATTAAAATATAATTCTCACTTCATTTCCAGAAAACCGAAGAGAAAACGTTGCTGACGTTAAGCGCGCCTTGTCTTCGCGCTTTATGCGCACCTGAGGGCCCGAACGGTGTGACGATTCCGCGAAAGAGTGCGCATCGATCATCGGGACGCGCATCGATTCCATTCATTCACAGCCACATCATGCAGGTCAACTCATTTGCAATCAACCAATCAATCAGTGATTCCACTATAGAAAATTCGTATCTATCTTAACTCTGACGGTTCGGAACGGGAGGTTCCGAATCCGAAAATCCGAAAAAGTCTGTGCTAGGTACTCAAGCTCAAGTGATCTTATCCCACTCTAGATCATCATTTGCATCAAATAAATCTCTTCAATACTAACTGCTACTCAAACGAAGCTAAATCTTATCGAAATCCCCTTCCCCAAATCATTCTTCGAATTTCAGATGTTCAGCGATCGTGTCCATGGAACGACGGTGAGTTTCAGTGAGCTGAAGAAGAAAATCCGAGCCGCACTCAGTACTCGCTCGAATTTCGGCCCAGCTTTTCGAATGGAGAGAATCGGGGAGAATCAGGTAAAAGCAATAGTTAAAGAAAAGAACGCTCAATTCCAGGGATTCCTCTCGATCACCGTGAGGATTTACTTCGATTGGGTCGGTGACGATGCACAACTCTTACCAGACACACTTGTGCTCAAGGTTGGTGATAGAGGAACTCATAAACTTTATAGTAGTACCTTGCACTACAATATTGGATATAGTAACCGCAAAATACAGTATTCCATAAAGACGTACAAGTACAAGTACAAGATGATCAGAAAGTACAGTATAGCATAAAATAAACGATACCCACATAAAGTTTTCTAATGTACTTGTTTTTGATTCATCGAAATCTCGCTTTCAGATCCCATCAACAGCCGCAATGATCCGAAATATCCAGGCCGGTTCCGAGGAAGTCATTCGGGAACAACACGCTCGATTGGCCATGATTCTCGATGTGGTTTGTTCCTTTCAAATCTTCAAGGATTACGCTAGTTTTCTAATGTTTCCAACTTTTAGAAAAGTGTAAAAAAGCTTTTTTTTTCTTCCATTTCCCAATCATTATCCATTACTTAACTCCATTTAATTTCAGGGTCACGTCTCCGAGGTTTCCTTTTATGCGATGGCCAGCCGAGAAGGCCTCTTCACGACACTCAAAATCCCACCATGCATTCGGGCACAGCATTTCAGGAGGTGCGAAGGCTTTTAGATCTTTTAAAAAGACAAATTTTACTTTATAACCATAAGCCTACCGTAAATACTGTAATAGTACCCCACTCCCATAATGGCGGTGCGGAGCGTTGCGTAGTCTAGCTTTGGACGCGTTTTTCTCGACACTGGTTTATGCTACAATGCGCGCTTAGGTATCAAAAAATAGCCTGAAATTCAGGGCTATTTTTTGATACCAAAGACGAATTTTTTGAAAGTACGGGTGCTTTGAAAAAAATGAAATTCTAAAAAACTTTTCCGACTACGCGACTGTACGAGGGGGTGGGGTACTATTACAGTATTTACGGTAGCTAGTTTCCATAAGTTTACTGTATGCTAAAAAGGATTACGATAACACTGACAGACTTTATTTTGTTACTAAGTTAATTTAAATATTTAAATGTTTTATTTAAGAAAAGGCTCCGAATCGGGTTACCTCCTTTTGGGCGACGTTCGGCACTCAATCATTCGTCCTTTATGGGCGGGACTGCGTGAGGCACAAGTGAAGGCTGTGAGGATTGATCTCATCAACAACAGAATCAATGAAGAGATTATATCACACAAATCATTTCCCACGCATTGAATCAGAGTTGACAGTCTCACTCATGCACAATGGAGTTTTTTTAAGTCTTTTGAGGTAAAGAATTGAAAAAAAAAAGAGATTTAAAAGAGATACAGAGTCACTTATTCCTTAATTGGATCTCAGTCACTTATTTTTGTATATTTTGGGTAATTTAAGATTTTGGAGCAATTAGCGAAATTGCACGCTTTTTCGCTGACGAATGAGATGTGGAGGAATGGAGCTGGCAAGATATTCAGGTAATTGCGGAAATCCTTTTGAAAATTCTAGCGATTAATCGGCCTTAGTTCACTGTCAAATAGAAATCACATACACCGTAGCTCTACCGTAAAACATTTTCTATTCTGTCAATACGCTAGCTCAGAGCTGATACAGCACTTGATATGATGTAGCGGCTATTGATAAGTATCTCAGTCGATAGTCGGTTGATCCTATAGCAATCCCTTGATTTGATTTGATCATTTGATCAATAGCAATCATTGGATTGTACCATTGTTTCCGATCAACTTTTCTTGAAGTCCAAAAGGCCTACCCAGAGATTACAAGAGTCAGAAAAACTGAAGGAAAGACTAGGTAAAGCCACCTTTTAAGAAGCACCAAAGCTGATTACAGTAGTTTCCCTCAACCAGTGTCCCTTAGAAAACACTTGAAATGATTTCTGTTTTCTAAAGGAATACAGAAAGTCTCGGTTTCATTCATCGATTCATTTAAGAAAAGTTCTTGAAGTCCAAAAGGCCTACCCTAGATTGGTGAAGATGGAGCGGTGTTGCTTGCAGTGACTGAAATCTATGAATTTTGGATTTTGGCTTTAAAATTCTTGCCTTTTCACTTAAAAATCATTTGGCAAATGGTTATTTTGAGGTTTTAGAAGTGAATGAAATACTGAAATTGGAAATTTTTAACACTTATCGACTGATTTTGTTACTTTGAAAACTACCGTAATCCCAAATACTCAGACGTTGACTCGTTGACTGGATTGTACCATTGTTTCAGATCAACTTTTCTTGAAGTCCAAAAGGCCTACCCAGAGATTACAAGAGCCAGAATCGGAAAAGCAATAGCTCAAGTAAGCAAAGTCAAAAATCGAAAAAACATTTCTCATTCAGTTAAATCGGGATTTCGGTGTCTGGTTTATGAGAGCGAATGGAAGAAATTTGTTGAGTGCTTTGGCTGAAGTAGTCGACGACCAAGTAGACTAGAAATGATTAAAATAAAGAGAAATCCTCTTCAGTTGCTCAACTTTAACGGCGATCTGGTGCACGCAAACTCAGGGATGCCGCCAGTGCTAGTGCACGGGGATTTATGGACAAACAATGTGATGTGGGATCTGACAGAACATGGAGTCGATTCGGATAATCTGGTGGCGATCATCGACTGGCAGGTGAGCGGATGAGCCTTTGCAAGTGATACTTTTCTAAAAAGTGTCAGCTTTTAAAAGCTATCGTAGTCTTGTTTCTAACTAGGAAAACTACCGTATCTAGGAAAATTGACGTAATGGAAAACTGACGTAATATTGCCGTAGCTTTCTATCTAACCTATCTACTTTTGTAGCCTATGTGCATCCTCTCAGATCAAAGGTAAATTGGATTGGAGAGAAAATTAAGGTAGCTTTTAATCAGTGATTCGATTCAGATTACATTAACCGTAGGTCTGATCATTAAAACTTCAAATTTCAAATTTACGGACAGACAGACAGACAGATTTACATCTACTTGTTCTTGCGAATTCCTTCACTTCTTTATAAATGATTTAAGAATGTCCATGCGGGTAATGTGGCCGAGGATTTGGTGCGTCTTCTTGGCTCCTCTTGTTCACCGAGGGTAAGGGAGATATTGGAATTCGTTCAATCAAATCAAATCAAATCAAATCAAATCAATTTTCCAAAATTTCAGCTGCGTCGTGGTGGTTTGCATCGTTTTGTCTCCCACTATCTTTCTTGTTTATCGTTGGAATTGCGAAGAAAGGGTCATTTCTCACTTCCATTCACCCATCAACAAATCGTGAATGCTTATGAACGAATGTTTGGGCAGGTAGATCGAGATCACTTGAATCTAAGTGAATTTCAATTTTAGGGACTTCTAATAATGTTGCCTTCGTTAAATGCGTGTGCTGATGAGGGAAACGGTCGATTTTTTTTGAGCTTTTCTTTAAACAGAAAATTTTTAGGGTTGCTTGGAGGTGGACCTGAGGAAAATCGTTTGGAGAGACAGGTGCGTGAGACACGTGAAATGACAAGTGACAAAAAATGACTTCTTGGACAAACTCTTTATCAAATCCCCCGCTTCCCTCAAATCCCTCAAATCCGAAATCCCTTTATCGAATCCTCCGCTAGTTCTTTAATCTCATATGCCAAGATATAGAAAAGAAAAAGAAAATCCTAGATTTGTACAGGCCAATTCTAGTTTTCAGTCTTGTTTTATTTTTTTCAGGCATTGGTCCTCGAACGAACACGGGCGCTCATCGAAGATTTTTTGGCTTTTCGAGCAAAGCATTTACTTACGTTTCCGTAGATTTTGTACATTTTGCTAAATTTTATTGCCTACTTGATCACCGTAAACTCTGAGCTCTATTCAAGCGTACGGTATTTCATTTGTATATTATTCATTTACGATTGGCTTCTTCTTCCATTGTACATTCCCCTTTTTTGCTTTTCCTTTCCACACTTTGATCTCCTCTCTGTTAAAAGCTTGAAGAAAGTAGAAAAAGAAAATCCTTTCGGCATTCTTCTTCAGATAAACAAATAGATTTGATGCAAAAGTTTATTTATCTAAAAACACAGATACAAAAATACAATATACAGTTACAATACAGATATAAAGAGTTTTGATTTTGTGGAGGATCATGAATTTAAAAGAGCTGGCTTTGACGGCAAGTCACTGCGTAAACGAAAATCACCATCTTTTGTTCATCACCGGTCAAAACCTGAGGCACTGTGCTGTAGCACTTTAGTAGATCGCAAAGCCCGAGTAAATCGCATAGTACAGTCCTCTTAATAGTATCGTTAAAAAATATTGTAGCATTGGAGTTTACGTTACCTTTACTGTTCCTGCTTCTATCGAAGCGTTTTTTTATTTGAATTTTGTCATCTCAACTTGTGTCCACAAATCGCTTATCGATGGAGAAAAGGGTACTTTCCTGTTATAGCCTTGCAAAATTTGCATTTTAACTTCAAACAACTTCAAAACCGAGGTGCTAGCAAAAGCGCCGCGTTTTTTACGCCAAATTTACGCTTATGAAAATCACTGTAGAAATCACTTTTTCCCAACTTCTAACCAATTTTTTTTCGGTTCTTTTGCTTCACAATTTTCGTTCTCACTTTTTTCAATTAGAAAACACGTTTAAACACCTATACAGACCCCGAAAACAGTCATTTTTGTGTCCTGGATTGGGCCTTTTACTCTCTATATCGATCTTATGCCATTTTCCAGATCCAGTGAAGGCCGCAAAATAGCGAGCATTGCCGACGACAAAAAAGTAGTAAAAAAATAGAAATAAAAATCAGAGCTGGTAGGAAAATATGTTGAAAAGCGCAAATTTGGCGCAAATGGTAAGCGGCGCAAAAATTTTTGGCACAAATGATACGTGGCGTAAATAATTTGGCGCTTTTGCTAGCACCCCTCAAAACAACGGATTCCAGAGCTTGTTATGAATGAATCAAAAGGAAAGCTTTCGGAAAGGCCGGATTTTCCAGATGTATCAGCCGTGGTAAATTTACAGATTGATCTTTCTAGAAAACTTAATGGAAATCATTAATGTTCAGCCAGCCATTTACATGGTTCGACAGCAAGTAGCAAAGCACTTTCAATCTACTTACATAACCTTTGCTTATCGGCATTGTGTCTAATTTCATTCTTATTACGAAAATTTATTCATCTTAATATAGATACAATATGGCAAAGAAAAAGTAGACAACATCCACCAGGTCAGATCTTGTTAAAAGCAACGACGTCGACTGATTGGCAGAGCTCATCGAAGCCTTCGATCTCCTCGGTCACATCATCCACTGATACCTAAAGAGAAAAATCCAATTCAAAACAAAGCCAATAAATTGACCTTAGCATCTTCAACGACACAAATGATTTGAAGCTTCTTGATGCCATATCCAATGGGGATTTGCTTGGCTCCACCCCACACTAGGCCGTCTTTCTAAATGGGAACAAATTAAGGATTTAAATTAGAAAAGCTCAACATACCTCAATGGATCGAACGAGTTTTTCTAATTCTTCGAGCGAAGTCGTGTCATCCCAAGGCTTGACATCAAGGATGATTGAAGACTTTGCAATAGGACCGGGCTTCCTAAATAAAGAAAATAGTATCATTGCTTTAAAAGAGAACTCTACTTGGACTTCTTCTCGTTGTAGGCTTTGAGACGTTCCTCCACCACTTTCTTCTTTTCATCATCCTAAATTTGAAATGTTTAAAAATATTCAACAAAAACCTCTTCATCCTCTGAGCCAAACAGATCGAAGTCGTCCTCTTCGCCTTTCTGCTCTTCCTTTGCAGGCTCACCAACGGTCGATTGACGGCTCCTTGAAACTTGAAGATTCTAAATCAAATAATTGAATAGATTCTTATAAATCGAGCATACCTGCAGTTTTTCAATCAACCCCCGAAGGTCACGAAGTTGTTGCTTAATTTCTGCGTTCTCGTCGCGCATCTTTTTCAGCTCATCAAGAATACCTAAAAGAGATTTTTGATTCACCAATTCATAATGCTAACTGTATCAACTTCGAAATAGGTGAGAGACTTTAGATTGCATAAAGCCTATTGCATTGTTATAATGGCCCAACTCGATCCAAAACCAAGCTTTCAAAAACATGGTACTAATAAAGTTCGGGGGGGGGGCACTTTGATCTGATTTGGTCAGATCGTATTTTTCGACCGTTTTACCAGTGTTTTTCTACTAATGTTCTAATGTACCTGTATCACACGATCCCTTCTCATTTTGGTTGCCCTTTCGAGAAGTTGCAGCTCCCTTCACATCGACGGACGACAGAAGCCGCTTCTCTCCATAGTGATTCTGCTCGGCCGCTGTGACGAAGATGCGAGCCGCCAAAAGTGCCGAAGCCTCACAAAGCAAACCGTCGGACATCTAAAGAAAAGAAAATCATAAGCTCCAAAGGCTCCAAAAGTAATCCAAAAGCAACAGCAGCCAGGTTGTCATAAATGAACGAAAAAATCGTTAGCGTTAAGTCGACACAAATGAAAATTTTGTCTCCGTTTGAAGCATTATATAGCAAAATTATCCACGAATTGTAAAATCATCGACGACAGTATGTACGGTAGTGCATTTTGTATATAGAAAGTATTTAAATGGGAAAACTTTTAGCAAAGAATTATTTCGAGCTTTTCATCATTCGATGCGCGACTGTTACCAGTTCGGTGGGATTTTTTTTCTTATTTTTTATTTCTTCTCAGGTATTTTGCATCATTTTATGTGTTAGTAGGTGTTTTACTTAGTTAAAGTGTTTTTTGGTTCTCAAAGAGCAAAGATTCTCAAAATTTACTGAGCTTTTTCTGAGTGAGTGAAACAACTCTACACACACGATAACTTTTATGTCAATTTTGAGACGTGTGTGTCTGTATGTGTATGTGGGTATTGGATCCGAATGGGGTCTCCCTTTCCCCCATTCCCTTCCCCTTTCTCGGGCTTTCCCCCTCCAAGCCGGTGTCCGGTGGAGCCTTGTGCCACCCTCCCCCCTCCCCTCCCCTCCCCTTTCCCCCTCTTTCCCTTTCCAAAAAACTCACTACCCCTCGTTTTTCTTTTCTTTCCCAGTTTGGCCTCTCCTTTTTCCCTAAAGTGGAATTTTTTTTTGTTGAGCTTTTTGATTATTGTTGACCACTCTTCTGACTATAAGAAGAACCATTTTTACAATATTAATTTTAAAAATGAAAAATCTGTACTTTGTTTTCTTATAAATTGAGTGCTTAACAGTTTCTTTTTTTGAAAAATTGCAGAAAAATTAAAGTAAGTCTCTTTTTATCTCTAAAGGCTTAAAATCTGTGTATTTTGCCAGAATCAAGGCCTTTTTTCTAACTTTTAACGTCTATCTTCTATTTCATGGATACTGTAGACTACTGTACACTACTGTGTACTACTGTATATCTGTACGGAAAGATTATTTCCACAGTTACGTACACATGAGCCTTGTTTTCTCATTGTAACCGCTTATTCGAGTGTTTTCTAAAGCTATCCGTTATCTTACAGGCACTGTATACTGTACTCGTATGATAACAGATACCGTATTTATTCTAATTCTAATAGAGCTCCCAGTAAGCCCCGCCCACTCATCATGAGAAAAAATAGCATCAAAAATTTGATTTGGTGTCAGATAATAAAGCGAAAAATTATCTTGTTAACCCTTCAATCCCTACGCTGTTTAACTGGTCAAGGGAGTGTCCCGCTAATAAAATTTTAAAAAAGAACTCAGCTCCACAATGGACAATCTAGCACAATAGAGTTGCATGCCTTTTTTTAATAATAGACCAAGTTTCGAAGCTTTATCCATGGATTTCACCCGGGCCTTGTTCTGAAATTCCTCCATTCCGTGCCAGGCACCCCCTCCTTTTTTCAATCTTCTTTTTGGCCTTTTTCTGCACTTCGTCTATGTGTTTTTATTGTGGCCGCTCTCGTTTTTTTTCCATCTTTTTCATCCTTTTGGCCTTCCCTCAGGGGTTGGTCAGTCTCTTTTCGTGTCTTCGTCTCTCCTCCACTCACTCTCCCTCAGTTCCCCATTTAGAAATTTTCTTTGGCTTTCAACAAAGTTTTTATTTTTGAAAGATTAAAATTAATCCTCAGCTTTATTAGATCTTACAGTAAACGGAAAGTCTTACTATTCCCAGTCACCTTGGTCCTTTTAGATCGGTTGGTATTAGTAGATTACCCAATTTAATTATTCTGACTTTAATCTATCGAGTGCCAAACTTGTTTCAAACGATCAGAGTAGTTAGAACTTGAGATACTATAGTGCCCTAGTTAGTAGAATGGCTACAGTACTAATGGAAAGGTCTACTATTAGCTGACAGATTGAATCTCTATCTTTGATTTAAAGAACTTCAGTCTTACCAGCTGAATGCTTACTGTAGACTCTGGAACAAAGCTGCGAACTTACAATTCGCAGCTTTGTTCCTCTAACTGAATTCTTGATCTCACAAGCAGCTCCAGTGAAACTTAGCCAAATTTTTGGCCATTCTGAATCCCGGATCTATCGTCAGTAATCACATTTATCATCTGAACAGTCAAATTTCTCCCTTTCCCCTTTTCTTCATCCCAAAACCCCATTAATATTCTCAAAAAGTTGTTGCGAAATTTTGATAGAGTAACGAAAAACAATGAGTCATAATTTTCTTGAAATTGCAATAACTTCCAAATCTTCCTCAACTTCCAAATCTTCCAAACCCTCAAAAGATTGTTTATCTTGTCTTTCAAATGATTTTTACCTTTGGATTGAATACATGTCCGGTTGTAGAAAAAGAAAAGAAGAGACAGACCGGACTGGAGTCATGTTTTTGTGGGTGTTTTGACCCGGTCCTTTCTCCAGAATCAAGGATATTGGGGGTAAAAAAGGAAAAAAAAAAGGGAAAACTTGTTTTCCCATCCATTCACTTTCTTCTTTTTTCTGCTTGGGTTTTGCTATTCCGTTTTTTACCTGGACCGGTTTTCGTTTCGCTTTGTGGATTTCGCTTTTGCCTCAAGCGTGTCAAGGGTCAGGGATGGGTGGATAAGGGAAGGGTGACTCCTGGATACCTCTCTAGATCTCATCTAAACCGGTCTTCCTCACAACCACCACTACGCGAAATCTTAGAGTTCACTCTTTAAACAATACATCTACCGTACCCTAGTATTACTGAAACCACATTAGTAACTCCAGTAGTATTACGGTAATTACTGTAAAACAGAGGATCATAATCTTTTGTCCAAATGTCAACAACATGATTTCTGACAAGCAAGCAACTATATCGTTTGCTTTAAACGATGATCATCATAATTTCTAAGCTTCATAGCTCAAAAATCTTTACAAAATGATCTCAAAATGTTTTTTTTTAGTGTATATTGAAAAAATTGGGAACTGACCAGTGGATGGGGTTGGAATTGAAAGGAATGGGGGAAGGGCACTGCCCGGCACCCGTCCCCTTTCGATCCCCCCCCTTTCCCCCATCCAAATGTGAAATTTCCCCCCCTAACTATCACACCCTTTTTTTATTTTTATACAAATCTGATCATTGCTTACGAAATTTGTTATTTTTCTTCTAAAATTTTCCCCTATTCTTTTCACCGATCTACCTCGATTTTTTTATCTAAATATCAAAATTTTTAAGCTTAAATACCTACCTTTACTTTAAATTTTTAAATAGTAGTAAATACTGTAATAGTACCCCACTCCCATAATGACGGTGCGGAGTGTTGCGTAGTCTAGCTTTGAACGAGTTTTTCTCGACACTGGTTTATGCTACAATGCGCGCTTAGGTATCAAAAAATAGCCCTGAAATTCAGGGCTATTTTTTGATACCAAAGACAAATTTTTTGAAAGTACGGGCGCTTTGAAAAAAATGAAATACTAAAAAACTTTTCCGACTACGCGACTGTACGAGGGGAGTGGGGTACTATTACAGTATTTACGGTATCTTATTGTGCAGATATTAGTATAATATCTATTTATAAGATAATAAATAAATAATTGTAAGTTGTAAGATGAGATTTGATTAGGTATACTTAGGCCAAACTGACCGTCATCTGATCATCTGATCATCTGATCATCGTCATCGTCATCTGATCCACCTGGGCTAGATGAGTGAAGACTACAGTCATCGCATAGTACTGTATACTTACAATTTCTTGAGATCTCATTCTTCATTATTATTTATATAGAAACATTTAATATCTTTATGTATTTCTGCTTCATTATCCCAATCGATGCTTTCTTAAATTTTCTTGAGATTTCATCCCAATCATTATTTATTTTTTATGCTTTTTTCCCAATGACCACTCATTTGTAATTTGAATTTGAATTTGAAATATTTTCATTTTCCATTAATTAATAGTGTCCACTCGGCTGAAATCGCTAATTTTGACCCTGATTGAACGCAAATTTTGTAATCTCTCTAAAATTCTCAGAAATAACTTTCAAATATGAATTTTTAGCTATAATGCAACAGGATTTTTGTAAGGTTTATTACTCTAAGTGCATCTGATCTTGTATCTAGCTATCTAGCTATAGTACCTAACGATACTATAGCTAGATACTATCCTGATCCTTATACTCTTGCAGATACTATCCTGATCCTCATACTATAGCTAGATACTATCCTGATCCTCATCCTCTTGCAGTATAGCACCTCTGTTACTGTAGTAGCTAGTAGACACTTTGGGTTACAGTTCTTGAAATCCTGTAGGCTTAGTAGAGAAGGTGATGCCTGTAGTGTTAGTATTAAACAAGTGGTACTGTAGATGAGTACTGTACCATTGTACCTACCTACCAAACACTACAGCTATTGTAGCTCCTTAAAAAGTTTAAAGTTTTTCCCAAAAAAAGATTCTTTTCTCATTGGCACGCTTTATTGTTATTGTTTTCATATATAAATCACAAAATTCTTTCATTGTTTTCATTTTTCCATTTTTCCTTTTTTTCCATTTCATTTTTTTTCTCAATCAAATAATAGATTAACAATTTTTGATAATTTCTTTGACTTTTCTGATCATTTTTATATTGTTTTTCTATTTGAAAAGGGGAAAAATATGAAGAAAAATATGAATGAAGAAAAAATATAAAGAAAAATATGAAAAAAAAAAAAAAAAAAAAACAAGTGCCCTTTCTTCATCTCAATTCAAAAGTATACCTTATTTTTCATATAAAAAATTCGTTTTTAAAAATAATATAATGATCATTATCTTAAAAATTATTCAAAAAAAAAAACCGATTACCCAAAATTTTACTCCCGAAAAACAAAGTTTAAGTTGGCAAAATATCCTTTTTTTTTTTTCCACACAACCAGGAACTCTTTTTCTCTTCACTTTCTCCTCTTATCTCTTTTTTCATAATCTTTCCCTATTTTTGCGTACTCTTGTTTTTTGTTATTCGGTTAGCCGGACCT